TCACGATGATTGCGAGTGCCAATTTCTGCTTTTCTTTCGCGAGAGCGCAACTATTGCGGCCGTGTTCGAACGCATTCTATGGCTGTCTGTTAGTTTGGCGCATGATGCGGCTATAGTTAGCTTGATACACCGCCAGAAATTGCAGGCGGGCGCATAGCCATTACAATCATTGTAGCAATATACTCGTAGTAGTACTCGCAACTCAAAGTAGCAACTGATAAAGGACGACTGCAGAAGAGGACGCTTTTATTGTAATTCTGGGAAATAAGTAGCAAACACGGAATCACGAAGCTATTGTCGCGATCCGGAAGTACATACTCTGTTTTTCTGTGCCAAGATATTCCAAAGAAAAAAAGCCAAAGATATTCCAAAGAAAAAAAGAAAACAAATTCTTGGATCGACAACTTGGAGAATATAACGTTAATAGTCATTAAATTTTAAACTTTTTCATGACCTGCGTGTGCACGATCATGTTGTTACTCGGTTAATGACCCAGGTCGTGAGTTATTCGTTAAATTATTTCCCCTTCCCCTTGCTCGTTGCAGTTGGTTTGCGTGTGAGAGCATTGTTCGCTTTGCTTAGAACAGGTTTCGATCTTGTATTTCGAGCGTTTTTTGCGCAAGGATGCGACTTGAATAATCTCCTTGATGTCAATAACGAAAAGGAAAATCTGTTATAAATGCGACTATAAATAATTCGCGGCGCAACGTGGTTTTTGTAAACGTTAGAAATAAGTTCATGCGTTATAAATTGCCGCGAGAGTTGATAGCGCGGTTTCTCTCTCGGTCGCGGTCTGCGTTCTATGTTTAGCAACTCCTTTCACGCTCCCTAAGGGGCCCCGGAAGCCCTTAAAGTATCCCTGCCTAGACAGCAAGTGAAGTGAGTACACTTGCATGTAGTTACTAGGAACGGGTTTCTCAGTTTGAGCCACCAAGAAAACCGCAGAGATCGTTGAAACATTTATGCTAAAATCTATCCGCGGAAAACCACAACTTTAAACGTATCTTTCGCGGTAAAAAATAAAATGTGTTTGTTAATGTATTAGAAAAGCTTCATAATTTAATTATATCGCTGATAAAAACAAAAATATTAAAGTTGTCCTGAATTTTGAATCTTATATTCTATTTTTTCATTATTTTCTTAATTTTATCATAATATTATAATAATTAAATAATTTTTTAAATGTTTCTTATGTAATATTTGTAATTAACTGCACAAAAAATCAAATAAATTTTAAGCAAACTAATTCATATATTTTAAATTTACAAGTAACAATAATACTTTACGAAATAATAAATATATTATTTTATTATATGTTTCAATATATATATATATATATATATATATATATATATATATATATAAAAGCCATATTTTTTACATGACTACTATTATTCTATAGCAAAGTTCGCATTTTACGTCAAAAGAAAAAATATATATATACTTACTATCTAATCATAATAAAGTTATCAGTTATGTTATATAACTGACGTAGAATTGACCTTAAAACACTTTAGGTACGTAACAACTCTTTAAATGGCATTTGCACGTCTTGAAGGAGCCTTCCATAATAGCAAACAAATATCTAAAGTGCATTTATTGCATATAAGAGAAATTTTGAATCATAAACTTCGGTAGACATTTCGGAGTCAAAAAATTTGTCAATTTTTCGAGCTGATATTCATTATATGATTATATTATGTGATTTATTTTTGGACAATAATATTTTCATTGCGTGTAATATTATTGCGCTTCAAAATATTTGATAAAATAATTTAAAAAAATAATAAATAATTTATTGCAAACACATATTGCAATATAATTTTTGCCCTCTATGGTACTTCCTTATTTCCCTACGTGGGAATTCTTGAAAGAAAGTGAGAGAAAGAGAGTAGGGGAAGCAGACGCGGAAAGGGACTTGATATCTCAACATGACGACCTAACGGTCTACTGAATTATTTAAGACTTGCCGGAGTAGTTCGCGTGAAACAGAAGATTCTCTGCATTCACAATATATACTAGTATGCGTGTGAACATGTTCGTCCTCTGCGTACTAATGAATACATTAAATAATTGCATTTTTTTCTGTATTGAAGTTTGAGATCTTGCATAATTTGCGAAAAATTTTTATTGAATTATTCTAAAAATGATTTTATCTATATATAATTTTAATTTAAGTAGATAATACGGAATAATAAGGTAGACAATAAATAATATTGCTGATGAAATACATTTATTATCTAAATATTACGAATATAATGATCTCAATATATTTTATACTCCTTTTTTTTAACATTTATGTTACTTATTGAATATCTTATTCTGTATGATTCAATTAATATGCGTAAATCAGATCGCAAAATTTGAGAAAACTATTCTTTCTTCTCTTTCCTCGCTCCATATAATTTTGATTGAGAAAATTTTCTAATACGTTTAAACATACGGAGGGATAGAGAATACATATTTTACATTTCATTCGGATGTGTTTTCTCTAGTGTGAATCGAGTATGAACACAGCGGAGATTATTTATATGGTATCTGTTGACCATTCAAAAAAATGTTATATCGACAAACTGATGCGACACGTCAGTTCTCACGTAGTTGATTCGCACTTGTATCTATGTCCGACAAAAATAAAGCTGACGAATGATTTTTCGTTTTGGTAATTAGAGAACACGATCCATAAATTTTATACGATATGACGAACGCGACACAAACTCTATCCGCATCTCTAATTTCTACCTGAAAAATCAAACATCTGCAAAATCGCTCTCGTAATAATAAAACGAGATTTTTTAGATTAAATCGACACAACTCTATATTATTTCCTTCTCTGTTAAATTAAATAAATTTTTTCTAATGTTTTCTAAAATTCTATAACAATTATATATGCCTTTAGAACTGAATAATATTAGATTGCGCGCTCTTTTATTTTTTCATTAAATGTCTTAATGTTTAAAACGTTAAAATATTGCATTTATTCAAACTATAATAAGCTTTGCTAAAATGGAAATAATATAAATTTTCAAAACAAAGGTCTATTATAGATAATATCGATATTATAAGGAAATGATTCCCCCTCGCAATTTTGAATGAATTTATAATAGATAAATTATGATGATTGTGTTTTATTTTCATATAAATTACACTCGATATTAGCGAAAAACGATGGGAAATGTCGCATATAAGCGCAAGAGCAGCAAGGAACTGACTATCGATTTATTGCTAGGTTGTACTTTGAGCGCATGACGATAAAACGTTGCTTCTCAGCAAAACCACCCACAACTGAAGTATGCTATAGTAATTTCACCTTCCATCACGCTTAGCTGCACAATTTGCATCGTTTCTGCACGCAATATTTTATATAACGATCGCAAACCATCCAACACAATAAAATATTATACACATTCATACTTTATGAATTAATACCGTTAAAATGCAAAAGCGGCACAGTTTATCTTTCCGAATTGTTTAATAAACCTTAAACTTAATGAGAAATATTTAAATTACTAAGGATTATCTTGGTAGTATTAATAGAACTGAATTGAAACTATAAAGCGACATTGTTTCTCAACTTTTGTTAATAGATTATTCCCTTGCTCTGCATTCTATAATTTTAACTATAAGACTTTAGTAATTATATTTGTATTTGTTACATTGATGCAATTTCCGTCATAATGAATATACTTTTGGGATATTTATCAAGTAATAGATTAATAGAGATGATTAATTTCAATATTTATTGTTTTCTCTGTGAGGAGAGAAAATGTGCAATCGCTTTAATTAAATCCATTGACTCAGTTCGTATTTGAGCTTGATTTGGCTTTCATCCAATGCATATTAGCCATTAATATCTTAACATATATACGATAATCTCTCAAAGTCATCGATTATTCTTTTTCATTTAAATTTTTTCAACAATTTGAAACTGATGCTTTCTTTATCGAAAATATTTAGTTATAATTTTGAAGCAATTAATAATTAAAAATAAAAGAGACGAATTAAACTTTAAAAGATAAATGATATATTCTTCAATCAAGTAGACAGATACTTCAACAGAATTCTAATTTAAAATGTAATTACGAAAAAATAGTACGTATAAAGAATTTTGGAGGCATGTATGATAAATGATATCTATCAACATTAGTCAAACTATGGTTAAAAGGTACATCCGGTGGTTGAGCGACACCGTGTAGAACCAATTGCAACGACACAGGATATATACTCGCTCAGTGATCCCGAATAAAGGATCGAATGCGAAGTCGAAAGAGAGAGAGAGAAGGGATCAAGCTGAGGGAGAAAGATCAGAGAGACAGACTGACAGAGAGAGTTGAATTTCCGTCACCTCTTACAGACAGCACGGCGCCCCATGCTCTAAATCTACAGTTAATTACTAACCCACGATGTGATCTGCAATAAGCCGGACAAGACGACCTACTCTCTGGAATTAATGTCCATTTTATTAAACATGATTGATAAAGCGATCGGACCGAAAATAGACATAATCGAGGATAAGTTATTTATTACCAATTACATAATTATTTGAAATCTTTTCCTTTTAAAATGCAAATACTTATCTGCTTGGCAAATTAATTGGCTTTTAGATCCTTTCTAAGTTTTCTTTTACAAATATACAATCGCAAAAAGAATGGAATTTTAAAACGGGTTTATTGTTCCACTTCAGATGTTAGTTTGTACACAAAGGGAAATAAGATGATCGATTAGTACTAGCACGTATCGAACGTGACTTGAGAGAAAAAAAGAATCGAGTTAGTTGCACAAGAGTACTTTGAACGGATATTAATTCGACCGATATTTGCTTCTCGTGAATCTGATATTAAGCGCGTTTAAATTTAGCCGATTTGGCACAGAGAAAAATATGAGTATATAAAGAACGAAGGCAAAAATCTGAAAGGAAAAAATGATGAAAACTTGTTAAATTTTATCTGATGTTATCTTGTTCTCAAATATGTAATGAAATATTTTATCGTTATTTTCAGAGCGATCCCAGTACTGCATTTTTACGGGCGGCTCGCGCTGGGCAACTCGAAAAGGTCTTGGAATATTTGGAATCCGGAGTAGATATCAATGCTTCTAACGCTGTAAGTTTCAATCTGTCATTTTTCATTAAATTTTACGTAACACTGCTTAAATCTCAAAAAGTATGCATTTTATATATATATATATATTTATATTTATATATTACAGAATGGCTTAAACGCTTTGCATCTGGCAGCTAAAGACGGCCACTTGGAAATCGTGAGAGAACTCCTAAATCGTGGCGCGATTGTGGATGCAGCTACCAAAAAGGGAAACACGGCATTGCACATAGCTTCTCTCGGTGAGCGAACACATTATTTTCATTCTCTCCTCATCTTGTCCCTTCTCGCGAAGTCTCATGTCTCGCTCATTAAATGCATACGGGACAAGGACGCGAATGATTTTAAATAAACATTTACTTCTCGAGTCTTACAAGCTCTCGTATCGCAAAATAATATTGTGAAATAAATTTTATTTGTGTGACATCGATACTCTGTTTCAGCTGGACAAGAGGAGGTTGTACAATTGTTGGTGCAACGAAATGCTTCGGTTAATGCACAATCGCAAAATGGATTCACGCCGCTGTACATGGCTGCCCAGGAAAACCACGATTCTGTGGTCAAGTACCTTCTTAGTAAGGGTGCGAATCAAACATTGGCTACTGAGGTTCGTATGAAATGTTGCTCTGCTTTTTGTTGATTTTTCATCGTTAAATTTTTTAATATTTTATCATATTTATTAAATTTAATATATTTATATATTATTTTTTTCTTATATTCTCAAAGCTAAATTATTATATTTAGTTATCTATTAATTTCTATTTATTTCTCTTTTATTGATACTTGAATATATGCGAGTTTTTCCTTTTACAGGACGGTTTTACACCATTAGCGGTAGCTATGCAACAGGGTCACGACAAGGTAGTGGCTGTTCTATTGGAAAACGACACTCGTGGTAAAGTTCGACTGCCTGCTCTACACATTGCCGCCAAGAAAGACGACTGCAAGGCGGCTGCCCTACTTTTACAAGTGAGTTATTGTTACGTCCTGTATCAGTCACGACTAGTATTTGTTATAATAAGTACTATAAGTGTTATAATAATAAATCACATATATAGTTTTCCTGGTATAGTTTCTCCATTTTCCTCTTATTATAGAACGACCATAATCCCGATGTAACATCGAAAAGCGGTTTTACCCCGCTTCACATAGCCGCACATTATGGCAACGACCGAATCGCTTCCTTGCTTTACGATAGAGGCGCGGATGTTAATTTCGCAGCAAAGGTATGCATTTTGTAGGACAAGAGAATTTAGGTGGAATTATTTAAAGATGTTTTTCAAATATAATATATTTTCTCTTTCATTGTAGCACAATATCACACCAATGCATGTGGCAGCGAAATGGGGTAAGATTAAGATGGTTAATCTCCTCATGAGCAAGGGAGCAAACATCGAAGCAAAAACGAGAGATGGTCTAACTCCTCTGCACTGTGCTGCCAGATCCGGTCATCACGAGGTAGTTGACATTCTCATCGAGAAGGGTGCCCCTATAGGTTCAAAAACGAAGGTAATGATAACTGAATGCATATGTCTCGCGAATGAGAAGTTTTCAACATTTGCTGAAACACTACTTGATTTCTATTGACAGAATGGTCTTGCCCCGTTACACATGGCTTCTCAAGGGGATCACGTCGACGCTGCAAGGATTTTATTGTATCACCGTGCACCCGTGGACGAAGTGACGGTGGACTATTTGACCGCCCTGCATGTAGCTGCACACTGCGGTCATGTACGCGTAGCTAAACTACTTCTCGATAGAAACGCTGATCCTAATGCGCGAGCGCTCAACGGATTTACTCCTCTTCATATCGCGTGTAAGAAAAATCGTATAAAAGTGGTCGAACTCCTCCTAAAACACAAAGCGAGCATCGAAGCTACGACTGAGGTAAAATTTTCAAGTTTTTCTTTCACGTTATTCATTATACTCTTATAAAGTAACAATATTATATATATGTCTTTTTACAGTCTGGATTAACCCCATTACACGTAGCGAGTTTTATGGGGTGCATGAATATCGTGATTTACTTATTACAACATGAAGCTAGCCCCGATATACCGACAGTAAGAGGTGAAACGCCATTACATTTAGCTGCCAGGGCGAACCAAACTGACATTATTAGGATACTTCTTAGGAACGGCGCCCAAGTCGACGCTAGAGCAAGAGTAAGTAACTTTATAATAATAATAATAATAATAATACAAATAATTTTTAGTCATAGAGAAAACAAATTTATCATTTAATAGTATAGATATAAAAAATGTGTAATTTATTTGTAGGAAGAACAGACACCTCTTCATGTCGCTTCTCGCTTGGGTAACGTCGATATTGTGATGTTACTATTGCAACACGGTGCGGGCGTAGATGCAACAACGAAGGATTTATATACTCCGCTTCATATCGCTGCTAAAGAAGGCCAAGAGGAGGTAAAATTATAAATATTACACATATTATAATATTACATTATTATATTGATATTACAACAGTGATTTTATAACATTTTTTTATGATCGTATAGGTTGCATCAGTTTTATTAGAAAATAGTGCATCGCTTACAGCAACGACCAAGAAAGGATTTACTCCTTTACATTTAGCAGCCAAATATGGCAATATGAATGTAGCTCGATTGTTATTACAAAAGAACGCACCTGTTGACGCTCAGGGAAAAGTACGTATTCTTTTCTCTAAATTTTACATTTAAAATAAAATTTAATTAATATAAAAATATGTCATGCTACACATTCTTTATTTTACATGTTTAATAGTATTTTATCATTTTAATGAATATTTTTAATTATAGAATGGAGTAACGCCTCTGCATGTAGCGTCTCATTATGATCATCAGAATGTAGCTTTACTTTTACTCGATAAAGGAGCTTCTCCTCATGCTATGGCTAAAAATGGCCATACACCTTTGCATATCGCTGCACGCAAAAATCAGGTATAATTATTATACATATTTATAATTTTGATTATTAATTTAAGTAATTATGTAATAGTATATAAAATATAAAATGATTGTTTGTGATAGATGGATATTGCAACCACTTTATTAGAATATGGTGCAAAAGCTAATGCAGAATCAAAAGCTGGTTTCACACCATTACATTTAAGTGCACAAGAAGGCCATACTGATATGTCAACCCTTCTTATCGAACATAAAGCAGATACAAATCACAAAGCAAAGGTGAGTAAAAAAGGAGACCGATATAATTTTAACTAATATTTATTTATAAAAAAATCTTATATTTTATTTATATATTTTACAGAATGGCCTTACACCTCTACATTTATGCGCACAAGAAGATAAAGTAAACGTCGCTTCTATTCTCGTGAAGAATGGCGCTCAAATCGACGCTAAAACTAAGGTAATGTAATTGCTAAATTTTTTTCGAATTTTTATTATGAGCGAATATAAATTATGATTAAAATAGAAGGTTATGATTACGTCTTTACATTATTAACACTTTATACATAATTAAATTATCATAGATGATATAATTTCTTCACTATATGTACAGTTGCTCTATATTTCATTGATAACTTTGAAATACCGCCTATCTAAAGGCTAATGTAATAGTATGATGACTGTTGTTGATCTTAATACATTAATAGAAAAATAGGATACATTAAATTATATAGTAATAAAAGAATTTACAAAGTTTTTTAAATTAAATTTGATTATTTGATTTTTTTATCAATTCTATTACAAAACAAAATTTCATCAAAATTTCAACAAAATATTCACTGACTAATTATTTATTGATTATTTTTTTCAGGCTGGATATACGCCATTGCATGTGGCATCTCATTTTGGTCAAGCAGCTATGGTACGATTTCTTTTAAGATCTGGTGCTGCTGTTGATAGCAGCACCAATGCTGGCTATACACCTCTTCATCAAGCGGCGCAACAAGGTCATACGCTTGTCATCAATCTGCTACTGGAGAGTAAAGCTAAACCAAATGCTGTAACTAATGTAAGTTTTATTTTATCGAGGTTTAAAATTTTGTGCATTGATTGCATAGAATTATTAGAATATTATATACAATTATACATTTATATAAAATATTTTTTGTACAGAATGGACAGACTGCTCTGGATATTGCACAAAAGCTCGGTTACATAAGCGTCATTGAAACATTAAAGGTTGTCACAGAGACTATCATCACAACAACTCATACCGTTACCATTGAAGAGAAATACAAAGTTCAAGCACCCGAATCCATGCAAGAAACATTTATGAGTGACAGCGAAGATGAAGGGGGTGAGTATTTGTATTCATTATTATGGAAACATTTATTATCCTTTTATATATTGCCGCTTATTATGTCTATTTGCTTCTAATTTATTGACAAACAGATTTGCGATATTGGAATGAAACAAGCTATCATTAAAAAATGCAACAAGTGATATTGATCGCGTGTTATTTCTGATATCGCAACAACATTCATAAATATATATCTTGATAGCTTATTGCTTTACATAATTATTTTGCTTTGCATTAAGCATTAAAATAACACAAAAATAATATCAGAGAAACTGAAAGTTGAATATTACACAACAATGCTTTTATTTTAGCTAATAATGCGTATAGACAATAATATTTAGTAAATTCTCCTAGTTTTTAAGGTAAAACTATCTTTCCTAAATGCTTCCTGCATATAGATTGTAACGCGAATTATCGCGACATAGATGAAATAGGGTTTTAAAGTAACATAGCTTTTGTACATACAACAATTGCACGTCAGGATAAAATCGATGATAAATTATTGCATGGAGGAAAATTATGAAAACATAATTTTAAAAAATAGTATTTACAAATATTAATAGTATTTACAAATAATATTTACAAATAGTATTTACAAATATTAGTATATATTAATAGGTAGATAAATATACATGCAATTTTCGTTCTTTAATCACATATTGTATATGAAGATTAGGTAGAAATTATTAAATTAGTACTAAAAGCCATTTTTGTTGCGCGTTGCATGATACAAATATTATTAGCATGTGAAACTCAACTTCTCGATAGGAACTCTTATCCTTTCCCGATCCATATATCACATATATTAAACTACACAAAATAATAGGAATATATAAAAAGACAAATCTTATTACGCGAATTTTAAATTAGTTCTATTTATCAAAGGTCTAGGTTCTTAGTTCTTTTTTATTAAAGCTACAAAACTGATATCAAAATGCCAAATGGATCTATTATTTGCTTGATTGTTGCATTATCTTCATTTTGCATAAGCATGCATTTAGCAAATATTCACTGGGTTGTTGTATACTAGATTTTGTTCAAAATTAAAGTAGATAATTGTAAAATATTAATAATGCAAAATTTAAAGTTATTTCTAACAAGAACAGAGAAATTGACATTAATTAACATTATGTTGATAGTACAAAATTTCATATTTTCAGATTAATATTTCAGTTAAATATGTTAAATTAAAAGATTTGCACTTAATTTTTTTCTAATACAAGTATATCTAAATAACTCATAGATTCAGAAATTTCTTACTAAACTTTATTTCTTTTAGCGCGGTAGTTTATTTTCAATAACAGGGACATTTAAATAAACCCCCACTTTTATCTGAGATCTAGTTATCTGTAATGTTAAATCGACGCATAGAAAGGCGTACTTGTAGTACGCTAGCCATCATCAGAGGAGTAGTTGATGTCGGTTTGTAATTTAGCGATATTCACGGTTCGCTTATTTAAAAAGAAGCTAGATTCGCACACGCGCATCTCATTCTCGATTCCGCACGTTTTAGCAACAGCATCGCGATTTAGTTTTTAATTTAAACATTAACAACCCAGTGATAGACAGAGCGAAATTTAGAAAAACAGTGTATATGGTGCGAAATTAGCGTTCTGATGAAACCATGACCTTACCTCGACGGCGTGTACGATGTATGTAGGTGGTGATGAAATCGGCACGGCAGCCATGAATGTGTACGGGCAGCCTCCGCACGCGCAACACGTGTACCTTCCCTCTTACTACCAGGGCCAAATGACCTATACCCGTAAGTTGTCTGTACTCTGTTTCTCACTCTTTCTCTCTCTTTCTTTTTCTCTCACGCGTTTAACGAGGAAGACCACTGCGGCAAATATACATACATACATATTCCAGCACTGTTGCGAAACGACGTAATACGTTAGATAATACATGCCATTGTCATTTTTTTCTGGAGATACAATAGTTCTGCTTCGTTATTTTTGACGATTAAAGCATCGCGAGCATAATGATGTTATATAACATCAAAAGTGTTGTTATCGTTATTATTTCGCTGACAAAATTCATCAAAATTCACATATCTCCCGTAAAAAAATCATGCTCAGTTCATTCATGTATGTTTCACGTATATTTCGATCTATTCGAATTTTCGTACATTAGATTTGCATACAGAGATGTGCACAGACACAACTATCCTTCGCCCGTTGTTTCTATCACATTTATTTGTTTCATTCGTCTTCCCATTGTCCTTTCCAAATTTTTTTTATTTTCAAGCAATGCGTACTATTATAGTATATACATTGAATTACATTGATCAATATAGCACAAAGAATTTATTCTAAATATAAATCATATTATTATTAATATTGTAAATCTCTTTCATAAAATTGAAAATGTTCCATTAATAGAACAAGACGTCATTTAAATTTATACAATAATCACATCAATTCATTATTTTAAGTAAAGCTTCTGAAAGAAAATTTGTTTGAAAGTCTTGACAAGAATGTGCTTTTAGTGCACTATATTTATTGCATTTGTTTCTTTTTCTTAAACAAATTTAGACTTAAAGCTAGACGATTTCTCATTTCTAACCAGCAGGATATTTGGTATAGATCTGATATTAAATCAGATTGCAATAATCAAAATACTTTATGATTACATAATTATATACATAATTATTTATTACACACATAATTGTGTAGTTGCATTTTCGGCAAAATTAACGTAATCTTATCTATAAAAAGCAACGTACTTGTCACTTATATGATTATTATCACTATTGTGCATTATTCTTTCGTTACTTATATTCAACAAAAAGTTTAATCTACGAAAAACGAAGCAAATGTTTAAAAAATTAAAGAGCATTTATTATCATAAATAAAATATTGTAGGACGTGAAATGATATCTAAGTAATAAAAATTTGAGAATTTTACACAAAGATAACATTTATGCAAGCAAACATTTTAGGATAAAGCAAATTTGTTTTATTAAAAGTACAAAATGATTTGTCTTTACTACACGCTTCAATTTGAAGAAATTAATATTTCTTTCTTTTTGCACACGACAATACATTGTTGAATATTGCACCAAAGTTTTTACGGGAAAACACATACCTGCAAAATATGAATGCACCTCGTCGCTGTATCTTCGTTCGTGACGATTTTCAAAATAATTCGTAGACGCACGAATTTAATACTATGGGCAAGATTCGTTCCCGTTGCAGCGACGCAACTTTACATACGTTATAACGACGTTGAAATAGGGCGTGCTTCTATCGCTGTTAATGCAATTTACATAATAATGAGCTGCGCGATCATTATACCAACCGACCGGCGCGCTTCGTCGTCATCGTCATAGTTGTATCTATTACATACTGCCCTCCACTTTGGCTACCTGTTATGCAACCGCCAGTGTGCGTATCGTGCCGCGTTATTAGTGCAGTTAGTTCAACCCTTGGCACATCGCCAAATACACGATGCCGGACCGAAATAATCTGAAATTTATATAACACACGCGCGCAGCGGTCGTCGATTAAGAGAAATAAAAAGAAGATAAAGTGTACAATTAGATACGCAAATGCACTCGTAAACAAACTCGTGTAAACTAGCGCATTCGAGTGCACTTTAAACGAAATCGATCATATTAATTAGCAATGCTCGCGAAAAAATACTGATATGAATTTTTGACAAGTTGCGAAGAATTCTTTTAATAGAACAAATGAATTATTTTCTTAAACCCTTTATCGAATCATTAATTGCCTAAGTTATGAAATTTATTTTATTATCTGCAATTATTATAATACATTACGGACAAAACAATAGTCATGTCGTGGATAAGAAACAATTCGATCGATTTCGATTATTTTGCCTTAGCGGTAAGTTTTTCGCGGGATGAACCTTGACCTAAGCGAAACATTGTGGCATCTACACTAGAAATTGATTGTATCTACTATATTATTACAATTTCATCACGCAAATCGTCTAATAAAATTTCCTCGCGTGTTCTCGTTGTTCTTTCGTTGGTGCGATGAAAAGCGCCAGTGGATAGTATGGCGCGGTAAATAAAGTAGTAAGAAAAGCTCAAAAGAGCAGTTACTATTATAAAATTGGTGATTCACGGAATGAGGTCACGTTCCTAGCGAGCTAGTTCCCCTAGTGCCGGTCGAACTTGTATTAATCTTTTCGAGTAGTTGCTGTTCCTGACCCCACATCGATCGCCGCTACCGAGAGCGCGAGCGAAAATAAAGGAAGTATTCAGCATATCCAGCGCGCGTGCTTAATGCAATTAAACGAATTGAATCTAATAGGGTGAATGCTTAGTCGCCGCTTACCCTATCAACCGGCAGCCAGTGTGATAGTCAAAGTAAGGGACCACGGCTTATTCGATAAACCGTTTACGTGTGCGATGAAACGAAGGAATTAGGTGAAAGACACATCAACAGTTTCCCGCAGAAGAAATAATCTACGTGATTACTCTCTAAATCGCTCCATAATCGATCGAAATTACGACTGCTAATATTTCCATTCGATCTATGCCACCTGCATATCGAGTGCACGCGTTGCATACGAAGTTCCGGACGGCCTATCGGACGCTGCATCGCGATAGTGCATCAGTGCGTTAACGACGCTCGAGAATACGGAACGCTTCCTCCAGAGGAGAGAGAACACCAAGCGAATTTCGCGTTGTCGAGAGGGGAAAACGTATCGTAGCAAACATGGCCAAGGGAAAAGCGAAGAAAAAAGGATTCAGGTGCAGTTGTCCATGCGGGTGTGGCAGCAGGAACAGCGACGTATTATGTAAATATCGTGCATCTGTTGCATTATACACCATCATTTATGACATCGTTAACCGTTAGTTTGCGCGGATGCGACCCTCTCGATCTAATCACTCGCACGAACGAGCGGAAGTCGCTGAGTAGCAAATTTTATTTTATTTTTTTTCCTCCAACTGCTTATTTAGGAAGCACCTCTATTTCCTTAGATAATTAGACACTATTGTAAATAATTTCTTTTACAGCGAATATTACTTAAAGTTAATTACTTTGCAAGGCAAATTTCTCTACTTAAAAAATATGAGAGAAATTATTTTTAATTTTCTCCTTTCATTAATTTATTATGTGCACAGGCAATATCAATTAATTTGTCGTCACTTGCAAATAGGAATCTATCGAAAGAAGTATGTTTACATTGCTTTTGATATATTAAATCATGAATTAACTCACTGATATTTATGTAAATTTAAAATTAGCATGATTACGATGAATAAGCATGATATAAAGATCTTCTTTACGATATGATGGTTCAGGTTAAATTTTTCTTGATAAGCAATATTTACAAACCGATAACATCGCACCACGCGACTTTATTTTCATAACGCACTAAATACATAAACGAATATTAAATATTGATTCTCCACGAGCCTTTATTTATATATGATACAGCACATTCTTAAAATTAAACATTATCAAACTTATATTAATTTTAAGATGTTTTATGTTATCAACTTAAAGTTTTATGATTAATTTTCTGATGTACTATTTTATACAAATTTCTCTCTTATCGATATCTATATATATATATATATATACACACATATATATATATATATATATATATATATTTATATATTTATTTATATATTAAATATATATTTTTTATATCTTATTTTTATGAATATAGAACTTGTCAGTTTATTAAAGAAAAATAAGTAGAGTTTTAAACAGTTTTGTTTTAAAAACCTTTTATTTTTATATAAACAATGATAAATAGTTATTTTCTAACAATTTGTATGCACTTACAAAACAATATAAAAATACACAAATATATAGTATATATAAATTACGTAATATTTCATGTAAATTTTGTGGCGTGAAAAATTGAACAATAAATTTCGAATTGATAATCGTATAAGAATGTTAAGAAGCACATTGCTGAATCCCGAAATATCTCGAAACATTTTCGTCTTAGAGGTAACATATGTCCGTGTAACGTGTAAACTGTCACGTGTTGTACCCCATTGTGTATTTACCAACGCCTCCGGTGCTACTATACGGTGATAATCGGTGCTTACTAAGAGATAACAGACGCGCCACGCGACCGTGTTTTCGTAAGCTCGTAAGTGTTAATGAAAGCTAAACGCTCGTACTCTATGGCTCATTGTCTAGATCGAAAGAGCATCATAGTCGTAGTAAATGACGGATATCCTTGGGCGTGGTGCGTACGCAAATATCAGAGCGAAATCGAGGTCGTGTCCTACGCGAGAATGAGATGCTTGTTCCGAAGAATTTAAAGACTCGATCTTATCCATGGAATGCTGCGTCGTATTAAGAACTGAGAATTGTGATTCGAATTAATCCAGGAAAATTATTAAATTATTTTCTTTAATCCCTTAGAATGCACTCTTAATAAAGAACCATAAAAGAAACAGAATATCTGAGAAAAGTAATTTTTAATAATCTATTAACTTCTTTTAGTTCTTTGTAGCATTAATTTTTTTTATAAACGCTGAAAAGTTAGTTATATTTAAATATTATTGCCTGCAATTTATATAATTTTATACAATAATTTTAAATGTAGGCTACGCCAAATCTTAGAATCAATCCTGATTTCGAGAAACGTTCTCTCTCTCTGCGCGCATTTAGCACTGAATGGCACTGTTGTTTGGATTCCCGTGTATTTCTGTACTATACGAGATGCCTGCCTGTAACAATTTTACGTTTACACATGAAAAACAGAAGCTGCTTGACGGCGACGTAAAAATTATTCGTGGCGCCGATTAAAACTCGAGTCGGCGCTTTATCGCTTTAAGCCGCATTATTTGCGTATAACGTTTGTATTTTCTTGAACTCAGCAGCTCGCATTTGCGTGTAACGGATAACAACTTGGTTCTTCGCTTGTACTCGTTATCGTTATACGGATAATGCGAATTAAAAAGAGACCTTCGATCATCTCGGAATATTTCAAATACAGACATGATTTGCGTACGATTGCGCATCGTGAGCAAACAACAAACGCGCCAAGAGGCAGCTACGAAGATTCGATTTTATATCGCGAGATATCGCCAGCCGCGAGAAAGAGAGAGGAAGAAACTCTCGCATAAAAACATTATTACGCGTGTAGCACGCGTTTCGTCGCGCCGCGTTGCGCGCTCAGTGCAGCACGTTGCATCCACGGAAAACGCATCGTCCGTTACGACGTCGTCCGCTCCAAGTTGGCGAATCGCGGACGCGCATTCTAATCGTGCAACGGGACCAGGTATACTCCAACTCTCATTGTCTTCCCGAGCGAATCCGGCGATACGAGGCGGCTCCGGGATATACGTATTCCGGCCGCGAAAGACACGCGCGATTAATGGAGCGGTCTGAGAACCGTGACCTGGTGATCTGTTACTACTACTATTACTATTCCTATTATCACTTTACACGGACGCGACAATGAAGCGGATGAAGCCATTAAGGACATAAGGGAGTAAACGATGATATCGCGTCGATCAAGGACGCCGGATCTTTCGTCGATAGAGCAGCATCCACAGCTCGATAGGCGTCTGATTTTCGATTCTCTTCCGGTGTATTTTTAGCATCTATGCCCGCAAGCGGAGTATACGACCGCGATAAAGTCAGCGAGTAGTATCGTAATCGGATTAATTGCTACTCTTGCGATGAGTAACTAGGTCGGTCTGTCTGGTAAACGAACTTGGGCAATAATAAACATTACGCCATTGCGAGGAAATATTCCGTTAATCTGTTTCAATAGTCTTAAGGCGTTAATAAACGCTTCGTTAATTCCAATAAAAACACGTTAGGCTTGACGATTGCATAAGATCTTCCACTTCTTTCTCTCTCTCTTTCTATATTTTTCTGTCGCTCTTTTTCTCCTTAGATCAGAGGATGACGTCATGCAAAACATTTAACTCGTAAAACGGTAGTCTTGATCCAACTAAGATTAATTTAATTAGATCTTGAATGAATCTGAAGTGAGTTTAGAATGTCATGCGGACGATACATGTAACCTATTTCGTAAGATTTCGCAAGTTTATTTATTCTTGCTTGTGCTTGCGATATGAGCAGACATGATAAAGTGATAATTGCTTAACCCAAAAAGAGATATTAGGAAGAAATTTTCGATATATTTATCGTCGTAAACATGCTAATGAAACGTACGATGGAGATGTCGCGTGCACGAGGCATATAATTACGTCGTTTGCATAAAAAGGTTGCATTATGCGATCGAAGAAAAACATTTTTCCGGCGTGCGTCAAACATGTTTCGTCCCCGACCGTGTTATTGAATCTCTCATTGACATTATGAACGACGCGCCGATTCGATTAGTCGTCACGTTTGAAAGAAGCACAGCGTATCTCTCTTTCTCTCTCTTTGATTACGATTAGCACTATTCTGGTGCATGACGCCGCACGCGTCAACGTTTTAACTGCACTTAAAACAGATTCGACATGATTATTGTGTGGCTTGCCTTTTCACTGATTGGTAGTTTGCAGCCCAAGTTATATAGGTCACTGCCTATGAGGTCGCGTAGGTAGAAGCGGTGTCTTTTAGAGTGAGAGAAGAGGAAGAGATATCCGCATAGAGAGAGCGCGAAATCGCCGTGACTCTTCGACTCAAGGTGTCCTTGAACATCGTTAAAATTAGCACTTCTACATTACAATTTCCTGCAGGAGTATCGTAGCCAGTCCGCAGATGTTTACATTAATTTTAGATATTAACAACACCGCGAGTTCCGCGGATGGTGCGTGACGTCACTATGGGCGAACCATAAGGGAATGGGATAATGGAACCCGATCTTCCTAGAATTGCGCCGAAACCGTCGTGATATGTAGATCAAGAGTATCCTCGAGAACGAAACGCCGACGTGCCAAAGATATTCGCATTATACACACATACACACATGTAACATAATAATATGTTACATTCCACCGAGAAACATTGATATTGAATAAAATTTAAATCATCTGACAGTAATTTAACAAGTAATTACATTGATTGAACATTAATTGGAAGGAATTTTTTTTTATGTATTATACTTTAAGTGTTGAATATTAGTTATGCACTCATTTTATACTATTAGAGTATTATTGGAGAGAATGTTTTTTATATGTAATATATAATATTGTTATATATGTAATTTATTTATTTATGAAAAATATACGTATACATATTGTTCATGATGATAAAAATAATCTGATAGATATCAGAATAATTTTTGTCAAGTTAATGTGCGATAGTTAATGTAAGATATTTTTTTATTCCAACTTCCAAAATGATCTCGATCAGTATTAAGCAGCTATACGGAGTTAATTTATGATTATGCTAACGGTACGATGGAGAGATGTGGGAGGCAAATTTGTAGGCTGACCGTTTATTAGATAATTGTAGCCTACATTCTTGGAATACTTGATAACGCGGGATCGTAAAGCAAGTTGCTCTCAGTCGTATAAAAAATGTGATACAGTTCGTACACGTCGGTATTTCATTAAATTGCTCTCATCTCTTGGATGTAGGATGTATCTAACCGTGACCTCAATTGACACAAGGTATGACGTGATTTAACAACTTTTATCCTATCATTGATAAACGATGCCATAATTTTCTATTTTCTTAAATAAAATTGGCAAAAAATGATAGAGCTATCGACCATTTAATTAAGTACATATTAAAAGAATTGTATCCATTAATAAAAACATATTATGTAAAATTTTGAAATTTTATATATAAAGCTAATGAATGAAATAAAGAAAGAAATTTATTGACTTTAGATATGATTGTATATTTAAAGTTACAGTAAATAATTAATATTTATAATTTAAGATTTATAATTTAAGATTTATAATTTATATTTATAAATGAGAGAAAGAAAAGAAGGATTATGTTATTAAATTTTACACAACTTTTACTTTTTATATGAAAACAACTAAAGACTAGAGTTAAATCTCATAAAGTAACATTGTATGAGTTATAGAGAATCTTTCATAAGATTAGAAATAACTGTTACAATTGCGTAGCAGTTCTGTTTTTGCTCTCGGATCAATGAGTGATGTCGGTAATTTAAAACACTCGAAGAGATTATCGAAATAACATATGGCTCGAAATATATTTAATCTGCCATCTGATAACATTTCCATTTCATACATCTTGTCTTATTATTCGCCAAAAAAGTTAAAAGATGAAAGTAATAAAACAAATCTTTTCAGCATTAATTATATATGGTTTTGTTTAGCAGAAACATATTCTAAATCGCTCATTATTATTATTATTATTATTAATGAACAAGTTACATGCCTTACAGAACATCAATATGAATTTTGCTTCTTCAGCTTAAGTGCAATGGTGTTGACTTGGCAATGATTTCTTCTTTATTTGCAGGCTCACATATTTATTCTCACATGTGCATTACGCATACTTTGGTAGAAAATATTTTGTGACATTTACATATGTTATATCACGCATTCATTTGAACTCGATAATATTCTAGAGAAATGGTCTCTTCTGTCAACTTCTCCCGCAAATATACACGCATACTCGTTCCTATCTTCATTTCTTTTATTCGTCTAATATTTATCACAGGTGAAGATCCAATGCTCAGCGACCAACAGCAGTATCGCTACATGACTGTTGACGACATGAAATCCATGGGGGATGACTCGATGCGCGTGAACGTGACGGACGATGAAAGAGATAATCGACATTCTGGAGGTATGTAAATACATCGGAAATGTGCATTTTAATATTTTAATTCAGAAAATTTTTTAAATATCATGCTCCTTCACTTTTAAGATTTTTACATTATGATTTTGTATTATGTATATGATAAAATATTTGATATAAAATCTGTTTAATCTCTGTTATTTATACAATTTTGATGATAATTACATAATAACTGTTTTGTTAGATTAAATAAAGTAAAATAATAATTATATATGTCCTATAATTTAAGATATGCTACGATTTGCAAATTGAACGTTCAATTATGTTGCTGCAAATTGAACGTTCAATTATATTGCTGTGTTTTAGATTATTCTCGGAAAATATACATTTAACATTATAATGTATGTATTCTTTAGCGCCAACCATAACAGAAATGATTACGAAAGAAAATTATCAACGTACGAACGCAGCCAATCTTAAGCCAGATAATGTAGACATCAACAGGCATCCTGTGCATGTCGGGTATGTAGTATTTTATATCTATTTTTATATATTATCGCAAATTTTTGAAATAAGAAAACAAGATTGCCTAAATCTGTGAAATTTCATTCTCTTGAAATGTTAATGAAAGATTTTCTAGAAAAAACTCACTTGAACATCAGTATAAATCTGAAAGATATATATATTAGATAGATTTTAACATTGAATTAAAAAGCTACGTTGCTAGTTATTTTGCTGCAAATTTTATTTTAAATATTAAGTTTTAGTATTTTTTATATAATATAATTTTATATAATTTATCAATTAAAATACAATAATAATGTAACAATAATAATGTAAATATAATAAATTTCAAATTTTCTTTCATTAATTGTAAATTTTATTTAATTTTGAAGAAAATATTTATTGGCAATTAAGATATCAGAAAAAAATATTAATAAATATAACTGAAACCAAATTATAATTGCATGGTTTGGCGTGACTATAGTTTATAAATATATAACATTAAGATTATAAAATTACGACATGTTCAAAATTTGATGCACGTGTTTTTGTTGATTTAATAGTTATAAAGAATATTTTACATATATATAACTGAAAATTACTAATGAATATAAAAATAGTTTTGAAATTTTATCATAGTTCTCCAGAAACTATGCAATTATCGATTTTGTATGAATTATAAATTAAATTTTTATAATTTTAGAAAAAAACCATGTTTTCTTAATTTTAAATATTATTAGGTTTCGATATTTAAAAAAAATATAATATACTAGTTATTTTTCTAATTTTGAATATATCGTGATATATGACGTAATATATTGTAAAAAATAAAATTTCTCAAATTTATGTCAAAATTTTAGTTCAATTTTGCACGCAGCAACTTTTATCTATTGTAAACCTAGGCTAGGACGGTGTAAAAATAATGTTATTCAATATTACGAGAAATGTGATCCGTATACTGCGTGATCTTATCCGGTGTATATATCGCGATTGACACTGTATTGATGCTACGAAACAATAATGATGTGTATTATAGTGTGATTCAATATGTGTGTTGATGAAAGTTTCCTGTTGTGATTAACCCAACAGATGATTGGCTGCTCGATAAATTACTCATCTAATTCTATTATCTCATTTAATTCCGAATTGGTAATGTGATGTAGACAAACAATATATGTATGTACATGTATACATGATAATTAATACTTTCAATCAAATATTATTTTCACAATCAAGATCAATTATAAAGATATACATCACTATTTTGAACATATAACTGTTGATAATTCATTTTAATATCATAATAATTATGTTTTATTGAAATCACATGCAATATGTGCATAATCTTTCACGTCTGCGCTAAGTTTACAAGGCACGAGGTATAAGTCAATATATTTTAATTATGCTACTATCAGATCTTTTCAATATAAGTATATCCATTATGACACAAAAAAATTAAAAAAAAACATATATAAAATTCTAATGAAAATATTTAATTACAAATGGATATGCTCTTATATCAAGCATTTTTTTAAATAAATAGTTATTGAAATTGATTAAAATTATTAAAAGTAAATAGTGCGTCAATAATGGCAAGTGTCAAATTAAAAAAAATTCAATACACAGTGCACTTGTAAATTTAGATAAATTTAGAAAATACAATAATTATAAGAGATCACAACACGATATAGTATGTACAATTATATTGTCTGTTTTTTTTACTTAACATTCGCTACAAGACGCGATACTTTACAGTCATTCAGCCAGCTCGATAAGAACGCTTGATGTTCTCATTACAGCCTGCTTACTCGTAGGAAAGTTCGATTACTTAGTGTTGAGCATGTTGTTTTTCACGTTTTATTTGGATGAACGATTCTTTGACATTTTGTGAATTATTTCACTCTCTTATTACTGCGATTTATACTAACCACTTGGCTAATTTGAACAAATGAGATTGAAGACTATTCACAAGAAAGAAAGATCGAATCGGAAAAAGAAATTATCTACTTTTATGTAGAAAATCTTAATCACCATAAATTAGTCAGTCTCTGCTATACTTTCTTATGTAACGCGAGGATCTCGTCATTTCTGCACGTGGCATCATTTAAAAAAAAAGCACATGTCATTTTTATAGTAATTTAAAGCGGACTATAATGACTGCACAAACAAAAAAGGATGCAATTTGTACAAACGAGATAGCATGAGCATGACATGCGATCATTATATTCGGATAATCTGAATCGGTTTTGTTTTGAGAATAGCGAATCCTTAGAGTTCTTATGCATCTCGCTGGCAGCCGTCAGTATCGCGCCGAAAGGACAAGGAATGTGGAGGGACAGGTACAAAAGAAAAAATTTTATTTATTGTATATTATTTAAATATAACGATAGATAATTATAACAACTTTTTTTTCGAAAGAAGAATATGAAAAAAGATATTGAGCATATATATATATACATATGCTATGATATTTACGAAAGAAAAAAATCGTTCGTCCAAAAAATTGTGTAGAAAATAGAGAAGATTTCAACGTTGCAACAGCTGCTGGATGTTTTCTTTTTATATAAGCAATTTTTAAATTATATTATTTTTCATAAGGATATGACGGAATCTGTTGCACTAATCGTAATGACCTGTTTAATAAAAGTATGCAAAAATTTTTTATGTCTTTATACAATTGTGTCTCTCTCAATCAAAAATTAATTTACAATTATATACATAAATTAAGAATGATTAATTTACAAAATTGTCAAAATTGCAACAGACTTCGATGCGTCATTATTTTAAGTTGTCTCCGCGAGATATATCTTTTTTCCGCAAAGTGTGAATGATATGTGTGTGGCATTCTCTACTATAATACATAATTATTATTGTTGGTGCTCGTTTCGTAGTCGTGTACAATAGAAAAGTGTTTGCGTGTGATGAATGCAGGTTTTCGAAGTGTTCAGACCATCATCGTCGCAACCTAGGAGCACTTTTTACGAAAAGCAACATAAAAAGTGTAAAAAAATCTGGCATATCGTTTGATGTGATTGATCAAGAATCAGTGCACACATCGTGCTTTAATTATAAATTCAATAATCGAATACGCTCAAAAGTCTATGTAAAAATGTGCTAGTGTTAGCGATATATCACGATCTCATCTTTTTTTTCTTTTTCTATATCATCTCATCATGTCTATGAACGAATGAATACTAACGCGTTTTTTATTTTGTTCCCGATCTTCTCTGTTATTTTATTTGCGCTACTCTCGCAGAATTCCACAGTGGAGAAAGTAAGTGATCTTCTCTTCAAATTTAGCTTCTGCAGTTTGCCATATATATTATTTCCTCGATTTTTTTCAGTTCTTCTTTTTGTCGTACACACAGCCTATCTGCCGCTGCACTACACAATTTCTTATAGCTGCTGATTCTTATTATTCTCACAAACGTTGTATTGCTCAGTGAATAGCTTCGTTCGACGACTACTGAAAAGGTGATTCATGAGTCAAATATGATTGAATCTCTAGGAATCTCAGGAAAATTTATTTTAAAAAATGTCTGATGAATAAAAGGTACGCGTCTATCTTAATTATTTCAAAGTTTTCTAGTTTGTGGCATTTAGCTATTCACGATGATGATATATTTACGTAAACACATGATTTATATAGATGCGTTGCTAAATCTGAATTTAAAATTAAAAAAAAAAACAAGTTTACTACTAGGTAATCGTTAATGACTTCATATTCGAACAGTCGTAAAATACCGCGTTGTCAATACTGCGTCAATTCGAAAGATGTCCTTGTCAAACCAATGCATTCACTGTGCAATGCGTATTGCACAATTTTCTTGTGAATAATTTATAGATTCAGAATGGAATTCTCAGCGTTAGCAGTACTACACTATGTAGTAGTTGAAAGCGATTGAGAATAGACCCAATTCTTGTTTGAATCGAATTAGATTAGGCACTTTCAATGTCGTTAATTTGACGCTTACGGCTATATTACACCCCATCCGACATAAAAGCCTCGTATAAACATTCATATAGATTTGACGTAGGTAGCTGTTTTATTTATCACTTATTTTGCAACATGTATTTCATACAATTTATACTTGTCATCGTATACACAAATATCCACAGATTAGATTTGAATATAGATAGCTGTTTTATTTATCTCTTTTTATTTTGCCATATATTCTCTGTACAGTTCATTATTGTAATTTTATCTGCTCTAATTGCATTATGTTAAAGTAATTACATTTATGCATAATATATATATTATATATTATATAATATATATTATATATGTCGACAATACAACATAATATGAATTCTGTTCATTTGTGAAAAGATAATATCACAGTTAATGATATCATAACATTAACGTGATTAATGCGCATTGTCTTAAAATTTTTATAAAAACTTATAAAATTGCTATATAACTACCAATATCACGCTTTATATATAGTACAATTTCTCGAGAATTACGCTTTCTGGCTTTGCATACTTTTGATACTAGTAAATTCGCGTGGACAATTATACAATGCATCACGATTGACATTAATATTAATATTAATATTGTATTTAAGATAAAATTTTATAATGTATTCACTTATTGCGCTTTTCGTGAAACTTGAGAGAAAATATGTTTATAACAATATTATAGAAATCTATTATATTATAGAAAAATCTATATTATATTATTATATTATAGAAATCTATTATATTGTTTTTCCTTTTATATCTTTTATTACGGAATTTTTCAAGAAAAGATTACATCGTATAGCGTATTCTATTTTCTATTAGATATGATAAAATTAAATTATTATAAATTTTCAAAGAAGCAAAATTACACTTATGCGTTTTTGTGAAGATATATTTTGAATACGCAAAGGGATAGATTTTGACTTTTTGTATACAATCTATATATATGTAGATCCAATAACTTTCTTTTTAACAGTCCTTGATAACATATCGTTAATCCAAATAACGCACTCTCTAAATCTCTTCAGCTTTCTGGTTTCCTTCTTGGTGGACGCAAGAGGCGGTGCAATGCGCGGATGCAGGCACAGCGGCGTCCGCGTGATTGTTCCGCCACGAAAAGCTGCGATGCCTATGCGTGTTACATGCAGATATTTAAGAAGAGACAAATTGACCAATCCACCACCTCTGATGGAGGGAGAAGCGTTGGCCAGCCGCATCCTCGAGTTAGGTCCTGTAGGTGCAAAATTTTTAGGGTACGTCGCATACATCATCTCTCGCGATTCATATTCCTTAATTAATAAAGAATAAATCTGAGGCTCTAATAGAATGTATACAAATTTAATGTATCATTCCTTAATGTTGTTGACATCAGATACGTGACATCGTAAATTTAGAATCGATAGAAAACGGTCGTAATTATTTTAAATAAAATATAAACTAATAATGATATGTGCGCATACACTATAACGGGAAAAACGTACTTTATTACAGTTATTTTCGGTGACAGCTTCTTCTCAAACATTAAGAAATTTTTCATGTGTAGCCCTGTTATCATAGAGGTACCGCACTTCGCGTCGCTGCGCGGAAAAGAACGAGAGATAGTAATTTTACGATCGGATAATGGAGAGACCTGGCGCGAGCACACCTTGGAGGCCAGCGAGGAGGCTGTCCAAGATGTGCTTAACGAGAGCTTTGAGGGAGAAGGTATGATTTTTAAAATAATTTCTTTATATGTGTGTAATTTTTAAATGTACAATAAACTCTGAATTATATATAATAGATTATATCTTTTTTTATAGAGCTAAGCCAGCTAGAGGATCTCCAAACGTCTCGCATCGTGAGAATACTGACCGTAGACTTTCCGCATTATTTCGCGGTAGTATCTCGCATCAGGCAAGAGGTCCATGCGGTTGGTCCCGAGGGTGGCACCGTATCATCATCTGCTGTACCACAAGTACAAGCTGTCTTCCCACAAGCAGCCCTCACTAAGAAGATCAGAGTCGGTTTACAGGTATTTTTCTGTTTCTTTTTTTATAAATGTAATTAAATTTATATCTACTCTTATTAAAAGCATATTTATTTTTTTTATAATTTATTTATCGCATTAAATACAAAAACTGTTATTATGATTTTCATTTAGGCACATCCTATACCGGCGGATCTTGTGGCCAAGTTACTCGGAAATAGAGTAGCTGTGTCACCGATCGTTACCGTGGAGCCAAGACGAAGAAAGTTCCACAAACCGATAACTTTAACCATCCCAGTGCCACAAGCAGCCAATAAAGGCATGATCAACCAATACTCTGGGGATGCGCCAACTTTGAGACTTCTGTGCAGCATAACTGGTAATATATGCTTGCACGTAACATTGTAGAGCAGCGTACCGTCTTACTGGAGAATCTCTTACCGAAACAGCTGAAACTATAATATTATACGCCGCATACACCTTTGGTGTATATATATCTATATCTATCTATCTATATATATATATACATATATATATATATATATATATATGCTCTTGTCGAACTTACGTTATTGCGCATTCAAGTATCAATTTACTGTAGTTTAGCAGGCATGAACTCAGTCGGTAGGCTATCTTGTCTGTTCTCAGGTCATCGGGACTGCGAATCAAAATATCGTATGTTGCACGAAAAGATTGCTTGAATGTTAGCAGCACTTTTATAACTTGTTTATGTTCAGTATTATCAACGGTCTGTACATTTGTGATTTGCACCAATAAATGTAAAGATGCTCCAATGTCAAGTATTCACTCAAAGAGGATTAATTTATGTTGCGGAGGTTTGTCATGACATTACGTGAATGTTTTAAATAATTTCTTGTCATTTACATCCGTATTGTCGGAAAATGTCCCGAGGGCCTTCGGATAGAGATTTAAAAGGGAGATGGTAGCTGCATGTCTTATAGAAAAATTTCGTTGAGTATCATTATTGTATACATATCTTGTTGTAATTCATTGTTAATGCTTGCATATTGTTAGGATTGAGTCATTTAGGTATGGATTATCAAATTAAAGTAGATAACATTTTTTATATATTACCTAGCTCATTGTAAGCGTTAACTTTAAAGTTTTTGTTTCAGCACATTCGTTTAACTGGTAATTGCTTTGATATTAGTAATTTGTAATTTATATAAAATTGTGCTCATGAAGTATATATATATATATATATATATATATTTTAAGTTGTTATAATATTCTTCGTACATATAATACTCACTCTTATAAATGAAAAGAATTAATGTCATTATTAAAACAATACTACATATTCACCGATTATTATTAATATTTAAGCTTAGCTCTTAAATCACAACCTATTGAGAACTTACTTTAAACATCAATATTTCTACGATATTCGTAAAAAATCTTTATTTTTAGAAAAAATAATTACGCTATTTATTTAATTTTTTTAACTTTATTAAAAGTCGTTTTTTATCAAAACATATTAATGACAGATTGAAATACATATTGATGTATATATATAAATTCTTTAATTATTACATGAAATTCGTACATATCTATAATTGCTTTTTACACAATTTATATGGATAGTGCTTCTTCTTGATTTTGCAAGCATTATCATTCGATCAATCACATATTTTATATTATTCACACATTGATAAAAAGCACCTAATAATAATGCACTTATAGCGATCGTTTTAAATACGAAGTTTTTTCTTAGACTAATAATTATACACTCGATATTATTTTTACATTGATTTGTATCCGATCAATTATTAATTGTTCGTATTTAATCTCGGTCGCGCGAAAATATACTACACTATATTTCACCTATGCCATTTGCGTATTTACAACACGGACATATTTTAATAATGTTATTGGACTTGGCATGTATGTCGTTCAGGGGGTCAGACTCGGGCAGTCTGGGAGGATGTCACAGGCTCGACGCCGTTAACGTTTGTGAAAGACTGCGTCTCCTTCACTACTACAGTTTCCGCTCGCTTTTGGTTGATGGACTGTCGTAACATCTCCGAAGCTACGAAAATGGCCACAGAACTCTATACGCATGCGACACATGTACCTTTTATGGCCAAGTACGTTAATGTAATGTAAATTTGAAGTAACAATAAGTGTGAGAAATATGGAAAATAATTATATTATTTAATGCATTTTTGATAGGTTCGTAGTGTTTGCAAAACGAATAGATCCATTGGAAGCGAGATTGCGTGTATTCTGTATGACGGATGACAAAGAGGATAAAACTTTAGAGCATCAGGAACATTTTACAGAAGTCGCAAAAAGCAGGGACGTCGAGGTAACTATCGGCGATAAAAATACAAATTAATTACTAAAATGCATAATGCATAACTATTTAAATGTCTAAAGTATCATAAATTTTATTTTTTGCTATAGGTTTTGGAAGGAAAAACGCAGTACATGGAGTTCTCGGGAAATCTCGTGCCTGTATTGAAAACTGGCGAACAGCTTCAGCTACCATTTAGAGCTTTCAAAGAAAATAGAGTTCCGTTTACCGCGAGGGTAAAAGATCCAGATGCCGCAGATATGATGGGGCGAATTATGTTTATGAGTGAACCCAAAGTTCCGAGAGGCGAATTACCACAAACGCCGATTTGCACGCTAAATATTTTGCTGCCAGAGAAAATTTCTCCGGATACTGCAGTCTCTGAGCTTGATTTATTGGAACTATCAAAAAATTATAGTTTTCTACGCGATGGCGGAATAAGTACGTGAATGCAGTAAAACAAGGAGAAAATTAATTAATACATGCACAATATTTTTTTATCAAAATGATAATTTAACACTAACATTAACATATTATTTTTAGGTAGGCCAGATGCCATACATAGAGCGACTATTCGTTTAACAGACATCGCCAATCTATTGGATAAAGATTGGGAACCACTAGCGGAAGAGTTAAACATCCCGCCTAATGATGTAGCCTTAATAAAACAAGAATATCCTGATAAACCTGCACAACAGGCCGCTGCAATGTTCAAAATCTGGCAGAACAACGGGAACAAAGCTACAGGTAAATCTCTCCACAGATATTATATTGTACAACTTATCTATCTTTATATTTGCAAAACACGAGCGCAGTGTGTGACTTTTCGATAAATGAGAGCTACTGCGTTGGTAACCTTTAAAAAAAACCTGTTTCTCTTAGCAAGGTCAATTAATTAGACACGCGCGTTATAGTTGAGTCAGACGCGAAGAATCTCTTCTAGGAACGTCGTAGATGATGATCTCATTGTGCATTATTATGCCTGACATAAGTCCACACACACGCCTCATTCCCACTTTTCTTCCCGCTAATGGCATTGACTCGCACGTAATTCTCGTGGCGTTTCTGCAATCGGCAGAAATAACGAGCAGTCGTGATTCCATAGTATTCTCGGGCGCACAGCAGAAGTGATTAAAATCTGAGTGTTCGCAGTCATTTCTTTTTTTATGTGTATCTCGATTTTACTATTTGATAAATTTTTCCTATCTCAATCTAAATTATCTGGTATTTTTCGATAAAATAATATATTTCGAGTGTGTGCTGCGTAATTTTTTTTTAACCTTAGATCAATTTCGATAAAAAATTAAAAAAAATTTTTTTTAAATAATGTTTATAACTTTGTATCAGGAATATGAAAATCAAAATCATTATACGAGCGAACTTCTATTAATATTTCGGAGATGTTCTTATTTTCATCCACAATGTGCAATACATTCAGGTTTGTGTCAAATTAATCAAAAAACGAACGAGGATACAATTGACTATAAATTTTATGTATATGTATTGACACATATCTTTATATATAAAATCTATTACACACATATAGTATTTCCAATATTTTATATTTTAAAAGATATATATTGAATGTTTTTAGAATATTAAATATAATAAATGTATAAAATATATACGTAGGTGTATATATATATATATATATATATATATATATATATTTATATATATATATTTATTTATATATTTATATTTATATTTATAATATATTTATACTATATAAATTAAAATATGCCTTTTTAAATTGATCATGATTGAAACATAACATTTGTTCTTCATTCGCATACAGGAAATACATTAGAAAAGGCTCTTAATAAGATTGGACGAGAGGACATAGTGAACAAATGTATCTTCAATGTTGAGCTAGTAACCGATGACGTTGAAAAAGCTGTAGCGAGGGTAAGATTAGATCAACCGGGATTTGATTCGCTAAAAGAAGAATTAGGACCGTCGAGAAACACGTCACTTCGTCGTGATGCAACTATGGATCCCAAGATGGATCCTGATTATGAAGAGCCGGATAGAATGAAGGTGCGCATTTTATACACATCTTTAAGAATCTGCAAGAAATCAATCTATATGTCACATTAAAACATCATTAAAACATCATTAAAAAAGAATGCTATTTTATATTTATAATGTTACTTTGTTTTTTAAATGCTACTGAAAACAATTGAAAAAGATACAATCTATCCACTTTGTGTTTTATAACTCGTTTATATATAGTTGGAACGCTTATACGTAACAGTAATTTACTTAAATAACTGCGTTTTCATAAGCGTGAGAATTACTGAGATAAAACGCAATTTTCTTATTCTAGGACTCTGAATCGGTCGAGGATCTCAGTGTCACTGGAAGTATGCACGATAAATGTAAGTACATTAATAAAGTTCATAATGTTAATTTCATTATTTATTATACTCGCTCTTGCATTGCGGTTTCTTATTACATATATAATTCAAGAATTCGTCAAAATTAGTTAAATATTACACATTTTTTTATTATACTACATTATATAGCAAAAATATGACGTCATGGCTCACAATCGTTGAATGAATAATGCACGTCGCAATGCGTGCTTAATTATGTCAGTACATAAAAATAGCAAATACACTTTTACTCGTGCTTATCTAAATGTGTTAGTCAATGCTTGTCGGACAATTTTATTGTAGCCACATTACGATTTATTTTGCAACGTTTCACATCAGCTCATGTTATTTCCTCATGTCTCCTTGTTTATGCATTTTCTGCACTTCACAGCTAAAGAGCACATCACAATCACAAACGGCACTGTATTCAACGGAACCTCGACCCCCATCAAAGACAAATATGCGAGCGATGAGAAAGAGCTCGGCGACATGATGGCTGATTACCTTGAGCAGAAATGTCACGTGACTGACACGATGAGCAAAAAATCGCGCGATGAACTGGACGATATGGATAAAAAACGCCAGAAAGTGATCGCCGACGCCAACAAAATAGTCTCTGGTAAGTGAGCAACTGAAAGCGCAATTGAATAAATGGTGGGTTGAGGGGCCGTGCTTACTACTATTATTACTACTTTTGGCAGAACCGGTAGCCAATTAATCGATTTTAGCAGAACTACGTCGCCAAATGCGGGATTACGCATTAATTAAAGCTCAGCAGCATGATTGGATTAATGCTGCGGGCGCACGCTTGATCCTAAGAGATCGATTTACTTGATTATTAACCATCTATCGACAACTTACGTTTTGCTATCGGACTCGCTATAAGAACTTGCTAAATTGAAAATACTTATATCCTTTCCTCGATGACATCGTGTTCATAGTTATGAAACATACGTTATGAAGTGTCACTTAAAAGAATTTTGAACGAGATATATGTTAAATAATAATAATACCATTTTTTTTCTTAATAATTAATATTTTAATGAAATTTTTCGTTGTTCTAATTAGTTATATTTTAATGCTGACAATGTTACTTTTCATTTCCAAATTTTATTCATAATTTGTCATCGTCTACATAAAATTATTTTGAGTTTTTACGTAAGTATTAAATTAATACGATATGCACACAATCTTATTTCAGCGAAACGTTGCAATCGAATACAGAAATATTCTTACTTTAATAGCACAATGATTCTGGACACGATTCCTGTCAATAATACATAAAATGATGTCTCAGCTTACAAAGAACATTGTACATTCTGCAGAGCAAATAATGTACATGAGCACTAAACTTATGTCTCTATGCCGTTTTTTACTTCTACTCACAGGTTCTGGAAGCCAATGCGGATCTCTTCGGATTTTTATCAGAGAAAAGCTTGCTTTTATTTTAATATATAACGAATTATTTTATTGCGCCTATTTATCACACAAGCAGCTCTTATCTATTATATATTATACGATATAATTTTTATATCTCATTTAATCATCCCCACTAATATCCTTCTATTCCGCGACACTTTTGGATTAATTTGTTTCAGCAAGGTTTCGCTGCAATTATTTGGCGTTGCATGAATGGCCAATATGTTGTGTGGTCCAATTGTGTGCGCGCACGGAGCAGCTATCATTTGAAAAGATCACTAGACATTGTCGTATAGTCATCCATTAAAATACTGTTTCACGTTTGTGTCTTTAATAGATGAATTAAAAAATACTAAGTTATTATACTAATAGCAATATGCTGTATTAGTTTAAAATAATTAAAAGTTTTTGCGAAGCTGAATATACTTATTGCTGTTTATATTCTAACAGTTTCATTTTGGAATGCCTTCAGCATTTATTTTTTATAATATATATAATATTAATTAAAAAAGATGCACACTCTCATATTTGAAATTGCATCTCATTTCGAAATTGCAAGCTACTGAATAAGTTTTGAAAAGAATTGATTGAAAAGTTCAAATCAAAAATTCATTATATATTGATTATTGAATAATTAATGTTACTTCTCCTTCTTGAATCGTACTTGTCTTGCGTTTATAATGATAGTAATGAAAAGATGGCTGCTCCACAGCACATACACTTCACGCACAAACCACTCTACAATACTCTAACCGCAGTTCAATGAAAAAAGCAATCAAAGAGCGAGCCAGCTTACACTAATGATGACGAAATTGACAATAAAATTGTGTTCTTTTATTTTCCACCACGTATACAGATGCCTAAAATATATGATACTTAATTAACAGGTGTAATAGCAGACGCAGAGAAAGAGAAGGGGAAGTTAGCGAAGGAAGGGTGGTCGGTGGTTTATGATGATGATGATGTGCGAGACAGTAAAGAGGCGCGGGGTGCGATAGGGCAGACTTTAATTAACGTACAATTAGATCAGGCGATCGCCGAGCCGAAAGGTATAATTTCCAAATCAGTCGCTGAACAAATTCCTAGTATCGAGCCACCGATGGTTAGGCAATATCACGGTGAAAAGCCAGATTCTAAAATTAGCAGTAGTAAAACAGTAGTTTCCGTTAGTGATGATCCGAAAGTAAGTCGAACGGTAGTTACTAAAACTACAATAATAAAACAATTTGATCAAACACCGACTAAGACTGTAACTACTAAAGAAACAGTTATTTTACCGGATAAGAAAGATGTTGTTAGCGAAAAGGAAAAATTATCTAAAGAAGGTAAGGAAGTTGACGAAAAATTAATTCAAGGCGTAATTCCTACGGGTATTACGCAAAAAACTGTACAGGTAGAAAGTGTAACTCGAACTGATCAGAAAAAGTCAGACGCAAAATCGGATGTGGCTAAGGAAAAAGATAAGGATAAAACAAAGGATAAGGATAAAGAAAAGGATAAAGAAACTATTACGAAACCAACGAAACCATCAGCTTACGAAGATATTTACAATGTACAGCAACTGGCAGATAGTACGGACGAAAAATCAGACGAAGAAACGAAGAAAACGAAGGATAAAAGCAGTGGAATTTTTTCAAACATTTTTAAAGGCTCTAAATTGAAGAAAGGTAAAAAAGGTTCAAAGGACACATCCCTTGACAGTGGCGATGAGGAATTGCCAAAGCCTATCATAACGAAAGTTTCGGAACAGCAGCCAGAACCCCCTTCTAACGAAACAATAGATTTGTCTTTCGACAGTAAACTTCCAGAAATCACTGTCGCACCCGATGTAAAATTAGCTACTATTGAATTCTTGAATGATTCCAAACGTATTGCCGCGGACATGCATGTGCCTTATGAAAATCTCGCTAAACCAACAGAAAAAGAAGATAAGAGAGTGGAGCTTACTGAGAGCGACGATGACGGTAAAGATAAGACGGGCTTCTTCTCAAGTTTATTTAAAAGCAAATCTAAAAAGGATGACGATGGAACGGTTATACCAGTTATTCATGTTGAAAAACCGAAAGAAAGTGCGGAGCAAATTGCGAAGAAAGAGAAAAAGAAATTGGCAGCGCTTGCGAAGGAAAATGAGGAGTTACTGGAATTACAAATAAAGGAAAAAGCGAAAGAAGCCGAAGCATCTGAGACTGTCGAAATACTTAGTGGTACAATCGAGAAAGAAGCTGCAACTAAAGATATGAAAGTCAAGGATATCGAAAGTAAAGAAATCGAAAAGAAGATTACTGCAGATGAGCACAGTAAAGATGATAAAAAGGAAGAAGATCAAACGAAAGAGAAAGGAAGTTTCTTTGGCATCTTTAAGAGTCCAAAGTCTAAGGAGAAAAAGATGAGCAAATCGAAGGAAACATCCTTCGACAGCGGTGACGAAGAGATTCGAATCGTGACAGAGAAACTCTTAGATGACACACGAAAAATTACTGATTTAAATGAATTACCAGTTGCATATAAAAGTGATAGTACGAAAATCATTCCTAAAGAAGAGGTACATACTTTTGTGTCGACAACTCATTACGACGTCGACATTCCTGCTGATAAAATCGGAAAATCCTACGATGTTGTCCAAACTACGACAAAGATTGAGAAAACTATTATTCAGGAGGAAATAAACGGAAAAGCAGATGCTGGTAAAGACAAAGATCAAAAAGAAGAAAAAAAAGATACTGAGAAACCCGCTTCAGAGGTTAAATCTGAAATATCTGACTCAAAGATTTCCGAGATGGAGAAAGAAGTAAACGATGACATCAAGGAAAAAAGCGGTGGTTTCTTCGGCATATTTAAGAGTCCGAAGCTGAAGAGCAAGAAAAGAAGCAGATCCCGAGAACAGAGTTCTTCGAAGGATACCTCCTTCGATAGCGGAGACGAAGAAATTCGATTAACAACGGCAAAATTTCTGGAAGACACGAAACAGATAGCGGAGAATCTACAGGCTGGAGAAACAGTTACCAGAACTCCACCCATCGATCATGCAGAGATTAAGAAATCTATCATCCTTGAGGATGAAGTCGTTGAAAAAGATAAGGGAAGTGGTATTTTTAGTATATTTAGAAGTCCCAAACAAGCAAGGAGTTCTAGGAGTAGATCAAAAGAAAAGACTCCATCGCTCGAATTACCAGATAGTGGCCACGATGATATGCGGGAAATAACAACAAAATTTTTAGAAGATTCTCGAAATGTAGCGAATATTACAGGCGAATCGACAGAAACCGAACATTTGAAACACAAAATCGCAATTGAAACTAAAGACGATAAATTAATAACTACTATTGAAGATGCGAAAAAAATTAAACATCACATTGCGAGTGCGGTAGAAGATGTTGACAAAATTGTCAAGGATGATAAAGAGATAAATGGTAAAAAAATAGAGGAGAAAACACATGATATCCTCGATAACACTGCAACTACAAAGGATAAAACAATCAAGGAAGCTAAAAAAATGAAAGAGAAAGGATCAGGATTCCTCTCAGGAATATTCAAAGGCGCGAAACATGCTGTAGAAGATGCAACTGACGACGTCAAAGAATTTCTAGATGAGACGAAAAAGGAAGCTGTATTAGAAGAAGAACGTGCTAAGGAAAAAGCTGCCGCCGATCTCAAAGCTTTGAAAGACAAAAAGGATACTGTTGTTTCAAAAATTCAAGAGACTACAGAACAAACTGCTACCGACGTGAAAGACGCGAAAGACAAAGCAGTTTCCGCTGTTAAAGATAAAAAAGATGAAATTGTAGCAGAAGTTTCCAAAGATATTCAGAAAGTTGCCGATACTACGAAAGCAGTTGGTGAAAAAATAACAGCAGAAACGAAAAAAGTCGGTGAGAAAATAGGAACAACTGCGACAGATAAGGCGCAGGATGTGAAGGATATTAAGGAAGCAACAGTCAAGGAAATGAAAGAAGATGCAAAATTAGTAAAAGAGAAATTAGCAGCAGGCGCTGATGCTGTTGCGGACACTATCGACAAAACTAAGGATAAGACAACGAAAGAAGCGAAGAAAGCCAAAGAAAAAACAAGTGGCTTCTTCTCCGGTATATTTAAAGGAGCGAAACACGCTGTCGAAGACGCAACGGACGACGTCAGAGAATTTCTAGATGAGACGAAAAAGGAAGCTGAATTAGAAGAAGAACGTGCTAAAGAAAAAACAACCGCCGATCTCAAAGATTTGAAAGACAAAAAGGATACTGTTGTTTCAAAAATTCAAGAAACTACAGAACAAACTGCCATCGATGTGAAAGACGCAAAAGACAAAGCAGTTTCCGCTGTTAAAGATAAGAAAGATAAAATTGCAGAAGAAGTTTCCAAAGATATTCAGAAAGTTGCCGATACTACGAAAGCAGCTGGTGAAAAAATAACAGCAGAAACGAAAAAAGTCGGTGAGAAAATAGGAACAACCGCGATAGATACAGCGCAGGATGTGAAGGATATTAAGGAAGCAACAGTCAAGGAAATGAAAGAAGATGCAAAATTAGTAAAAGAGAAATTAGCAGCAGGCGCTGATGCTGTTGCGGAAACAGTGGACAAAACCAAGGATAAGACAACGAAAGAAGCGAAGAAAGCCAAAGAAAAAACAAGTGGCTTCTTCTCCGGGATATTTAAAGGAGCAAAACACGCTGTCGAAGACGCAACTGACGACGTCAAAGAATTTCTAGATGAGACGCAAAAGGAAGCTGCATTAGAAGAAGAACGTGCTAAAGAAAAAGCAACCGCCGATCTCAAAAATTTGAAAGACAAAAAGGATACTGTTGTTTCAAAAATTCAAGAGACTACAGAACAAACTGCTACCGATGTGAAAGACGCAAAAGACAAAGCAGTTTCCGCTGTTAAAGATAAAAAAGATGAAATTGTAGAAGAAGTTTCCAAAGATATTCAGAAGGTTGCCGATACTACGAAAACAGCTGGTGAAAAAATAACAGCAGAAACGAAAAAAGTCGGTGAGAAAATAGGAACAACCGCGATAGATACAGCGCAGGATGTGAAGGATATTAAAGAAGCAACAGTGAAGGAAGTGAAAGAAGATGCAAAATTAGTAAAAGAAAAATTAGCAGCAGGCGCTGATGCTGTTGTGGAAACTGTGGACAAAGCCAAAGATAATACAACGAAAGAAGCGAAGAAAGCCAAAGAAAAAACAAGTGGCTTCTTCTCCGGTATATTTAAGGGAGCAAAACACGCTGTCGAAGATGCAACTGACGACGTCAAAGAATTTCTAGATGAAACGAAAAAGGAAGCTGAATTGGAAGAAGAACGTGCTAAAGAAAAAGCTGTCGCCGATCTCAAAGATTTGAAAGACCAAAAGGATACTGCTGTTTCAAAAATTCAAGAGACTACAGAACAAGCTGCTACCGATGCGAAAGGTGCAACGGATGAAGCTATTTCCGCTGTTAAAGATAAGAAAGATAAAATTGCAGAAGAAGTTTCTAAAGATATTCAGAAGGTTGCCGATCCAGCGAAAGTAGCTAGTGAAAAAGTATCAGCGGAAACGAAAAAAGTCGGCGAGAAAATAGGAACAACCGCGACAGATATGGCCCAGGATGTGAAGGATATTAAAGAAGCAACAATAAAGGAAGTGAAAAAAGATACAAAATTAGTAAAAGAGAAATTAGCAGAAGGCGCTGATGCTGTTGCAGAAACAGTGGACAAAGCCAAGGATAAGACAACGAAAGAAGCGAAGAAAGCTAAAGAAAAAACAAGTGGCTTTTTCTCCGGTATATTTAAAGGAACAAAACACGCTGTCGACGACACGGACGACGTCAAAGAATTTCTCGATGAAATGAAAAAGGAAGCTTCAATGGAAGAAGAACGTGCTAAAGAAAAAGTTGCCGCTGATCTCAAAGATTTGAAAGATAAAAAGGATACTATTGTTTCAAAAGTTCAAGAGACTACAGAACAAGCGGCTACAGAAGCGAAAGACGCAACAGAAAAAACAGTTTCTGCTGTTAAAGATAAGAAAGATAAAATTGTAGAAGGAGTTTCCAAAGATATTCAGAAGGTTGCCGATATAGTGAAAGCAACTAATGAAAAAGTAACAGCGGAAACGAAAAAGGCCGGTGAAAGAATAGGAGCAACTGCGGCAGATATGAAGGATATTAAAGAAGCAACAGTAAAGAAAGTGAAAAAAGATACAGAATTAGTAGAAGAAAAATTAGCAGCAAGCGCTGATTCTATTGCCGAAACTGCAGATAAAGCCAAGGATAAGACAACGAAAGAAGCGAAGAAAGCCAAAGAAAAAGCAAGTGGCTTTTTCTCCGGTATATTTAAAGGTGCAAAACACGCTGTCGAAGACGCAACAGATGACGTCAGAGAATTTTTGGATGATACGAAAAAGGAAGCTGAATTGAAAGAGGAACATGCTAAAGAAAAAGTTGCCGCTGATCTGAAAGATTTGAAAGATAAAAAGGATACTGTTGTTTCAAAAATTCAAGAGACTGCAGATCAAGCTGCCACCGATGCAAAAGACTCAACAGACAAAGCAATTTCTGTGGTTAAAGATAAGAAAGATAAAATTGCAGAAGAAGTTTCGAAAGATATTCAGAAGGTTGCCGATACAGCGAAAGTAGCTAGTGAAAAAGTAACAGCAGAAACGAAAAAAGTCGGTGAGAAAATAGGCACAACCGCGATAGATATGGCGCAGGGTGTGAAGGATATTAAAGAAGCAACAGTAAAGGAAGTGAAAGAAGATACAGAATTAATAAAAGAGAAATTAACAGTAAGCATTGATGCTGTTGCGGAAACAGCAGACAAAACCAAGGATAAGACAACGAAAGAAGCAAAGAAAGCTAAAGAAAAAACGAGTGGCTTCTTCTCTGGTATATTTAAAGGTGCAAAACACGATGTCGATGACACAACGGACGACGTCAAAGAATTTCTTGATGAGATGAAAAAGGAAGCTTCATTGGAAGAAGAACGTGCTAAAGAAAAAGTTGCTGCGGATCTCAAAGATTTGAAAGATAAAAAGGATACTATTGTTTCAAAAGTTCAAGAGACTACAGAACAAGCGGCTACAGATGCGAAAGACGCAACAGAAAAGACAGTTTCTGCTGTTAAAGATAAGAAAGATAAAATTGTAGAAGGAGTTTCCAAAGATATTCAGAAGGTTGCTGATACAATGAAAGCAACTAATGAAAAAATAACAGCAGAAACGAAAAAGGCCGGTGAAAGAATAGGAGCAACTGCGGCAGATATGAAGGATATTAAAGAAACAACAGTAAAGAAAGTGAAAAAAGATACAGAATTAGTACAAGAAAAATTAGCAGCAAGCGCTGATTCTATTGCCGAAACTACAGATAAAGCCAAGGATAAGACAACGAAAGAAGCGAAGAAAGCCAAAGAAAAAGCAAGTGGCTTTTTCTCCGGTATATTTAAAGGTGCAAAACACGCTGTCGAAGACGCAACTGACGACGTTAGAGAATTTCTAGATGAGACGAAAAAGGAAGCTGAATTGGAAGAAGAACGTGCTAAAGAAAAAGCTGCCGCCGATCTCAAAGATTTGAAAGACAAAAAGGATACTGTAGTTTCAAAAATTCAAGAGACTGCAGAACAAGCTGCCACCGATGCAAAAGACTCAACAGACAAAGCAATTTCTGCGGTTAAAGATAAGAAGGATAAAATTGCAGAAGAAGCTTCGAAAGATATTCAGAAGGTTGCCGATACAGCGAAAGTAGCTAGTGAAAAAGTAACAGCAGCAACGAAAAAAGTCGGTGAGAAAATAAGCACAACCGCGATAGATATGGCGCAGGGTATGAAGGATATTAAAGAAGCAACAGTAAAGGAAGTAAAAGAAGATACAGAATTAGTAAAAGAGAAATTAACAGTAAGCATTGATGCTGTTGCAGAAACAGCAGACAAAACCAAGGATAAGACAACGAAAGAAGCAAAGAAAGCCAAAGAAAAAACGAGTGGCTTCTTCTCTGGTATATTTAAAGGTGCAAAACACGATGTCGATGACACAACGGACGACGTCAAAGAATTTCTTGATGAGATGAAAAAGGAAGCTTCATTGGAAGAAGAACGTGCTAAAGAAAAAGTTGCTGCGGATCTGAAAGATTTGAAAGATAAGAAGGATACTATTGTTTCAAAAATTCAAGAGACTTCAGAACAAGCTGCCACCGATGCGAAAGACTCAACAGACAAAACAATTTCCGCTGTTAAAGATAAGAAAGTTAAAATTGTAGAAGCAATTTCTAAAGATATTCAGAAGGCTGCTGATACAACGAAAGCAGCTAGTGAAAAAGCATCAGTGGGAACGAAAAAAGTGAGTGAGAAAATAGGAACAACCGCGACTGATACAGCACAGGATGTGAAGGATATTAAGGAAGCAGCAGTCAAGGAAGTGAAAGAAGATGCAAAAATAGTAAAAGAGAAATTGGCAGAAGGCGCTGATGCTGTTATAGAAACTGCGAACAAAGCCAAGGATAAGACAACGAAAGAAGCGAAGAAAGCCAAAGAAAAAACAAGTGGCTTCTTTTCCGGTATATTTAAAGGAGCGAAACACGCTGTCGAAGACGCAACGGATGATGTCAAAGAATTTTTAGATGAGACGAAAAAAGAAGCTGAATTGGAAGAAGAACGTGCTAAGGGAGAAGTTACCGCGGATCTGAAAGATTTGAAAGATAAAAAGGATGCTATTGTTTCAAAAGTTCATGACACTACTGAACAAGTTACCACTGATGCGAAAGACGCAAAAGACAAAACAGTTTCTGCTGTTAAAGATAAGAAAGATAAAATTGCAGAAGAAGTTTCCAAAGATATTCAGAAAGTTGCCGATACTACGAAAGCAGCTGCTGAAAAAGTAACAACGCAAACGAAAAAAGTCGGTGAGAAAATAGGAACAACCGCGACAGATACAGCGCAGGATGTTAAAGATATTAAAGAAGTAACAGTAAAGAAAGTGAAAAAAGATACAGAATTCGTACAAGAAAAATTAGCAGCAAGCGCTGATTCTATTGCCGAAACTGCAGATAAAGCCAGGGATAAGACAACGAAAGAAGCGAAGAAAGCCAAAGAAAAAGCAAGTGGCTTCTTCTCCGGTATATTTAAGGGAGCAAAACACGCTGTCGAAGACGCTACTGACGACGTCAAAGAATTTCTTGATGAGACGAAAAAGGAAGCTGTATTGGAAGAAGAACGTACTAAAGAAAAAGTTGCCGCGGATCTGAAAGATTTGAAAGATAAAAAGGATACTATTGTTTCAAAAATTCATGACACTACTGAACAAGTTATTACTGATGCGGAAGACGCAAAAAACAAAGCAGTTTCCGCTGGTAAAGATAAGAAAGATAAAATTATAGAAGAAGTTTCTAAAGACATTCAGAAGGTTGCCGACTCAACGAAAGCAACTACTGAAAAAGTAATAGTGGAAACAAAAAAAGTCGGTGAGAAAATAGGAACAACCGCGACTGATACAGCGCAGGATGTGAAGGATATTAAGGAAGCAGCAGTAAAGGAAGTGAAAGAAGATGCAAAAATAGTAAAAGAGAAATTAGCAGTAGGCGTGATATCTTCTCCGGTATATTTAAAGGAGCAAAACACGCTGTCGATGACGCAACTGACGACGTCAAAGAATTTCTAGATGAGACGAAAAAGGAAGCGTTATTGGAAGAAGACCGTGCTAAAGAAAAAGTTGCTGCGGATCTGAAAGATTTGAAAGATAAAAAGGATACTATTGTTTCAAAAATTCAAGAGACTGCAGATCAAGCTGCTACCGATGCGAAAGACTCAAAAGATAAAGCAATTTCCGCTGTTAAAGATAAGAAAGATAAAATTGCAGAAAAAGTTTCTAAAGATATTCAGAAAGTTACCGATACAGCGAAAGCAGCTAGTGAAAAAGCAACAGCAGAAACGAAAAAAATCGGTGAGAAAGTAGAATCTACCACATTAGATATGGCGCAAGATGTGAAAGATATTAAGGAAACAACAATAAAGGAAGTAAAAGATGATGCAAAATTACTAAAAGAGAAATTAGCAGTAAGCGCTGATATTGTTGCAGAAACTGCTGACAAAGCGAAGGATAAGACAACGAAAGAAGCGAAGAAAGCCAAAGAAAAAACAAGTGGCTTCTTCTCTGGTGTATTTAAAGGAGCAAAACACGCTGTCGAAGACTCAACTGATAACGTTAAAGAATTTTTGGATGAGACGAAAAAAGAAGCTTCATTAGAAAAGGAATACGCTATGAAGGAGGCTGAGGCGAATCTCATAGATTTACAAGATAAAAAGGATAGCACAGTTATCGGAGTTGAACAGACTATCGATAAAATTGTTACTGATACAAAGGAAGTAAAGGATAAGACAATTTTTACTGTTAAAGAAGAAAAAGATAAAATTGCAGAAGGCATTTCTAAAAATATTCAGAAGATTACCGATACTACAAAAGCAGCTGGTGCAGAAGCAACAGCGGAAACGAAAAAAATCAGTGAAAAAATAGAAGCAGCTGCAACAGATATGGCACAAGATGCTAAGAATATTAAGGATGCAACAATAAAGGAAGTAAAAGGAGATACAGAATTAATTAAAGAAAAATTAGCGGCAAGCACTGACGCTTTTGCAGAAACTGTAGATAAAACCAAGGATAAGACAACAAAAGAAGCGAAGAAAGCCAAAGAAAAAACAAGTGGCTTCTTCTCCGGTATATTTAAAGGAGCGAAACACGCTGTCGAAGACGCAACGGACGATGTCAAAGAATTTTTAGATGAGACGAAAAAAGAAGCTGAATTGGAAGAAAAACGTGCTAAAGAAGAAGTTGCTGCGGACCTGAAAGATTTGAAAGATAAAAAGGATACTATTGTTTCAAAAGTTCAAGAGACTACAGAACAAGCTATCATCGATGCGAAAGACACAAAAGACAAAGCAGTTTCCGCTGTTAAACATAAAAAAGATAAAATTGCAGAAGAAGTTTCTAAGGATATTCAGAAGGTTGCCGATACAGCAAAAGCAGCTGGTGAAAAAGTAACAGCGGAAACGAAAAAAGTCGGTGAGAAAATAGGAACAACCGCGACAGATACAGCGCAGGATGTTAAAGATATTAAAGAAGCAACAGTAAAGAAAGTGAAAAAAGATACAGAATTAGTACAAGAAAAATTAGCAGCAAGCGCTGATTCTATTGCCGAAACTGCAGATAAAGCCAAGGATAAAACAACGAAAGAAGCGAAGAAAGCCAAAGAAAAAGCAAGTGGCCTCTTCTCCGGTATATTTAAGGGAGCAAAGCACGCTGTCGAAGACGCTACTGATGACGTCAAAGAATTTCTAGATGAGACGAAAAAGGAAGCTGAATTGGATGAAGAACGTGCTAAAGAAAAAGTTGCCGGGGATTTGAAAGATTTGAAAGATAAAAAGGATACTGTTGTTTCAAAAATTCAAGAAACTACTGAACAAGCTATTACCGATACGAAGGACGCAAAAGACAAAGCAATTTCCGCTGTTAAACATAAGAAAGATAAAATTGCAGAAGAAGTTTCTAAAGATATTCAGAAGGTTGCCGATACAGCAAAAGCAGCTGATGAAAGAGTAACAGCGGAAACGAAAAAAGTCGGAGAAAAAATAGGAACAGTTGCGGCAGATATGACGCAAGATGTAAAGGATATTAAGGAAGCAACCGTAAAGAAAATGAAAGAAGATACAGAATTAGTAAAAGAAAAATTAGCGGCAAGCGCTGATGCTGTTGCGGAAACTGCAGATAAAGTCAAGGATAAAACAACGAAAGAAGCAAAGAAAGCCAAAGAAAAAACAAGTGGCTTCTTCTCTGGTATATTTAAAGGTGCAAAACACGCTGTCGAAGACGCAACTGACGACGTTAAAGAATTTCTTGATGAGACGAAAAAGGAAGCTGAATTGGAAGAAGAACGTGCTAAAGAAAAAGTTGCCGCGGATGTGAAACATTTGAAAGATAAAAAGGATACCATTGTTTCAAAAATTCAAGAAACTACTGAACAAGCTATTACCGATACGAAAGACACAAAAGACAAAGCAGTATCCGCTGTTAAAGATAAGAAAGATGAAATTGTGAAAGAAGTTTCCAAAGATATTCAGAAGGCTGTTGATACATCGAAAGCAGCTGGTGAAAGAGTAACAGCGGAAACGAAAAAAGTCGGAGAAAAAATAGGAACAGTCGCGGCAGATATGACGCAGAATGTAAAGGATATTAAAGAAGCAACCGTGAAGGAAGTGAAAGAAGATACAGAATTAGTAAAAGAAAAATTAGCGGCAAGCGCTGATGCTGTTGCGGAAACTGCAGATAAAGCCAAGGATAAAACAACGAAAGAAGCGAAGAAAGCCAAAGAAAAAACAAGTGGCTTCTTCTCTGGTATATTTAAAGGTGCAAAACACGCTGTCGAAGACGCAACTGACGACGTTAAAGAATTTCTTGATGAGACGAAAAAGGAAGCTGAATTGGAAGAAGAACTTGCTAAAGAAAAAGTTGCCGCGGATGTGAAAGATTTGAAAGATAAAAAGGATACTATTGTTTCAAAAATTCAAGAAACTACTGAACAAGCTATTACCGATACGAAAGACGCAAAAGACAAAGCAGTATCCGCTGTTAAAGATAAGAAAGATGAAATTGTGGAAGAAGTTTCCAAAGATATTCAGAAAGCTGTTGATACATCGAAAGCAGCTGGTGAAAGAGTAACAGCGGAAACGAAAAAAGTCGGAGAAAAAATAGGAACAGTTGCGGCAGATATGACGCAGGATGTAAAGGATATTAAGGATGCAACCGTAAAGGAAGTGAAAGAAGATACAGAATTAGTAAAAGAAAAATTAGCAGCAAGCGCTGATGCTGTTGCGGAAACTGCAGATAAAGCCAAGGATAAGACAACGAAAGAAGCGAAGAAAGCCAAAGAAAAAACAAGTGGCTTCTTCTCCGGTATATTTAAAGGTGCAAAACACGCCGTCGAAGACGCAGCTGACGATGTCAAAGAATTTTTAGATGAGACGAAAAAGGAAGCTGAATTAGACGAAGAACATACTAAAGAAAAAATTGCCGCGGATCTTAAAGATTTGAAAGATAAAAAGGATACTGTTGTGTCAAAAATTCAAGAGACTACAGAACAAACTGCTACCTATGCGAAAAGTGCGACGGATGAAGCTGTTTCCGCTGTTAAAGATAAGAAAGATAAAATTGCAAAAGAATTTTCCAAAGATATTCAGAAGGTTGCCGATACTACGAAAGCAGCTGGTGATAAGGTAACAGCGAAAACGAAAAAAGTTGAAGAGAAAATAGAAGCAACTGCGGCAGATATAACGCAAGATGCCAAGGATATTAAGGATGCAGTAGTACAGGACTTAAAGAAAGATACAGAATTGGTAAAAGAGAAATTAGCATCAAGCGCAGATACCGTTGCAGATATTGCAGACAAAGCCAAGGATAAGACAACGAAAGAAGCGAAAAAAGCCAAAGAAAAAACAAGTGGCTTTTTCTCCGATATATTTAAAGGTGCAAAGCAGAGTGCAGAGAGCGCAACCGATGATACGAACAAATTTCTGGATGAAATGAGAAAAGATGCATCTTTAGAACATGACCAAGCGAAAAGAACCTTAACTAAAGAATTAAAAGATTTAGAACGTAAAGCTGTGGATTTTAAAACTGACTTGAAAGATAAAAAGGATGCTATCATTATAACAACTCAAGATATTGGAGATAAAGCTATCGCTGATGCAAAGGATGCAAAAAGTAAAATAGTCTCTACAGTAAAAGAAGAAAAAGATAAAATTTTAGAAAAAGCTGTCGATACCATGAAAGCAGCCGATGAGAAGATAACAACGGGGACGAAGAAAATCGACGAAAAAATGGAAACTACTACAGCAGATGTTGCACAAAGTGTTAAAGATGCTAAAGATACAGCGAAAGAGGATATAAGATTAATGAAAGATAAGTTGACAATGAGTGTTGGAACTATAGCCGATGATGTTGAAACTGCAAAAGACAAGGCAACTAAAGAAACGAAAAAAGTTAAGGAAAAGGGATCTAGTTTTCTGTCTGGAATAGTTAAAGGTGCAAAACACGCTGTTGAAAACGCGAGAGACGATGTTAAAGAATTTATTGATGAAACAAAGCACGAAGCGGAATTGGAAGAAGCTCATGCTAAAGAAGCAGCAGCAGCTAAATTGAAAGAACTGGAAAACAAAAAAGATATTGCGGTCGAAAGTGTTACAAAAGACGTAACGATTGTGGGCAAAGATGCTAAAGATAAACTTTCTGAGAATGCAAGTCAAATAGTTGAGACGACGAAGACTGCTCTTGATAAAGTAGCAATCGAAGCGAAAAAAATCGACGATAAAATAGTAAGATCCAAGGCCACAGATGTTGATATAAAAGACGAAAGTGTCAGTAAGAAAATGAAAAAAGATATGAAAGTTGTAAAAACTAAATTGGCAACAAGTGTTGATGATGTCGCGGAAAATACTAAAGCAATTAAAGAGAAGCTAGCAAAAGATACCAAAAAGACGAAAGATAAAGGTTCGGGTTTTCTGTCTGGAGTTATTCAAGGTGCAAAACATACGGAAAAGAAGGTTTCCGACGATGTGAAGGATTTTCTGGAATCGACCAAGCAGGAAGCAGCCGCTGATGAAGCACTTGCAAAAGAGGCAGCCACAGCAAGATTAAAGCAGCTCGAACAAGAGAAGGACAAAGCTGTCGACGAGATTAAAATCGCCACGGAAAGAATTGTGAAAGGCACGAAAGATGTCAAGGAAAGGAGCTTTTCCGGCATGAAAGGTGCGAAGGAAAAAACGATTTCTGCTGTAAAAACAACAGGGAATAAGGTAAAACAAGATGTATCGCAAGCCAGCGATAAAATTAAATCTACTAGCCACGATGCGACGCAGAAAGCTAAACGTGTCAAAGATGCAAGCGTGAACGAAACGAAAGATACACAAGCAGTCAAAGGGAAGGCAACAACTGGCGCAGGCGCTATTGTGGACTCCGCGGAAGTCGCCAAGGATAAGACCACCAAAGAAGCTAAAAAAGCTAAGCAAAAGGTTGGCGGTTTTCTATCGGGCGTGGTAAAGAGTGCTAAACACGCAGTAGAAGACGTAACGGATGACATGAAAGAGTTCTTGGAAGAAACCAAACAAGAAGCAGTCACCGAAGAAGCACGTGCTAGGAGTGACGCTCAAGCGAAAGACAAATCCGCCAAACTGTTAACTGACACAAAAGACAAACCTGTCGGTTCTGTCAAAGATGCATCAAGAAAGAAGGTTGTTCAAAAGGCATCTAAATCGCCACGTGATACGAGAGGTGCGTCAGGGGATGTAGTCTCGTCCATTTCCAAAGAGACGAGCAAGGTAACGAGAACGTTAGCGACTGAAACGAGGAAAGCCGGTGATAAAGTAGAATCTAAACCTATAAACGAGAGTGTTCAGGAGGTAGTTGTACGAGATAGTTTCGAGGTAATTGGCAGTCCGGAGATGTCAGGCGATGTTAAGCATTTAATTGAAACAGTTAGGGATAAAAGAATATCTCGCATTCCACAAAAGATTAGTCCAAGCAAGGAAATTCTAGCTGACGATGTCATGACATCAGACGATTCAGGTTTACGTAGAGTAGTAGAGACAGTAACTACGATAGAGCATCCTGAGCCTCGCACACGGCACTCCGTCACCACAGTCGTGACAAAGTCTGTGCGAACGACCCCACCACCACCCGATTCACTCGCCGAGTTCACTGACAGTAGAACCGAAGGTATCTTGCAATAATCTTGCGTTATATATATCCATATATCTCTATATATACTTATATATACATACATATATATATATATATATATTTATATATTTATATATACATATATACATATATATATATATATATGTGTGTGTGTGTGTGTGTGTGTGTGTGTATATACATATACACATATATATACATACATATATATATATATATATATATATATATATATATCATATATATTATACATATCATATATATTATAATATATATTATATATATTATATATACCAGCTGTGTGTAACATGATTAATTATTAAGTTGATGCTTCTCTGTAACTTCAGTTTTACTAGTTATTCTCGTGACATCAGAGAGAAAAAAAGAAAGAGATATATATATATTCATGCACCTTCGTCATTCATTAATGAAACCTAACACTCTAATCTCAGTCATTTTCAGTCTACTAATTATGTTTCACGACTCGTAGAGCCGATCGACAACATTCGAAACATTCATATTATCGCTTGTTCCTGTTATAATTTTCTGCATATTGTTTTGGATTTGTTTATGTTTCCATGTATATTGAATAGGTATATTGTTAATCGGAGTCAATTTTTTTAATGAAGTTTAAATTAGGAACAGTGCTTGTTATAATACAAGATCAAAGATATCAATCATATCGAAAGAATTTATAAATGATATACTATATTAGTTTAATTATTTCTTATTATTTTATTATATTTATTATAATGATATGACTATTTATATTATTGTCACACAAAATCATGTCTTTTTTTCGTTTATTAGTTTATTATTTTTTTTTTTTTTTTTTTTTTTATTTTTTTTTAACATTATATAAATAGACGAAATGCATGCTTTCAGGTTTTTATGCTGTATTTTATAACGTCTCTTATCATGATAATAGATAATTTTCTAAGTACTATTTATCGAATACCGGAAATCTTATTTTGTCACACAAATCATGTCTTTTTTTCGTTTATAGCATATAACATATAGAGATCACGTATTTACGATTATACAGTAATATGTCTCATTGAAATTAACAGGAGTACTACAACTAGCGAAGCATGAACCGAGGTATGCCATACAGGGAAAACATCATTCATCATCTAATCTTTGTTGAATCACTGCTTTCAATGTCATATTTGTCGATTCTCGATCTAAACTCAATTTGCGTTCTGTGACCTTTTCAGATGTAACCGAAGAGGCTGCGAGACAGGCCCAACATATGGCAGAACAGGCGTCGAGCATCTCGACGAAAACAGGTAACGTAAAATAACTCGAGTAAAATGTAAAAGACTTCACACGTACACGGATCATCATCTTCGGTCGAAGATTAATAACGGTAGCAGACTTTGTTTTTGGTACCCTCATTTATATTTAGCTTTATCTTCCATAGTTAGCACCTGCCGACGCTTTCACACTAACCGATACTTGCGCATGTGTCTTACTAAATAGTTACCGCGATCTCTTTTTGCTAAGAATACATTTACACGCCAGGAAGAAAGATAGCTCTCGTCGTCTACGAGACACCTTGCAATACACTCTCTTCGATTATTATCGAAATTAATTTGTATATATATTATACTCGTCGAGTAGGCTAGTTACATCAGTAGTCTAGAATATTCAATAAATCGTAATATAAAATTCCTGCAGGAAAATAATCCTTCTCGAAAAGAATTGATGAAAAATATAGATTAGATATCTTCTTTTTTATTAATTGTATAGCTTCGAGAAAATTTCTTGTGAATATTAAAATAGTACATATCTTTATTTTACTACGTATTGCGTAATGTTAAAATCGTTTCGTTCCTGCCTCCACGATGGTACATTTTAGTAAGATTCAAGCGCTACGACTAGACATCGTCTTTTAATGAGTGTACTCTTTTTGTTTCCGATAAACAGACTAATCCTTGTTGCAATATTGATACTAACTAAAATTAAATAAACGCGAATATAGAACAGCGGTGTACGCGCACACGCATCACATACGCGAAGCGCATTTTATGATTTATTTCTCTACCTTTTCCGACGCACGTGCGTGCGTGCATGCGTGTGTGTGTGTGCACCAGCGCGAGTTTCTCCTTTTTTATTAGTGTGTATGCGCGTATACATACATATTGTGAAGCAGAAACGCTCCGAATCTCTTTCTGGGTTCAACTTTGGCAGCTGGGCTAGAGTTGAAATTCTTAGTGTGTATCAATGTGCTTTATGTCCTTGTTCCTGTTCTTGTCCATGTCCTTTTGGATGGGTCAGGGCATGATTCGGCTGAAATTGATGGGACTGTAGAGAGGCATGCTACTTCTGCTCCATCAAAGCAACCTGTTCCCGCCCCGCGTCACTCCACCACCAAGCCGTCTACCAAACCCGAGTTCCATCTGGAACTTAGTGACGCCTCACGAATACGTAAAACAGTCGAGCAGCCGCTCAAATCGCAGGAAGCGCAATCGCCGAGCAAGAACAGTAATTTAAAGAGCAAGATACCCCTTAAAATCGATCGTACACCCCAAACAAGCGACAATCTTGAATCCGTTCCATTCGAAACCTCAAAAGATCGTATTATAGGTCCACAAGCGATTTCGAGAACCGTTAAATACATTACCAGGGAATACACGGACGGAGAACTGATCAAGGAAACATCGAAAGAAAATATCGTATCGCTCAAGGACGCAATTCCGACGATCAAACCGAACGATATGATTGAAACTATGATAAACAGCAAAGTGGAAATGACTCTTCCAGTAGAAGAAATACGACAAACAACAACTACAATTGTAACTAGCGATCCATCGGTCGATCCTGAAAAACTGGAAGAGCTTTTGAAGACAGGTGGAATCGTCGAAACGGTGAGGACCGTGACTTTAACCTCAGAAGATGATGCTCTGCAGCCCGTAACGCGCGAGGAGGTTGTCAAGAGAATAAATCAAGTCGCTAGTACTCTTCCGAGCGAGATCTTTGATTTTGGCGAAAATTTCCCAGATTCTTCCACTACTACGATAAAGACCGATAAATCTGAATCCGAAGGTGTTATACAGACGGTCACGACTGTACAACGGGTAACAGTGGAAGAGACGATGCCGGAATCGGAGAGAATTGAGAAGGTGGTGAGAACAGTAATTTCCAGCAGTAATGATGGTGATTTAGGTGACGAGCAAGCTTATGCTCTAAAGAATCTCCAGGAGCGATTGATGAAATCGGAGATTGGGGAGACAACTTCCTGGGTTTCGATGACGGGTGAGCAATGGGAAACGATGGCGCAATACTCTCAAGACACATCGCCCGGCTCCGGCAACGGCGGCGCCGTTGATGGTTTCGCTGCCGGCAACAACAAGAATGGTAGCTCGAGGCACGATATGCACAGCGACACCGATAGTGATGGTTCGCCACAACGTAGAAGACGATCCCCGAGCAAGAGGCGTACGTTGGGCAGTTCCAGCGGGTCGGATGTAGCACTGCACGAAGGTGCGGAGCTGTCCCCGTTGGAGGACGACCAAGGTACCGCACTCTCACAGCTAGTCTTCTAAGTAAGCGATGTACATATTACCCCGAATCTCCTTGCTAACCGGTTACCTCTCAACGAGCCCGAATAGGAGAGAAATGTATATGTATATATATATATATATATATATATATATATATATATATTTATTTATATATTTATATATATATATTAACATGTTGCTTTAATTGTTTGCACGCATTCTCTACGCACACTTTCCTATATTTTCTGCTAATTGTGAACATATATTGATGTTCGCAATTATTCGATGGAAAAATTAACGTGAATTAATTATATGGGTGATGGAGCTTGAACGATTAGAATAATCGATCACCGCTGAAACAGAATTAACATAAGATTGTACAAATTTTAGATATTTCGAGTATGCATCTGTTTCAGGGATGAAAATTTGAAGTTAAAAAAGGAGTCAGTCAAAAAATCCTCTGTTTATTCATTTATATTTTGAAAGTTTCCTTCTATTTATATCTTTTCAATGTTTATTATTTTTTATATGCAGAAAATGCAAAAATAACAGTTATTAAGTAGTTAAAAAAATTGAAAAAAATATTTTTTAACGTAGATGAAATAATTCTTGAAAATTCGAAATTTCGAAATAATTTTTCAATTGGACGAACTTTGACTCTCCAGATATTGTTACATGTTTTGAAGGAGCAAAACCTTGCTTGGGAAATGCATGATCTATTATTTGCTTGCTGTGCTGTGTTATATCTTCCGTGTCGGCGGCATCATATATATAAAAAAGGGTAAATGACCTGTGCAAGGAAAAATAAAGCTTGTGAAGTGCAGTTATATAAAACTGCATAAAGTGCGTAAATACCTTTCTTCATAGGTGTACTTCGTGAGGAATTATGACATGTGCGATTAATGGTGAACGATTAAGTGTTGCTTCGTTCGGGAAACATTTGACGATAATCGTTTTCTTCCTTTTTTTTCGTTGGTATTGGCTATAGGATGGATGGAATCTTATGATCAGGGGCTTTCTGGGACTATAGCATACTTTCATTCGAGGCTCAGCTTTACGATCAGCTAGGTATGATTAAACGTTATCTATCACATGCCGACGTGTTGAAGCGACATGCAAAGAGATGAATCTAACATATATTTATTGCAAAACTTCCTCGTGCAATTTGGCCAAAATAGCGCTAATTAAACCGAAAGTTTGCAATTATGGGGGAATAAAAATGATGTAATAACGTCACAATAAACAGGAAATTTTTATAAAGTATGAATCAGCGCATATACTAAACATCATTTACTGCTAAACAGTATGGATTACTTCGCAGAGAAGCTTTTTAAAAAAATTGCATGAAATTATTTTCCATATTCGTAAAATTTAAGCGCAATTTTTACGTATCTTTTGAAAGATTCTAATTTGACACTTAATTAGAATTGATAATACTTTTAAATAAAACTGATAAATTTAATTTTATATACATATATTAAAATCAATGATAAAATTAATTTTTCAATAATATCACGGTCTTTAATAAGATAACAATAAATTTAGTTTGAACACAAAACTTTTGAATTTTTGGCTTATTCATTACTAATCACGGCGGTGGAACGTTTCTCATCCAGATCGATCAATCAATCAATTCATCAAAATTCAACGTTTCCGAATATAATTCATGGCAATTGATAATCTTTAAATGACAGAAACACACGGTATGGTACCGTCGGTTTGTTCGAGCAATGCGATAGAAGCGAAGACTAGGACGAAGACATCCAGTAGATCCAGCTGCGCGTGTTGGATGAGCATAGCTGTCGCTGCGCTGGTGCTTTTAATAGCGCTTATACTTGCTCTGGAGCCACAAATGTTTCGACGTGTCATCTACACCTTGTCTAACAATGTCCCGAAGCAAGCCGGGTACGACTATCCTTCACATTATTTACTAAAATATCTGTACCACTTTTAGTAATGTTAAAGCTTTTTTAAAGATATATATCAGGGCAACAGTTTTTACGAGATATCAGGATAGAGATTCAAGCTATCGATTTATATTTATGTTGATATTGTATTTTCAAATTCGTGACACAATCCTCGAAAATTGAAGTTTTTCTGATTAATGTATCAGTGCTTAAATTTTCCCTGAATGACTTAATTAAGATTATAGTAATTATTGTTGCAAATTTATTTGTAGTAATTTTGTAAATAAAGATTTAAACATTCTTAAAGTTATAATAGATATTAATCAGAAAAACATAATTATTTGAAACATATCTACTTTTGAATAAAGATATGTGATTGATAAATGTTTTTAATTATAATGAAGATAGTGCATTAAAAAAGGAAAGAGTCTTACATACATATTATTATGCAATATTAATAAAAAAAAATATATAAATTTACAAAGTATACAATGTCCCAGAAATATGTGATATTATTAATAGAAAATTTTATTAAAAATGCAAGATTTACATACTTGTAATATTAGAATCTATCTCTATGTTAAATGTAATCGTAATAGTTTTGAAACCGTAACGTTGATCGTAATAGTTTTTATATAATTTATATAATTTTCGTGAAAACCTTCAAGCTAAATAATATATACAACATTTCAATAATCCTGGCGATGATTGTAACGTGCAACGAATGATACTTTTATAAAACTAAAAGTGCCTTCTATCATACGTGTAGGCATATAGGTCTAATCTTCCGTACCGAATACGTCGCATACATGTGATAAATTGATTTACTACGAAAACAGGTAAATTCGTACAAGAAGAAGCAAGCTTTCTTTTTTCTGTAGTACAGTCTATGCATGAATTTGATATTGATATCCCGCATGATTGCATCTTTTTGCATCTTGTCGACTTTAGTTTGCATTCGTCGCAGCGGTGTCCTGCATTGGGACACGACACATTTTCACTGTAATAGAAAGATATGTTTTATATCTAGTGTTATGCACGAAACGAGCTCCTACTCTTCTTTTTTTTTTTATTTTTCCCATTTTTTTTTTTTTTTTTTTTTCTGTTTCGAGCATCCTATAGTTTACTTTTACCCTTCTAGCTCTCTTCTGATAATAAGCAACTCAAGATAAAGCTAAAGTGTAGAGGGACCAACAATCGTGTTTTTAGTCACGTTAGGATTGTTAGGCGAATCGTCATGTAAGTAATTTATATGTATATACATATATATATCGTATTTTACGTATAAGCACAAGTGTGCGCGAGAATGGCTTTCTCTGAATCTTGTCTATATACAAACGAATATATGACATACTTCTCAAATGGCACTAAGATAGCTCTTTCGTGTTCTTTTTTCCGAAACGAGAGCGAGTTACGTTGCACCGACTGATGTACTACAGCTTCTTAATATTCTACTGAATTCTCCCTTTCGATCCCACAAAAATGTAACGTATGCCGCAATATGAAGGGGATTAAAATCGATATATTTCTAGGATTCTATTTCTAGGATTTCTAGGAATTTAAATTTCAATTTTATCCGCATCGAAAAACTTAATGAAATTATATCAATTTCAATCCCTGAGAGAGAAGAATCGGAATAGAAGATGCTTTTATGTCATCTTTTCATTCCTCGAGCTTATAATCCCTCTATTTATTAGCGATACGCTAGTTTAAAACATAGACACGATAAGCATTTCGATGGCTAAGATACGTCTATGCATTGATTATCGCGTATTATGCTTTACTAATCGAATATCCTCCGAACACACGAGTTTTCCTGTGTATAATCCGTACACATACACGATCCGTATCTTCTGTCAATGTGTCAAACGTGAAGATCGACTCAAATAGAATGATTTTGTACCGTCGTTCTGAAGAACTTCAAATTTGCAAGGCTGTCGTCCTTTTCCGCATTAGGAATTAATATATTGCCAAATTCACAATAAAATTTTAGCACTCTATTCTGACCGTTCGTCTAACAATACTAACTAATGTAGTTAGTACGGGCTCCTATATATAAAATGGTTGCCAAATTTCATGAAGCGTTTTCATTTGATTGCAAAACTACGGTCAAAACCGGCGGACTGCAGATTAAAAATCATTATATCTAATATTTATGAGAATGTTTCCTTCGGATTTAGGCTTCGAGAGACAATCCGCTTTACTCAAAAAAAATTATATTTTTGCTCTGTGCGCAATATAGTGTATTAAAATATTAAAAATTAAGAATCTCTTAATTTATTTTCATGGAAAAAAATATTGATTTACTTTGAAACAGAGTTAAAATACTAAGTACATCAAAAATCATCTCTTTTATAGAGTACTACACTTTCACATTTTATATACACATTAAACGTGTTGGAATGCATTTTTTCAATTTTTGAAAGGAGTCCACTTTCAGTTTTTACCGTAGTATATTCTTTTGTTGTATCGAAAACGTTGAATACCTACATCTCTTACGACTAACTGCTAAATGCTTTGTTCAGCGGCTTTTACCAGCGCTTTACACGAGCTCGCTGCGCTCAAGCACAATCGTATTGACAAAAGTATTCCGAACATTGCTCAGTAATATAATGTTGTCGTATATTTAATTACCTACAGATCAACGAGCGTTTATTTCTAAGCGGTGCTGTCTTCCTATGAAACGTAATTAATTCTTCGATCCTAAATAGCAGAATAATTATATATATATAATATATATATCACAAGAAATTGTATAAAGAAATAATGAACGCGAGAGAGATATAAAATTTAATTTAATTTAAGAAAATTCATTTTTTTATTTTTATTTTAATTATTTCCATTTTACGTCTAAAAAGATATATGTATAATAATAATCCTGTTATTATTGGAAAACTTTGACAGACTGCTATTTAGGATTTAGAGTCTCTCTTTGAGTACATACATATAATTATATCTTTATCTTTTCATATATGATAATATACAGGGTAGATTCAAGAAATCGTAATACAATCGGCGACATAATTTCCTGTATTTAGAAAATATTATGTAAAAATATTGCAAAGAATTATTTCTACTCGTCGATTGTAACATGATTTAAATATCCTGTATGTATGGAGTGTTGTTATTATATACGATACATTTAAATTATAATTAAGACATAGGAATTCGGCCGAGTTTGATGATATACGGCTTGTAGCATACACGTGTAAAAGTAATTAGCATCACAGTACAAAAATAAATAAATAGTAGACGCAATAAAAGTTGTACAAGGATGTATATAAAGTACGCGAGAAGTATATACGTTTGCTGAGATATATCCACGTGCGGAAAGAAATATCACGTGAGGAAAACGGTTGCATATATAGTTTGGCTGATTGAGTGAAAATGCGTATTTATATATACATACATATATATATTATGTATCGTCAAATGTTTAGCAATGTTGTAACTTTTTTTATATGTGTCTAGTTTTATTCCCTTGTTTTGGGCATGACGTAAAATTTGAGAGATATATACGATTCGTACTCTTGTTCTCTATGTAAAACATGCAGCAACAAAATAGCGAAATCCATCGCGAACGTTACACAAGATGTTTGATTTGTTTTCCTTTGTTGTCGCAGAATCTGACTTTTTGCAACATAGCGAGCCATCCTTCATGGAAACGACAACGATCGAGGTGGATCCTGTCACACAGGAAAGGTATATATACAAAAATGTTTTTTTCTTTAAAGGCAAGTATTACATGTCTTCTAATAACAATAAAATTTAATTGCTTTTATTTTTTTTTGTGAATATTCATCGAATATTATTTGAAAATTTGCATTTTTTTCTTTTTCTTTTTCCATGCATCTAGATAAGCATAATCTTGAGAGAATTATTATTTTCAGCATAACAACGACCACACGAGTTGAATCAAGAACAGTATTGTCCACGGGAACCGATGGCACGGATGATTTACGCGAATCTATGCAGAAGATCATGGACACGTTCATGACAGAAGAAAGAAAGGACCATTAGGAATAAAATGCGCTGCTGCCCTTCGAACTTTCTTACAATGAATAAAAGAGAGAATTCGTCGAGGTGTTATCGACGTTGATTCTCTCGTGATTAATTTTCGACGAAGCATCTAGACTCCATCGACTTGACGCGTCCTCGGGTGTCGAGCGATGAGTTTTAGATTATGTAGGACCAGAGGTACACGAAGACACGCTCATCGCGCGCTCCTTCGAAATGTTGCCTCTTTCTGAAGCCACATAAAAGCATGCACGATGATTTACTACCACGCTGCTCATGGCCTATGCTTCGGATTTGCTTACCTTTCCGTTCCGTTCGGTTGCCTTACTTGTTTGCGTTCATAATCTCGCGATCGATGATGATGTGTCTATGTATGTCGTTGCTAGTCCGACTAGCCGATCCGCGCTAGTCTTCACTATGCCAACCCGTCCATGTACAACGCCTTTCTCGTGTTGTTTAAAGCTATAATGCGATATGGAAGGGAAGGAAAGATAGGCGAAAATGATGAAAAAGGAAAAGATATGATGAGAATGCAGCAGCAGAGATTGTCTCGATCATGTCGAGTAATCATCTAGATCTAGTATCTCGCGAGAATAGTCCATTTAAACCGTAGGATGGTTGTTTATCTCTATCTCAATATGTCGCTTAATAGATCGGCAATAAATGAACGAATATACATATATTCTTCATTAATACTTTTGACAATGGACATAATTGATAAATTCTGAAATGAGAATAAGAAAATTTCTTGTTGTTATTCAATTCAAGTCGCGAATTCAGGCATAATGAAAAAAATAAACTAGGAAAGAGGTGCCGATTATTTCACGCACCGACCGTGTTGATTTGATTAACAGTGAGAAATATAAATGTTTTTATGCATCGGAACATAATGTATAAATTTAACTTGTTTAAAAGGTATTTCCTAACAATTTTTAATTGTATATATGATAATTTCTTAGCGTAACTTATATATATATACATATATATATATATATATATATATATATATATATATATATATATATAAATGTACTATGGATACAATTGTAATAATTAAGATGCTAACAGAAATATTTTATTTATATAGCGAGCCTCTGGATACAAATGTTATGTATTAATTTGTAAGCTTGGAAGGGTTACATTATCAGCATTCTGTCATGCCACGTGAAACTAAATAGCGAAAATTAATGACATGATGATGTGTAGAGATTACATTTGAGACTTTGCGGATCCGAATTCATTTTTAATATTCTAAGCCAGTGTTAGCTTTCGATGTATGACACAGTTTTGGAGAAGCACAGAAAAGAGAGGAAGAAAAGAAAAAAATCATATATAAATATATTAAAACGAAATTTAAATAAGCTATTCTATTAATGTATGATATATGATATATTGAAAGATATATAATATGATTATGCTATCTGAAGTTTATAAATTATTGTCTATAATGACTGTTATACTACGTTTAATAGAAATTGCCTAGAGCCCATCTGACCTAAGGACCAAAGGCACAATCACACGCGCATCAAAATAAAAAATATGATATGCTCCTATATATTGTCGTAACATTTAGTATATATAATTCACTACGAATGCCATGACGACGCTGGTACTTTAATGTTATCGATGATGTTTATCTCGCGATGGAAGAAAAACTTTTATACATGCAATATATATTATTATATATTATTGCAAAATACAAGACTACTATTTATGCAACAGACGATATATTCTATGTGCAATAGCAATACATTTTTAATTGTCTTATGCTGTCAATCTATATATATTGCATCTAATATCAATGTCATTTATCTTCATCAAAACATTGATGTACCAATGTTGAACTAATGCTTTATATTTCGCACACTTTTGTACAAGTTAATTTTCAACTTAACATGTCAAACTACATATATTTGCCCCTGTACTAATTACGTATCCCTTTTTAATATTATAATGCATTATCATTACAATGACATTGCATGGCGTCAAGATATCAAAGAAGAAAGAGACTATAATTTATTATATAATATTGTGTGATAGAACTATCAGGCATAATAAATAAAATGTTGCATCGGAATTACAACGTCCTTTATAATAGAAACATAAAGAAAAAGAACGGAAAACGTTCTCATCATTTCATTCATATTTGGACTTTGGACATACACTTGACCAATCAATTATCATCTAATGCACATTTCTTTCATGGATTTCCAAGCATTAATATTATTATTTTTAAAAGTGTGCAACCTAAACGTGAAGAAGAAAAATTAATCTTATGTAAGTATATATTCTTCACATTATATAAACTTTATGTTATTACAATATTTTTATTTACTTTTATAAGGAAAAGGTAGGTTTTGAAAAAAAAAAAGAAAATAAGTATTTCTTCAATTTTTAGAATTTGGTAAACATATGCAATTTTATTTAATATGAAAAAAATTCGAGTTTACAATTATATCTTATTGTTCGGCTTAATTGTACACAAAGTAAACAATATACAGTAATATTACTTATTACAATAAAAAAATATTACTTTCCAGATTTTTTCATTAATACAAAAATTAATTATACATTTTCATCGTTAATAACCGATTAATTGTCGAAATGTAGCACTATCCTCCTTTAATGCAATGAAGAATAACATTTATTAAACAATTGCACTGAGATAATAAAACTATGTTCCAAGAATTATATCTGGCACAGTTATATAAACAATTGTATCATTATTAGTGTCTAATCAATCAAATTACAATAATAATCATGCTAAGAAGTTTTTTCTGTCACTAGAAAGTTGCAAGTTGTTTTTTAATTTGTTTAGCAATTTGACAATTTACTAATTGCACTGACTCTAAAATCTCATCAAAGTCAATGACAAAGGATAGAGGTCTCTAATTGTACATTATTTCATTTCTCGATGGATATTTTAGAGTGAGACATTTCAACATACACACAAAAGAGTACTCACTGTGATGTATATTTCTATTTTTTGCTTAAATGACGGCATACATGTGTATTATTGGCAGATAATATGTACGAAATATAGAGAAATATAGAGAGATGATTATGAAATTGGTCACAACACATTCGATTCTGTACACAAACAAATCTAGCTAATCTGGCATATAATGTATTAAATATAACACAAAATATTGAAATTTAAATATATGTTAAATATCAACTATATAATTTTCCTATTAAAAAAGAATTCATGTTCCTATAAAACTTACAAATATCAAGTATAACTACTCAAATTGGAACATGTTACCCATAAACAATTTATTTGTCGATACATACAGGAAGGAAGTGAGTTATTCGATAGAAGAAATCTTGACATATAATTGTATTTTGTGAAATGAATAGATGTCTCCATGCATTTTCGTGACATACCTTTTTTTTATACTGCAGGTCATCAGATCTGTAAGTACAATATTTTATACATGTATAGATATATGTTATTAAATGTAATAACAAATAAAGAGAATCAAATCTTTTTTTAATTGGATGTTGAAAAAGAAAAGAAAAATTTTAAAATAGGTGCTGTGACTAAATCTAGAAAAAAATCAGAGAGTAAAAGCAAATTATAATAATGTTGTAAACTTGTAAGAAGATAAAATAGTTTCATGTATAAAAAAGCTTACATTGTCAACATCATCCTCATCATTATCGCTAATTTCATCGCCAAACTCAATGTCTTCATCAAATCCATCTTCCACAAAGGTGACTGTATCATTGATACGTACTGAAAATAATTTTACGTTAGAAAACGTCAAGTGGTCAAAATGTCTGATATTAAATACAATAAACAATACCACTTACCAGTTTCTGGGAATTCACCATAAGTTTTCAAGTTACGTGCTTCGTCGGACGTATATTTCAATATAACATCTGCTTTAGCATCCTGATAATCTCGTAAACCAATTAATATAATATCTCCTTGATTTATCCAGACCTTCTTCCTAAGCTTCCCTCGAATGTGACACAATCGCTTGACTCCATCAAAGCACATAGCTTCTAATCTACCATTGCCCAGCATTTTAGTTACTTGAGCATATTCTACGCAAAATAAACACTGTGAGTCCACCAAAATAAAACGCGAATCATTTTCAATTGCAACATTACTTATATTCCCCGCACTGCACTCTCACCTTGTCCATCCTCCTTGAACACCAATTCTCTCTTTTCTGTCTCATTCTCGTTCTTCCCTCTTCTTCTGTTTTTACCTCCCTTTCCTGCGAACAAAGCGTCATTCTTAACATGACAGCGCAAGGAAATTCGCTTAAAGAAAATTATAATATATCCGTTTTTGAAATAATCTTGACGTTAATAGGTTAAGTCAACCTTAACCACATTGCAGAATAAAAATTACGATTATCAAAAATCGTGCAATTTAGACGAAAAAGAATAAATGCGAAACGCAACGCAATCTTACTGACCTTTATTCTTTGGCATGATGTTTTAATAGCGTCAGCGTCAAAGATGTAATAATTATGAACACTCGTTGTCGACACCTTTAATCTCTGGCGACGAGTTTGAATGGCCTTGAATACTAGCAGTCTATACTTCTACAGCTAAAGAGAATGTCAATCTAAAAAAAGTATTTATCTATTTCCCCGAGCCGACGTCTAAATGATAAATATCTTCGTTATTTGCAATTGATGAATCAACGTACACGCGATGAAAAATCTTACAGAAAATTTCGATTTAATGATCATGTCGACTCGAAAGTCGTAGACTTCCGTTGGTTACGATGGAAAGTTCTATGAACTGTGAAGACTGAAGTGCGTTCGAAAATCCTACTCGTGGAGAATAAAGTGTCATTGAATTAACCAATCAAATCACCAACCAATCACAAGGAAACTTTTTCTCTCATCTTAATTGGTCAATTAAATTATTTTACTCCGGATTTTCGAACTTTTAAAATTATTAAATACATAACGGGATTGACTACCTCATTAGATCTGATTGGTTTTACAAAGTAAAGATTACATTTTACTTAATTTTACAAATGCTTCAAATGGTTTTGACTATTGACCTAGGTTTATATATCTTTTTTGTTTTAATTGATTCAATTAAACATTGAAAATTTTTTAAAAATTATAGAATAATTTACTTAACTACTACTATAATTTACATTACTTTTAATACTTTTGTTTAATATAATTTTTTATGATTATTAAAATATATATATATATATATATATATATATATATATATATATGTATGTATGTATGTAAAAATAGAATTTTTAAATAAATTTGTTACTGAAAATTTTAAATTTTCTTTTATTAAAAGTCTAAGAAGCTACAAAGGTTATAGTTCAAGTTTTTTATTATCTGCTTTAAATTCGAATAAAATTCTCTCTCTTATTTAGATAATATAAAATTGTTAGCCTTTGGCAAAGCTCAATTTTTTATCATTAATTATATAAGCCATATTTAAAAAATTACTTATGCTTTGCGCATATTTATTATTTATTGTATACATATATTGCAGTTATACATAGGACCGTTTCTCAATACAGATGTGATGATACATATCGTGATTAATCTAGAGAATCGAATACAATTAAAGAATTTATCTCAACTTTCTACTAGTTAAAATCACTCTCATGCTTTCTAAAATTATAAAATAAATATAATACCTAGAAAGATTAATAAAATATATTAGTTATACATATTTATGTATATTTTGAGAGGTTATCTAATCAATGTAAAAAAATTTTGATTGAAGAATTTTGAACTATATATATTATGTTATCCAGAACAACAATTAACATTATTAGGAGATCGATGTGTAGCAATGCACGTACATTTTATTATGTACGAAATTCTTTACAATCAAATTTCTTGACACACGTTAACAATACAAAGGAATACGATATACAAAATCATTATAATTCGTACATGGTGAAAAGATTCAAATCTAATAGAAGAAAAAGAGCTGACAATGTAATTAATAATGATAATTTACATATATTTATATTTACATTTTCTTGTTTTACTAAAGACTTTAACATAGATAAAATTTTATTTTTAAAATTTTATAGAAAAAAAAAGATGAGGATTCAGATGAAGAAAAAGACGAATACGAAGAAGAAGCACCTGTTGGATCAAAAGTACTTACAATAAATGTTGCGTCTCTTCGATTAGATGCCATTTCTAAAGCTGGGTTTGGAATACCGCGCACGTATGTTTCATTTTATGCATTAATAAAATATCATTATATTAATTTTTTATATATAATATTTACATTAAAACTATTTTATATTACCACGTTCTTTTTCTTGACTTTAGTAAAATAGAGGAAGCATTTTATGCAAGTAAGCTTCGTGTCAATGGGAAAAAAGTATTTAAAAAATCTACAGAGGTAAATATATTTATATTTGATAACTAAAATAATTTATCAAAAATCTTGAAATATAATTTTTTTGTATTTTGTACAAAAATATATAATAAATATAATAAAACAGGTAGAAGTAGGAGATGAAATCGATATGGTTTTACATCGAGATTTGGATAATCCTGGGCTTCTAATTGTAAATAGAATTGTGATACTATCAATGAGTCCTTTATCTAATTCTATACGAATTAAATTGTCCACTGATAAAAAATTATTAATTGAAGATTATGAAGAACCATGGTCAGGCGTTTAATTTTTGTAGCATATTAATGGTAAGATTGTATTATAAAAACAATAAAAGTATAAATAAAATATATTTTAAGAATTACAGTGCTTAATAATTTAATTATTTATTTATTATTATATTTGCTATATATTTTTAATATTTTCGTTTATAGATTTAATAAAGAAAAAAGGACTTATGTAATAATAAGAAAAATAAGAATTATGGAATTTATATTATACTTTATTCGTTAATTTCTTTTGCTTTATCAGAAAATGGTTCTTGAATTGCTCCTAACTGTCGCAATAAATCTTGTTTCGACTCAAAAAAATCTTTATACCATACAATATGATTGATTTTTTCTTCAACAGTCAAATACGGATTTTTGGAAAGTCCAGTGCATACTAATTCCATAAAATGACGTACTGGTCCTGATTTAGGGCACCATTCTTTCAAGTGACGTTCCATAAAGACATGTTCTGAAAAATGAACATTCTGCTCCTCTTCCATATCTGGAATGATATGATATAAATGAATTATGATATATATGAACATATTAAATTGAATTTTAAGTATTGGAAAAAATATCTAGTATATATAAACCTTGCTCATTGTCAATGGGAAATTTCCATAATTTTCCTTGTTCTGTCCAAAGAATCAATTCTTGAAAGATATTGGCAGGTGGATAAGTCGTCAATGCTTTCAGCTCTCTTTGTTCTAATGCTGTCCAAGTTTTTAATTCTGGTATATCTTGCGAAGGGACGCCTATATTTTCAAAAATATGGCTAGGCTGTCCATTCCATAAATTGATGTCTTGTCTATTATGTAACAATCAATTGAAAATATTGCTTAATATATTATGAGAATATAAATAATATTATATTATATTATATAGTATTCTGTAAAATAATAGTCAATATCATTTTTATACAACATACTTGAAATGTGACCTTTTTAGATCATTATTTTGAATATTTAGTTTAGCAGATGTTTTGCTTTCGTTTAATAATTGTCTTGCTATACTATTTTCAACCACTGGTTGCTTATTATTATTATTATTATATTCTTTGAGTAGAGTATGTATTATAGATTTCTTTTCTGAATATCTGTTATTTGTTTGTTGTTCTTCATGTTTTGGCGATTTCTCCTCTAAATTCCTATTAAATATTTAAAAAATTTCAAGACTATCTTAAAAAAACTTAAGTTACACATGGAAACACATTTATGTGTAGTATATACTATACTTTAATGTATTCTGCAATAATTTACATACGTATGTGCCAATTGTTCTTTCCTCAATGTTTCTACTCTAGATGTGAGAACTTTTTGAAGCAAATCCGATGTAGTCCTTATTTTATCTCCACCAAGTATACTGGCTACATTTTCTGCTGCATCTTTTAATTTTTTTTCTATAAAAAATATTTATTATATCCAGAGTCTGAAAAATTTTTTCCATGATTCTTAAATTATTATATAAAGATAAAATTACCATACGACATATGTTTGACTTCATTCAATGAATCCTTAGATTTCCTTTTAGGTTGTATAGCAATATTAATGGTTTTCTCTAATTTCCTCGCCTAAATACAATAACAAACATTTTCATTAAAAAATTTATCATCTTATATTTCCTTTCACAAACACATTATTATTAGATCATTTTTAAATACATTAATTTTTACCTCCAAACAATATAACTTACCTTTATCATATTATTTACATACTCGGTTAAGTCAGTTTGTGCATTTGCTGTTTTTATAATTTCCTGTTTTTAAATATAATAGAATGTCAGAGAATTTATTTTAAAATATAATATTTTTATAATTTCGGAAAGTGAAAATACTTTTACGCACCGAATTTTCTAAGCGAGTATCTTTAACTATTTTAGTCTTTTCGGCCATCTTTGTAGGTACAGTTTGCTAGAAATACAATAAAACTATAATTGCTATTCTAATCAAAATATTGTAAATTAATAAACTTTAAAATAATTGAAAATTATAATTTACTTGTATCATATTGTTCAAGAAACTTCCTAAATTATTTTTATTATTTGATGCTGCAGAATTTTTAGCATATTTTGGCGATTTGGTTTTTTCCGAATCAGAATCAGACTCAGATGATGATGAATCTGATGATGATGAATCTGATGATGATGAATATAATCTTATAGTAATATTTCGCCATTGATAAACTCCATTTAAAGGCCTTATATTGTACCTATAAAAAAATATCATATTCCTTAATATAAAAATACAATTATATAGCATAATAAAAACTACTTTATATATTATTTTATATGCAGCATAATAAATTACTTTACATAACATAATTAATATATGAAAAAATTTGAGATATGTAATATACTGATGACATTGTATTAATTTAATGTATAATATTTTCATTATTTTCGTACAAGTGTATTTACCTCGATAATATATATACAGGTAACATATTTGCAAAATGTCAATTGTCACAATTATATTTTAATGTAAACACAATATGTATAAACGTTCTACTAAGAATAAGAAACAAAATTTTTCAGACTGCTTTTCTGACAACAACGTCATCTTAGTAGAAATCTGCAAGCTCGTTAACATATATCAATAATCGGTAAAATATGTGAGATGTCGGTATATTTCCTACGAAATCACATAATCTATTGAAGATAAAAGATATCTTCCGCTTGATACTTTTCATTTCAAAATACAAGATTTTCTTAATTCATCAAACACGCTATGTAGCGAAAATAATAAGTGAATTCCATGATACATTAAGTGTTTAATAAATAATCATATAATTAAAATCTATATAATCTAAAATACTTCTATATATTTTAATACATTTTAATATATTCCGCGTATATATTTGTTAAATTAAAATATCTCAAACACTAAATGTCGGCAACATGCTGAGTGTTTTGTAACACAAAATGCTTATTTATATTAAATAAATTTCTAACGATTTATCATTGAAAATGAAGTATAATATAAATAATATTCTAATTTATTTTTAAATATTATAAATATTAAAATTAAATAAAAAATTTAAATTTATAATTTGTATCTAATTGAAAATTATTTAAAAACATTGAGTTTAATATGATTTTAAAGCGTCTTGCATTCATATTATAGCATTTGTATTGAGACACTACAATTCTATCTAAATCGGAAACACGACCGCCCTCAGACTTCTTTCTGTTCAAAGTGAGGAATGTGTGATATAATGTGTGTAATAATTAGTTTACAAAAATGAACATTTAGAAAGATGTATCAGATAGAAGAATGTACAAATAATTTATTTATATGGATATAATCTTTTTTGTATATATATGTATATTATATGTATATACACTCAAAACATATGGCCGATAAAGTGATAGGATAAGATAAACTAAAGATTTCAATTTTAAAACATTACAACATACATTATTATATTGAATCAATATATAGTGTGATAGGATGAGTTTAATATTCTTCCTCTTCCTCAGTGTTGACAGCATCTTCTTGTACTTCACGATAATCGAGTTCTAAGGCAGCTAGATCTTCCCTGGCTTCCGAAAATTCACCTTCCTCCATACCTTCCCCGACGAACCTGCGAATAGTTTATTGCGCATTCATTTCTCAGTAAGTTGTAAGATTGGATAACAATGGTTTGTTCGCGTTATATTAAAATAAAATTTTTCTAACATTTGCAAGAACAAATAATCGATATACATATATATATATATATATATATATATATATATATATATATAAATTAAAATGTTAAAAGCATTTTAAACACATCGAAGAGAAAATGAAAAAAGAAAAATGCTATATCTAAATAATTCGAATCATTTCAAGCAGAAGCACAATTAATATTTATATAGAAAATTTAGATTCGAATTTTAGTCCTTTCTCCTTACCAGTGAACGAAAGCTCGTTTGGCGTACATAAGATCGAATTTATGATCAAGTCGAGCCCATGCGTCTACGATAGCCGTTGTGTTGCAGAGACAACATACAGCCCTTTCTACTCGTGCGAGATCGCCACCCGGTACAACAGTAGGCGGTTGATAATTTATTCCCACCTGTTATCAATTTGATGATTGTAATTTAATTGCAATTTTTTAAATTTTAATTTTAAAATTTTTATCTCTACTTTAAACTTCCTTGTTTTAAATTTCCTCGCGTTCACGTCTAATATCTTACCTTGAATCCCGTTGGGCACCACTCGACGAATTGCACGTGTTTCTGCCGTTTTATCATCGCGATCGCCGCGTTAACGTCCTTGGGCACCACATCACCTCTGTACAGCAAACATACCGCCATGTACTTTCCCATGCGCGGATCGCAATTCACCATTTGATGATTTGGTTCGAAACAAGAGTTTGTTATCTCTGAGACGGTCAATGTTTCATGTCCAGCCTTTTCCGCTGACAGAACAGGAGCATAAGTGGCCTGCGATGAAAATCTCGATAATTAGGATATAATTAAGACGCTTTATCAATCAAGTAATCAAAGCTGTTTGAGTTTTAAACAGTTATTAAATGTATATGTGAAAATTAGGCGTTCAAACTTACGAGTGGGAAATGAATACGTGGATAAGGCACTAAATTTGTCTGGAATTCGGTGAGATCGACATTCAATGCCCCGTCGAATCGTAAACTAGCAGTAATAGATGAGACCATTTGTCCAATCAATCGATTTAGATTCGTATAAGTCGGCCGATCGATGTTCAAATTCCTTCTGCATAATTCGTAAATGGCCTACGGATAACACGCGATTATAGAGAGAGACAAATAACTTTATTATAATATTATCTAATATATTAGCAAATATATATAAATGAAAACTCGTAATAAACTTTATTTTACTTTTTAACTTTATATGACATATTTGAAACAAAATGTGCAAACTTTTACTGATAAAATCCAAAGAGAAATTATTGTTATTTTATAATCGGATCATAAATAATTGAATTGTAATAAATTTTTAAACGATCTAAGCTTCATTAAGCTCTATATAGATATGTAAAACAAATACTTAATTTATGAAGATATTTAATTTAATTTAATTTAATTTAATTTTGAATTGTAATGATATATGTACACACCTGATTATCTACAATAAAAGCCACCTCGCTATGCTCTAATGTTGGATGAGTATAAAGAATCGCATTATAAGGTTCCACTACTGCAGTCGACACCTACAAGAAAGATAGCAAGATAAATATTAAAAAATTACAAACAAATAAATTTCGTAAAATTCTTTATATTCTTTATATTATAGATAATATCCAATAAATATATTGTAAACTGAAAAATATATGCAGATTACTTATACTTGAATATCTAAAAGAAATCTGAATTTTTAATTTAAAAAATTGGAATATATTCTAATGAAAATAATAATACCTGTGGCGCTGGATAAATGCTAAATGTCAGTTTACTTTTCTTTGGATAATCGGCGGACAATTGTTCCATAAGCAGACTCGAGAATCCAGATCCCGTGCCACCTCCAAACGAATGGAAGATCAAAAAGCCTTGCAAACCCTTGCATTGCTCTGTCAGTCTGCGTATTCTATCTAAAGTAATGTCTATGATCTCTTTTCCTGAAAATTGTGAGAACAATTAATTTTTTTTATATGTGAAAAATCTGTGCATAAGATTTTAATATACATATCTATTTAAAAAAATTGAATTTCTTTTAAATCTCGATAAATCGTGTATCCCGATGTATCGTTGTAATTAATTTTTGCGTTATTATAGATGTATATGATTATAACAGGAAATATATATTCGAATACCTATCGTATAATGACCCCTAGCATAATTATTAGCTGCATCCTCCTTGCCAGTAATCATTTGTTCGGGATGGAACAATTGCTTGTAAGTACCCGAACGAACTTCGTCTAAAGTATTGAGGAAAATAATTATTTCATTTTAAATCTCTATCAACCCTTAATACGCAATGCGTAGCATTAAAAATATCATAGAAATTAAACAAGAAGGGAAAACACTTGCCTACTACCGTTGGTTCAAGATCGACCAAAACCGCCCGTGGAACATGTTTTCCGGAACTTGTTTCGGAAAAAAATGCGTTAAAAGAATCATCCCCATGACCTACAGTAGTGTCGCTGGGCATTTGTCCATCTGGATGGATACCATGCTCCAAACAATAAAGTTCCCAACAGGCGTTTCCCATTTGCACGCCCGCCTGCCCTATATGAATGGATATACATTCCCGCTGTCAACAAATAGATAAATATATTTATCTTCTGCGTGTAAATTATATATTTATATAAATACGCAATAAAAGTTTTCCGGCTTCAATCCAAGATCGAAAGAAATTATTTACAATTAGAAAGCTTTCTTTTATTCTAACGCTTCAGTTCTTTATCTTTTTATGTAAAATATTCATTTTTCGAAAAATATAAGCAATAAAATAATACATTCTTTTGCTTTTTTATCTTTTAATAAAGAATGAAAGATAACAAATAATGGAAGTAATTCAGATAATTGAAAAATTATTGTAATTAGCTACTATTTTCGAAAATAGCATCATTATTTGCCGTAAATATTTACTGATCCATAACAATCTTATAGATTCGTTACAAATTAAAGAACGAAACTGTTCCATTATCGTGTATAAACTATGTTACTCATTCTACCACGCCATATTAGATATGATTATTACTTCAAGTAGCGTTAAAAAATTCACGGCAGACTATAAGTTTGTAGTTTCATAAAAAGAAAGATACTATAATGCGCACATACATGATTATTAAATGTCAAATATCAGGCATTTAGAAGATCCTTTATTAATTACCTTTTTTGCCATGTTTCAAAAAATTTCTTTATATTAATTAGAACAAACACTGATGCAGACACTCAAAGAAAATTGTATATCTCACAAAAACACATATAATAATATTAAGTTACGCAAAAGTTAATTCATTCACTTAATTATTTCCTTATACGTGTACTCCCTTAATATAATTCTGATCCACGATCTTTTTTAAAAATTATATATTAATCTAAATTTTTTTAACGCCCTTTTATTACTGTATATAAATGATATTTATAAAGGATTTTTTTTAAATTCATTTTCCGAACATAATATCACAAATATTTTCGATATTACAAAAGACAAATAACTATTCTACAAAAGATAAATAATTTAGAAAGAGAATTATAAAAAAACTTATTTTGTGTGTATAATAAAGTTCTTAAAAACTCTGTAATTGATGGGTTTCGTTCTTAATTATATACTTTCACATATCTAATCCCATTTATTTTTTTCTTATTATTTAATCAAAAATTAAAATAACAAATATCTTCCTAATAAATATTCAAATAATTATATTATTTTCACACAAATCATCTCAGAGTAAGATATCGATTATATAAGTCTTTCAACCAATCAATCAATACTTTGATTAAACGAAATCTGTCGACCGAATTTAGAGAGTGATCGCAAGAAACTATGTCCGATAAAGGATGATTACCGATGGCCAAGACGTCGTCGACTAAAGCAGCGACATTATCTGTCAACAATGTCTAGTAGAAAAATGCCCACCTTGGCCTGTGACGTATCTTCTATCATTAATTTAAATGTGTCCTAAAAATGAGCATCTATCGGCATGTCTATAGCCGGCCTACTTCCTGACTTGCAGAAGCATGTGGACAAGTGTATTGTCTCTTGCGATATTATACATCCTATATCTGCATGGTAAAAATCGATTTTTTACAGGTTGACATACTGTAACCATAGCAGCTTAATCAAACATCGAAGTGCATGTCCGATTCTTCCAGAAAATGATTTCACATGAGATTTATCATTCTTTTATAAAATAATCATTGAGTGTGATCTATGATATGAGTTTCGAGAGAATATTGGCCCGAAAAAATATTTGACAATCCATATATAAGCACAAAATTCTTAAATATATATTTGTAAATATATATTTTAATATCCTTAAAAAATTAAAACTTTTAGAAACAAATTTTAAATAGGCAAGTGAATTGTGTATTCGGTCTCTTATGCTCGTTTGTAATGTATATATTTCATTTTGCTTTTGAATGGATCAAATAATCTAAAAAAATTATTTTGTAAAAAGAATAGAAAGGAGGAGAAAGAGTAATTTTATTAATATAAAATTAAAGCGTCGATTGATATTTATAATGCGAATCAATATTTCATATATAATTTAAGTTTCGCGTGAAGCTTTAAAAATATATAGTACATATATTTCAAGCACATTATTTAAGCTATAAATAATAAGCACAAAAAATTATATAGAAAGAAATTTACTTAAAATATTAACTAAAGTAACTATTAAAAGATAAAAGATTGATTTTATTTTCATTGATATTCAAAAAATTTATTAATTATAAATGCATTCTTGAAAATGTTGCCCACCACATCATTTAGCTTTTTGTACTCTCCTTTAATATAAATTATAAGCAAACGGAAAAAAATCGTATTAAAAAGAATATTAATTTTAACATTTGTTAATTTAATAGGATAAATGATTTTATCGATTATTGTTCTTTTTTTATGCAAATTTTTATTTATGCTTTTTTCTATTATATTTTTCTATTATTCTTATTATTTATTAATTATTCTTCCTCAAATTTCTTTTGCACTTATTTAAATTACTTGAAAAAGCTTTTAATTGATTTTATGAGCTATTTAAAAGTATGTATATATCGATTTAAAATGATACACACGACATATTTTCCCAGATATGTACTTTGGTCTAATGCAAAGACGAATATGCGTTTATCAAGAACAATATTATCGTACAAACATATGCAATTTCTATATTAGAATGTTTATAAATGTGTACAATAAATGTGTAAACAAATCGGTAAAAAATTACGTTGATTGCAATATTGATGCAATTTGTAATTAATAATATAAATTATGATAGAAAATCAATTAGAAATAGCAGAAATTTTGAAAATATAATTATAATTTCTCATTACATGTAATTTTTTTTATGTAGAGAAAGGACTTTATTTCAAAGAGATATAGATAGAAAGTATAATAGAATGAAATATATAGGGAATGTCTTAATGCAATTGTATTAATCCTATCAAATGTTCTTTGTAAAAAATAAAAGTTTTAGAATAATATTCTTTTTCTTAAATGTGTATTCCGACTACGAAATTAAATTAAACGAAAGATCTTTTTATTAAAATATAAGTGTGTATATTTTTATGATAATTATTATAATTGAAAAATAGTGTCAATATTAAAATACAAAATACAATAAGAAAACGTGGTACTCACCATTTTTTTTGATTGCGTATACTCTGTAACGTGTCGGAGCGCGTGACGATTCGATCACTGTCTGACTTCGCGGATAGTACGATCACTCTGCATCGCCATTTAAGTGCTATATACGATATATGATATTCGCATCGGAGTTCATAGGCAACGCGGATCAACTTACACTACTACAGTATTCGCGACAATTGTATATGTACATATGCACATCCGCAAAGTGCATTATTATATTCTATAGTATAGATTTCTTGGAAATAGTATATATACATAAGAATGCTCTTCTTTAAACTTCGCTCCAATTTAAAGATATGAAAAAAACGTATTTTTTTATACATTATTTATAATATAAAATTTATATTTCTTACAACATATTTATCTTGAAGAAATACACTTTTATAATCGAAAGTTATACAGTATAAAAAAATAATTACATAATAATAATTAATTAATTAAACTAAATATAAATTTAATGAGAATCTATTTTTGTGTGCAAGCTATTGTTTTTTAAGTTCTTTCGGACTCGACAAAGTTATTAATTTTACTCTTCTAGGGGTTTTATGACATCTAACAGGAGCGATATCAGGTTTTGATGGAGTATTTCTGATTTTAGTTTTGCTCATATTACTATTACTTTCCTCATTGTACACTAACTTGATATCTTCTGTTTCTTCTATAATAATATCCTCACTTGATTTCTTGTCTGTTTGTAAAGTATTGACTTCTGCTCTAATATTTTGATCATCTACTACCTCATTCAACTTTTGTTTATTAATCTCTTTAGGCTCATGTGCTATTATATCGATTGTATCACTTTTAAGATCAATATCCATTGCACAATCGTCAATATCAAATGTTGAAATGTTGCTTTTGATTACATTGTCTTTGACTATATTTTTCGATTTTTTACTAGAATTCTTACACATATTTGCTGAAACAGTATTTACAGGATTATTCATTTTATAAATTTTACCTAGTTCACTTTCTTGAAAATGTATTATGGAACAATAGCCGTCGCTCGAAGATACAATTAAAATTTGACCATCATTGGACCTATAAAAGAAAAAAGAAGTTAGAAATGATAAAAGTAATTTAAAAGTAGAAGCAGAGATATAATAAATAGATGATAATAATAAAGTATAATAATTACCATGAAAGATCGTTCAATCTACCATAATGAATTAGCGATATCACACCAATTGGACAGGTTTGTTGCGTATCATAAATTAATACAGAACTTTGTGTTGCAACAGCAAATATCATCCTATAAGGTAATGTTATCAGTGCATTTGGACCATCTTCCCGCAATTCAAAATATACTGGACAACATCTTACTGCTATAGTACACTCATTCATAGTAGGCAAGATCATTATTGGTCTAAAAAACACATTGTTAAAGTTGATAAGATTTTTTTTAGGGGAAATTAAGGAAATCAGAAACTTTAATACTAACTCTTTCAAATTTGCCCTGGAGAAAACAATTGTCGCATTTGATATAGTTTCTGCAGTCTCATGTGATTCAATTATTCCAGAGGGAACAAAAATAAGTGATCCATCTACTGAGAAAGTCAGTCTGCGAAAGAATGATTTGAATGTGTCATCATAAAATAAACGTACAATCTTTCCCTCCAATGGATTACCAACTGGTGTTGGAATTGTGGATTTATAAACACGTTGAACAACTTTCTTTGTAGCAATGTTTATTAAGCGACAATATCTGAAAAACAAGAAGCAAGTTTTTTAATATACAAAACTTAGAAATTTATAAAATATTTTATCTATATATATAGCATAACATACAATATAGATTATATACCTGTCTGTGCTAATAGTGCATACATATTGATTGCAAGGATCCCAGGACACTCCTTGGACAAATCCTTTATGATCTGATAATATTGTTTTATGTCCTTTCTGAATATCCCATAATATAGCAGTATTATCAACAGATCCAGAAATTAAACAATTAGAGTCTGGTGACCAGCTGATGTCATAAATATCTTCGATATGACCCCTCAATACTTTCCAGGAGATCCATTGTTCTTTATTTTCAATATCATTTGGAAGCAGAGAAGAATCTCGTTCCTCTCTCTCCTTGATTTTCCATAAGATAATTATTGATTCTGCATATTAATGTCAATATTAGTAACAATATATCAAAATATAAAAACAATAAATATAATAATATATAGATATAATAGCTAACCATCATCCCCTGATGCTAGAATTTCTTTTGAAGGGGAAAACCTTACAATATTTACTGCCTTTTGATGACGATCAAGATCTACAGCAAAATTCACAATAGCTCCACCACATTCGGTTGTTGTTAAATGCCAAATCTGTGCTTAAACATAATTATTTAAAATATATTCTCCACATACAAATTTTATCTTTGTCATGTACTTTTTAATCTATTATGATAAAATCAATTATTTTAGAAAGATATTACTTAAAAGATATTACTTAAAAGTTCTTGCTTTTCAGAAAATATAAGAAACATTTGATAACTTTGACAGAATTAAATGAATCTATCCTGTTACTTCAGTATATTTATTCCATTATTTCTATATTAGTTAAAACAATGTTTTTTCTATATATAAATGCTATTATATATATATATATATATATATATATATATATATAATATCTTTATAAATTATAAATTACTTATAAATTACTTATAAATTACTCATTACCAAAACATGACAGTCCGCTCCTCCAGTTGCAACTCTCCGAAACGGTTCTCCTTTTAAATTTTTGCACGTACCATTCTGTATATCAACGCTCAGTACCGGGTCACGATTATGCCACGAAATTTCAGGAGTAGTAACCTTCATTGTCTCGATTAAAATTAACAAGTATGATTCTCATACGTGTCACAATGTAACAAATAAAAGAAACAAAAAGAAGTGATTTACTCCAAAGATGGTTTCACTTAACCTTCAAGCTGTCAGGGTATTCGCGCCAAAAATTTGTGGACCGGGCGATCTCACATGAATTTAAATATTTGAAGATGGATTGCGATTCGAATATTTTTCAAATACGTCCGTAAATCACATTAACCGATCAGCCCAAATGCACTACTGTGTAGAAAACTTTTAAGAAGTGTAAGCAGCACGAATGGACAGGTGGCGTCCGATTGACACGTTGCTAATTGGCCAATTCAAAATAGAACTCTCTGATTGGCCAATCGTTGTTGGTTACCCTAGACACAGATCGATATAATTGGCTATGGCCAATCGCAACGTGGTCAAACGGGACGCTTTCCGAACGGACCTATTTGCGAAGAAGGCTTAAGGCTATAGCACACACTTTCCATAAGACATAACAGTAAGGTTTCGATCAATCGCGTTGCTCAATTTGGCCGTCCGTAACCAAATTGAGCAACGCGATTGGTCGAAAACTTATGCCAGCGGGACACGACTGCTTGTTTCGTGCTGAATTGCATGCGAGCATTACGATGATTTGACAATTCTTTAATATCGAAATTACGATTGGTCAATTAAGACGCTCACATGCGATCTAGTACGAAAAATCGTACGGTGTGCCGCAGACTGTTATGTCTTATGGAAAGTGTGTGCTATTGCCTTTAAACTCCCTACGAGAAAAATATTTACGCATGGTTGTATATATCTTGAACAATATTTTACCAATGGTTCTAGTGATATAAAATAACACCGGCGCTAAAGAGCTAGGAACTTTTAACGACACGTTTCGGCGCCATCGTTCCCGCGCAAACGAGCGCCCGCCCGACACGATCGTCGTCAAAATATCCGAATGTGCATGCGCGTAACCGTTGTGGTTGCGCGGGCCGCTGCTTCATTCGGCTTTCAGCGCTCGGTGTTGGCGTGTCGGCGTAGCCAGTTCCCAGATTCTCTCTCTCTCGCGCACGGAAAAGCATTCGATTCAGCGAGACATGTCCGGACGCGGTAAAGGCGGTGAGTAAAGGAAGAAGAAAAAAAAGAACTTTCTTCATTTCGTATACCGGTGAACGATAATGACACTCCTCGATCCGATTCTTTCCAGGCAAGACCAAGGGGAAGGCGAAGACCCGTAGCAGCAGGGCAGGGCTGCAGTTCCCCGTGGGGAGGATCCATCGTCTTCTCAGGAAAGGCAACTATGCGGAACGTGTCGGCGCCGGTGCACCGGTCTATCTTGCTGCCGTGATGGAGTATCTGGCGGCTGAAGTGCTCGAGTTGGCTGGAAATGCCGCCAGGGACAACAAAAAGACTAGGCAAGCCCTTTATTTCGTTTCTCTCTCTCTCTCTCTCTCTCTCTTTCTCTCTCTCTCTCTATCTATCTATCTATCTATCTATCTATCTTTTTCTCGTTATCTCTTGCGCGTTAGCTTTCTTTGTCTCTTCGTTTCTCTCTCCTTTTCTCTTGTGTTTTGTGCTACGACTTCCTGTTTCTATTTCACGTTCGCCTTTCTCTCGATTTCTTCGATATTCTTGTCTTTAGCATTTTTTTTTGGAGGGAGATCACATTGTTAACCGATTTTTGAAAATTATATCTCGATCATTCTCGGATATTCTCTTGGAATATACATGTATAATTTATGATGCTACATTTTGTTGATTTACTTCAAAGAAATTTCAGTTTATTATTTATTTACTAATCTTTATTTTTGTTCGGCAATTTTTTTGTCAAGGTATAAATATATATGTATTTAACTTTTTTCGATATAAATTGATTGTGTAACTATTACTAACAGTAATATATTTATATATATATAGTACAAATAAGAGATACTTTGTTATATAAAAATACATGATTTCTAATAATGGTTTCTAAATTACTAGCTAATAAGGGAATATTTTTTTATTTAAAAAATCAGTTTGTAATTTTGCTATTGTAAAGTATTATGAAGTATTTCTATATTTTCTACTTCTTTATTTATTTATCATTATTTATATACTTATCTATTTTTGTTCAATTTGTTAATTTGCAAACATTTATTCTCTGTAGGATAATTCCACGTCACTTGCAATTGGCTATTCGTAATGACGAGGAGCTGAATAAATTATTGTCTGGAGTGACCATTGCTCAAGGTGGAGTACTGCCTAATATTCAAGCAGTCCTGTTGCCGAAGAAAACTGGTACTGGTGGTTCTGGAAAAGGCGACAAAGCATCTCAAGAATATTAGATTATTATACATTTATAACTCTTTATCGTACTTTAGAAATATGTCTCTGTTTCTCAAAATAAGAGGAAAAAAATAATATCCCTATAAATCTCAACAGCAAATTTTATATCTGAATCTATGACACATTTTTTTGTATGCTTAATTGACAATCTGCAAGCAAATAATATTATATGGAGATCCTGGAATAGATATTCTACTATTTTCATTCATGTTTTTACATCGCGCTAAGTCCTATCTTGGACACTGTTGAAAGTATAATTGCTGTCTCAATAAAATACATTTGATTGAAAATATTCCAGTGCTAAATAGTAAATTTTCAATTGCGTTTTAATTTAAGATTATGTTATAACAGATACAGTATAACTTATTGCTGAATATTTCTTGACTTATTTAAGTACAATGTTTGATTTAGTGATATGTGCGTGTTATGTATGTTTTCTTTTGCTATAATTTACTATTACTATAATGTTACTATTTTTTTTTAATTTTTTATCTTTTTGCACCTTTCGTGCATTCCTATTGTCTTACATCTAGAATCAGAATTTCTATTGTATTATCAATAAACATTTTAGCATGCATAATGAAAGCATTTGATTATTTTTGTTGAATGTAAAACAATATTTATATGAAAATAAATGACATTGCGTTTCCACTTGAAATTTGGTTTATAATTGTATCATACTCGAAAATATAAAAATAAAATTTAATTTACAAAGATACATAAATATAAACATTTTATATTATATTTTAATATAAATTTTATTTAACAAATGCATGTACTAGTATACATAATTGATAATACGTTTTATGATATATTATTATTTGTTATTTGTAAAAAGTTGTTAATTAACTCTTATTGAAGCCTGCCTCAAATTTGAAATTGGCGCTGGCGAATCTGTCGCCATGCTACAAGGAATTTTCGGTCTAGTCGGCATATAAGTAGCGCGTCGATTCGACGTGACATTTAATTTTCAGACAGCGGAGTACATAGCGGATACTTGGTCTGAAACACATCTCAAAGTGATATATTGACGTTGAACCTAGCAACGAACAGCGCGAAATGTCGTCAGGCGTTATAGATATCCTTGTAGACATGGGTTTCAGCATATCCAAAGCGTAAGTTCGTAAATAAATGTTACATCGTTCTAGTCTAACCTGCGATAATATTTAACTATTTTATTACACAGTGAGAAAGCTTTGGAAATCACCGGTAATAAAGGCGTGGAACCAGCGATGGAATGGTATGTGTATAATTCTTTAGTAGAAACTTTATCACATTGTTAATCATTGCTATTGATTTTTTATTTTAGGCTGCTAGCCCATTCAGATGAAGCTGAACCAGCACCTGAACCTTCCATAGGGGAGAGTGCTCCAGCGCTAGCTGCTGACACACCAATACAGGACAATGTTGCTAGTGCTAGCAATCAATTGGTATCCACCACTGAGACAGCTAAATCCATGAAATGTGATGTGTACGTTGAATACAAAGATAAGCTTTTAACTGTAGGAATATTTGGTTATATATTGGAATTAGACCATTATTTCTCGTATATAATACTATTTCAACAGGAAGAATATGATGATATATTTTCAAATTACTTTTGTAGATGTGGAAAGCTGTTCAAATCCAATTTGGAAATTGAATTTCATGCTACAAAGTCTGGGCATGATAGATTTTCTGAAAGCACAGAAGAAAAAAAACCACTTACTGAAGAAGAAAAGAGAGAACAACTGAAAATGTTGGAAGAAAAATTAAGACAAAAGAGAAAGGAGAGAGAGGAACAAGAAAAGAAAGATGCGCTTGAAAGAGAAAAAAATAGGATACGATCAGGAAAGGAAATGTCTGAAGCTAGGAAAAAGTAAGAAAAATAATATCAATAATATATATTAAATGTACAATATGAAAATTTTAGATAGAATACATGAAAATCTGTATTTTATTTATGTAATAGATTGGAAGAACTAGAAATGAAGAAGCTCTTAGAGCAAAGAAAACGAGAGAAGGCAGAAGAAAAAGAAGCAAGAGAAAGAGTTAGAGCACAAATTGAAGCTGATAAAGCAGCAAGACGAGCCAAAGCAACTGCTGAAAATAATCAGTCAGTTAATACAGCTTCAGCTTCTTTATCTGCAATTACTTCATCCACATCTACGCATCATAGAAAGGATTACACTGAAACTAGGATTCAGGTACTAAAATGAAATATATAGTAAAATTATATTATATATACATGTAATATATTTTAAACAATGATATTTTTTAGCTTAGGCTTACTAATGGACAAACTTTGACACAAAGTTTTGGAAGCAAAGAACAGTTGTCTGCTGTGAGACTGTTTATTGAAATGAATAGGACGGATGGTAATGGCTCTTTTCAACTAATGACTACTTTTCCCAAGAAAGTATTCACAGATGAAGATTATGATACACCATTAGATGTATTAGGTATGTGTATTGATAATTTATTATAGTATAATATACATATACATATGGAAGCATGTGCTTAAATTAACAACATTGATCATTAATATATATATATATATATATATATATATATATATATATATACATACATACATACATACATACATATATACGTACGTACGTACATACATACATACGTACATACAACATACATACATACATACATATGTACGTACATATATACATAGTATATGTACACATACATAGCATAATTTATAATATATCCTATTTTTTATTGATACAATTAGTGCAGTTTTATTAATTAATATTTTCCAATATATTATGTAATATTTTGTCAGTTGTAATAATGACATTGTTGCAAATACAATATTGAAGTCTTTTAGTAAAACATAATATATATTTTTATTTTTTAATTTTTAGGCCTGGTACCTTCAGCAGTCATAATCGTCCAAAAGAAGATGGAATGATGTAACCAGTGATGTCCTAATTTGTAAGCAAAAAATGTATATTATCATACAGATTAATTATAAGACATTCATGCTAATATAATGATATTCTTTATTATAAATAATCGATAATCTTATCTGCAATATGCAAATTTTTTCTGATTTCTTTGTAATCTCTTTCTTTATAAATAGTATAATTAAAAATAGATGATAATAGAAGAGCAGGTATTGGAATTCCGCATTAATTATAATTTAAACTAAATATGCTTTTTTTATCTATATATTCATAATTTAATTTAGAAATTATGTTGTAAATGTCTTAATATAAAACAATTTTTATCTTAATATAAAACATTTTTAATATTTCTTTAATGACAGAAAGAAAATTAAATTATATTACTTTTCTATCTTATGTACAAAGATTCATTATTAAATTCTTACCATGACAAATTATTTCGAGTGCATATCATAGTGCATATAAGTGTAATATATATATAATATTATTTAATAATTTTTCATCTAATTTGTGCACACATACATACATAATGATTTTATTATTATTAAAATTGTTATTATATCTGTATTGCACGATAATTGTGTGGTGTAGAACTAGGATATGTTATTTGTTTCAATTTATTACAATTTGTAGGGAACTCATAAATGCCATCACAATCTATCAACTTCAATGCTTTGTCAAAACAAAGTCTTATCTCGCTCACATACGATTCACCCGTTTTCTAAAAAAAAGTAAAACTATATACTTTTATAAAAAAAATAATATATATTAAATTATTTATTTATATCTGTAAAAAAATGATTTATATAAGAATCGTTTATATCGAAATAATTTTTGGATTTACCTTGTTCTGCACACATATTATTTGGCATCTTTTGTTCAACACTTGTTGAATTCCTATCAGCATATTTTCTACCATGTACTTTTGCCCTGGGAAAATATTTGCTTTTGGAAGTATGTCTATCATATTATAGCTATTAAGAAATGTTAGTCCTTTTTCAAAATATTTATATTCATTTCCTAAAGCTTTTATTTTAATTGCACAAGTGCCGTGTTTTTCCCATTCGTGTTTCCAAAACGAATAAGGATTTGATCCATTATGAATATCCATCCAATTCTCTTTTAATTGACTTTCCAAAGGCACTAGAACGCTTGCGTTAAACCGCAGCGACGTATTGCAATATTCTGGACCTTTTGTATTATATTTTGTCGGCCAAATGCCGTGGATAGTCCATTCATCTCGTTTAGGTAATAAACAAGTGTGATGCTTAGAACTTTCTTCCCATATAAAACAAGCTGTTAGTGGCCATTGTTGAGTAAATATTACGACATCAAAGTTATTGGATTTTGGCTTTTTAGATTTTCTTCTATTAAAAATATATGAAAGTGAAATATCTTTTTCTAAATCACAATTTACATTAAAGCATAACGCAACATTTTGTGAATATACTATTTTTTAATTATTAAAATTATTAATTGTTGAATTATTAAATTATTAAAATTATTTAATTATTAATTATACATAATTTTAATAAATTAAATTAAATATATATTATTTAAAGAAAGAGGGAAAGCAGCAAAAATAGTCTAAAATAATTTTAAAATAGTCTAAAATATTAATTTATGTCAGAAAATATTTAATTATATATTAATAATATTATATTATTCTGATGTTTAATAATACAATATGTAGTTTTATATGTATAGTTTTAATGATTACTTAACTAATTAAATTTAGGAAATTCGAATCATAGAACATTTATTTAAATCGTTATATAAATAATTTTTTGGAAGTCGTTTGACATGCTTTGACATTGATATCGCGAAATTTTTCTTCTTTTAAATGATTTTTAAGCATTTTTTGATAATATTTGTTAACATCTATATCTGTGTACTTGTACAGGTGTGCTAACATATTATCTTTGTTTATCAGAATACTAACATATAGAATTATATAATATTTTGAACAATATTTTTTAATATTACTAAGCATTAACATTAGTTTACTTACCCATGTGTGAGATACACTAAAGAACACAGCAAAAAAATATATAATATAATATATTTGGCCATCTTATTGAGAAAAAATTGTTCCACGTGTAGAAAGTAGATACTGGCTCCGAAAGAGCCAGCATCGAAGCTAAATGTACTCGATTCTCCCACTACCTTTTTCTGTAATTGCCACCACCACCTTTTCTCATTGTTCCACATTATGTCGGTAACAGATGGTTTTACTTAATCCTATTATGAAACCATGAGATATTATGAAGTTGACAATATTAAATATTCTAACAAATGTATCGTGAACCGGATGTATATTGAAAATAGCACATGAATATTGAATAGCATTTTTTTCACGAACATTAATTGACGTCATTGTGCATTGTGCATATAACTGCATAAAATAATTTATGACATAATTTTACAATTACATAACTTTATTTTGTAATTAATTTTGTTTTCGAAAATATTTTTTTATAATTGCAAAATATTTCTCAATAATCGGTTACGTTAAACATTAAAATTATTTTTGATGTTTAATATAATCAAAACAGATACTTTTAATTTAAATTTAGATAATATCAAAAATTGTGCAAGCTATTAATTTAAAAAGAGAACATTCAATTAATGTATTATAATCGTACATTATTACCATATTATATTTAATTATGCTAAATCGTATCATTATTAATATTTGGAAATAAACAGAAAAATGTTGAAATTAATATATCACGAATCTACAAATCTTCTACATCGTTTAAACTTATCTGTTAAACTTATCGTTTGATATTTTCTTTATTATTCTAACATGACGCATGTGTAAGATAATAAAAAAATCACGATATTACATCGTGTTATATTAATTTCTATTAAAGGAAAAATCCCTGCAAGTATGCAACCAAACATACGTATGAGCAATAGAGAGACAGTCATAACATTAAATGGCGCCATCTTCTTTTATAACTCATTTTATAATATTTGATAACGGGAGAATCATTTTTTATACAGATAGAGAATGTTATATTAATTAATATACTCCTTTTGCACAATATATATATATTATCCTAAAATTATTGCAACAATTATAAGATATATGAATTTAACATTATGATGAATGAAAATAGGAAAAAATAAATTTTATTTAGAGAATATATGCAATTTACTTTCTTTTATTTAAAAATTATATAACAGATCAAATATCAATTCTTTATTTTAGTATAAATCATTTTTTACAATAATTAATATTATGTTTATAATATTGTTGTCTCAACAATCATATTTTTTTTAATTATTACAATTATATTTCTAATTTAAAATTTGTTTTAGAAAATATTGAGCTAAATGTCGAAATGCACTATTATATCTCAAATATACATATGGTAAATAAATATTATATTAATGATCAAGTATTAAAATGACTCTTGATCACATTTCCAATTATCTGACACATCTGGAAAGTTTTGTTTGGTTGCACTCTTTGTCTTAATAAATAATATAATATTGCCTTACAGATAAATAATATGATAAGCAGAGCTAGTATATTCAGCCAATAATTTGGAGCTTTCTCCATACCTGCAAAACACACAGATAAAATATTGTTTTATTTTCTCAAATATTTACGAGAAATAAAATCGGCATAGAGAAAATCATTAATATAGAATATAAATGTAATACGTAATAACAGATCTTAAAATGAACAAACAATTCAAAATAATTAGTAAATATTATACAATTTAAAATAATAAGTTTGATATTATTATGAACCCACGCAGCACCAAGTCTAAAGGTACTACTAAAACTGGACGTTTTTTTGTCATAAACATCTTTTACTGACATCGTTAAATCGGAAAGATGGCTAAAAGTCGTCTCATGATTGGAATTCAGTGACTTTTTAATCTTGTGCATATGATGACTAAAAGATGACTTGATTCATTCTATATAGATTATCGACATTCGATAGTAGGAATACTTCAATACACACAATAAATGGACTATTTCTCCAATTTATCCGCCTAATTTCTAATAATCCGTTTAATATTCTGAATCTCAACAAGGAATCCAGATTATTAAATAAATTATTTTAAATTCAATTTGTCAGAAATTAAACTGATAAACAGTAATGCCAGGAAAAGGATGCGGCTCACATGCATACAATGATTCTGCGTAACACACGTATGTGGTTCTCTCTGATTGATGCGTGCGAGCAGTTCCTCTTTCTGGCATTACTGTTTGTAAAAGGCAAAAATATGCTTCAGATCTTATATTAATTACTAATTCTTTATATATATTTCATGATAAATATTCAATACGAGTTAAGAGTAGCTCGCCGCGTAGCGATAAACGAAGAAACACGTGCCACATATTATTATGTCTCTTTTATGTCATCTTTTTCGACAAAGCGAAAAGATGTCTCTATAGACATCTTTTTGTTTTGTCAAAAAGATAACTCAAAAAAGACATCTTTTCGTTATCTTTTAGTATATGTGCTGTGTGGGAAACCTTACCTATTGTTCGAAAGATTTCTTTAGGTGAACTGAAATGACAATATATTTCTTCTACTGGACAAGGTAATCTCGGTCTATCGTAACCATACATAGCTGTTGTGAGAGCCTCTAGTCCATATCTGATACAACTAGTATACATGAATAACGTTCGGTAAAGTGGTAAAGGTGTGGAATCACCAAAACCTTGTATCGCGGTTAAAATCGTGACACAAGTTAGTGCCGGTGCGATGAACATACTGTTCTAAATAAAAAAAGAGACATTTTAGTTGTTATATTTATTAATTTTAAAGAATGTTTTTTTGTATTATATCCATAATTATATAATTTCAAACATACTACGGCATTGAATATGCTAGCGATATTATATCCTATGCTTTCTCCGATAAAGGCGCAGATGAAACAAGTACTGAAAAACATGATGCACCTCTGCCATTCCAGAGGTTGTCCCGTAATAAAGTAGACTATCGAAAGATATATAAAACCTAACAATATCTGAGAAAAGATTCAGAAAGATTTTTAAAATAGTTTGATAGACATGTGATAAGTCTAATGTAAAATAATAAAAATAACAAAAGAGCTGCTATGTGATTTATTGCTAATAAAGAATTTATCAGAGGAACCAACCTGTAAAGGTATACTGATTATTGTTAGGGCCCAGTAATAAGCGCTAAGATTATACCATCTGTTAAAATGTTCTCTTTTCATTATCCGAACTTCAAAAGGAACTGCAAAGAATTGAAATAAAATAATTGAAATACAATCATAAGCTAGTTCTCTCTATTAGGTTATTAATACATTTAATATATATTTAATTATTTTATTGCCTCTTCATCTTTAGAAAAAATTTGACGAAGTTTAAATATGATAATGAATATAATTAAATATAACTATATTCATATATATTATTAAATATAATTAAATATAACGTTATGTATTTTGATTGCATAATGGTTGCTTTTTTGTTGCAGGGAAAAAGAGAGAAATTTTCATATCAACAATATTTATAAATATATTGTTGTACTGATTGAGAAATATAATACGGAATTTTGCAATGAAAAAATTAATTTAATTAATTTCTTATATATCGATTCCTATATATATACACAGAAGAAATAGTATACTTACAATGCTGTAACACTGGAAGCATAGGTATATATAGAAATACTATTAGACAGGCGAAGCAAAAACCAAAATTAAATAGGGCCTTCGAGCCATCATTGCCCATATTTAAAAACAATAAGCCAATTACTAATCCTAAAAAAATATGTAGCACGATCTTCAAGTAGATGTAATCCTGCAAATATATAGAAATATATATTCATTTAACAAATAATTTTTTAGAATTAAGCTTTCTCATATTTATAAACTTCTATTGAATTAATTATTTTGAATTAATTAATATATGTGTTTGATTTTTACTCTATTTCTATAAAGCTGCAATGCCATCCTCTTGGTTAACGTTTTGAATTGATCAAAGCGGAGTACTTTCGGATTATGCTTGTCAAATTCGAATTCACACTTTACTGGAGAAATCGGAAGAATCGGTAATTTGTTGACGTGAATCATCATTTGTTCGATCAAATCGGAACCATAATCGCCCGAGCAGATTTCTATTACTGAAACAAGTATTCGAAACAATGTATCTTTTAACATACCTAAACGTCATTATTATATCATTATGATTGAAATTAAACGATAAATAATGATAAATATAAATTCTTAAAATTCTGAGATCTGATATATCTAAGGATTATTGTTATATCATTATCATTATAATTGAAATTAAATTAAATGAATTCTTAAAGTGCTAAGATCTCCTGTATGAAAAATATTAAGCTTTTTCATGAAAAACTCGACATATGTTTATTATAGCTTGTGACTTTGGCAGAAATATTGAAATAGTGAAATAATGTTGAAAGAAATCATACGAATCAAAAAATACAATTGTACGAACAGTATATGACTTACAGAAGTCCGCTGGATTGTAATGCTTCGGACATTCTAGATTTAGGCTTTTTAAGAACGGCAACACGTTCGAGGTACCCTTGTAAGTACATTGTCCGTCAGTCATGACGTAAACGTGATCAAATTTGTTGAATATACTCGCATTGGGAGTATGTATCGAGCATATAACATTTCGTCCAAAATGCGCCAACTTTTGAAGACTATCAATGCAATGAAAAGAAGACAACTCATCTAATCCACTGAAAAAAATAAAAATAAATCTCTCTGCAACTACTTTTACAATATTAATACTACTACTACTTACAATATTAATACTACTACTTTTACAATATTAATATTTTTAAGACAAAAGTTCTGTACTGCATTTATTTCATTACAAAAGCATATGACACGATTTTTATTCTATTTTCTAATTTCGATATAAGTTGTAACGAATATTTTAACAACAATATGTTGTTTCCTTTAATTTGTTTTTTTCCCAAATAATATTGAATAACATTATAATCAATTTTTTGTTACATATATATGTTTTGTTTAACTATGTGCATAATTCATAACATTTACTAATTGTTATAAAAAGAATCAATGTGATTATCTATAATGAATTTTTAAAATTTATTCTAAAGGTTATTCTAAAGGTAATTTCTAATAATAGATTTTCTAATACTTTGTTATTCTCTTGTTTCAAAACACTTGATTTATTGACTCACAGACTTCTTTATGATTTTAAAGAGAGAGAGAGAGAGAGGAATGTTCTCGGCCAAGACATCAATTATGCGCTATATAATCTTTACTTCTTGCGTCATACAAAATCGTATTAAGAAAAATTAACTTTTTTCTTCCTTTTTTTTAAATAGATTATATAAGAAACAAGATGCCATAATATAATTATTTCTAAAAGCTTAATTCGTAACGAATTACAACAATAATATAACGATATTGCTAATAGTAAGACGATTTATAATGTTTATAATATTGTTATTTTAGAAAAAGATTATAATTAAATAATTATGTATAATTAAGGCTCACGTATGTGTTGCATTACTTGAGTTTTGTATATTAATGACTTCGTTATGCATCTTACAAGTTAAAATAATTGCATACAATATAAAATGTAAATCGTCTTAATGTAAACGTAATTATTTTGCAGTTATCATAAACTTCCTATTTTATCATTCACAAATAATTAAACAACAAGATAAGAAAACTGGCGTATCCGAGCCATAGTGGATGGTAATGCCTAAAACTACTTTAATTGTACGCGAAAATGTAAACGAGAACAAGGCATATACATATATTTTACTTGGTGCATTTACCAAGATATATAAGATTCTCATTTTTGAGAAATTCTATAAAAACCCTCTTTACCCCCCTGAAGAGACATAAACGAGAAAAATATTGGGGCGAATGATTAATATTTATAACTACTTACATATGCAGAAAAATGAATGATGAAATATATTGAGATCATTTATATTGAGATCAAGATGCAAAGTAGTAATATAATTTAAAAGTGTGTATAAAAACTTTTCTATATTTTATTATATCTACGCAGACATTTAAATATATATAGTTACTATTATTATTATACATATAATAATTTGTCATATAATTTAAGAGAATAAGAAATTGAGGTATGTATTATAAATAAGAAAATTTTATATACATTTTGTACAATACTCACGTGGTTGGTTCATCGAGAAAAATCACAGGTGGATTATTTACTAATTCGAGTGCGATTAGCAATCTCTTTCTTTCGCCGCCGGAGAGTTGTTCCATAAATGTATCTTGTACTTCGGATAATCTAAGCATAGCCAGAATCTCATTTATCTAAAATTAATTGATCTTTTGAAAATGTGGATGTTTATGATCATAAGTTAGTGATACTAATTATAGATATCAATTTTTGTTATTTTTTTTTTTTTTTTGTATTCTATGTCTCATTTTAAGTATATTAAATCAATAGATTTTAGGCAATAGCCTAAATGCGCATTCTTTTTATGTGGCAAAGAATGTTACATTAATTGAAAATCAGATTTAAAATTAATAGTGATATTTTCTTAGAACTAGTGCTTGAAATAAGATTTAAGAGAAAATTATTTAATTTTCTGCAGTAAATTATATAATTGTTAAAAAATGTACTTTTTAAATCAAATTTAAATCAGATGTTTCTGACGTAAATCACACATCTCTCTCTTCGCTGATTCAAACTTTTTTAGCAATATTTTTATAATTATTGATAGTAAATTATTATGACAATTACAATACAAATATATACAAATATTGCTAAAAAAGTTTGAATTAGCGAAGAAAGATGTGTACATGTAATTTGATTTGCATCAAAAATAATTAATACTTGATTTAAAAATAATTTTTTCATTGTTAAAAAATATTTTATCAAAAAATGTTTAAACAGAAAATACAGTTGTGTTAATTAATTCGCTTTTGCGTCAATCTTTTATACTTCTGCATCGAATTTATTGTTTACCTTGATTTTAGCCTTCAATATATGCTACTAAAATATTCTGCCATAATATTAGACTACGAAAATATTATACTCACGACAAAATGTTTTTCCGATTGTGATTTCCTTCTGCCAAGTTTTAAATCTGCGGCGAAGGTCATCGCTTCGATAACCGTGAGTCCTGGTGCCGCCAGATCATTTTGCATAATGTAGCATGACATTTTCTTGAACTCCTGCATGTCCCGTGGCTGTCCATTGATATTTATTGAACCACTTATCTCCGTGAATCTGAATACGAAATATTCGCTTTAATGTTGTGCAAAATTGCAAGTTTTTATAATACTGAATTTTTCATTATTTATCATTTCCAAATTTGGATATAAAATATATAATTATTTTAACTGTTGTATAAACTTTGTTATTATGTTTTTGTTGCTTTGTTAATTTCTTCCTTGATTATTCAATCGAGATGCTATATCCTTTTGATTTTAATAATCATTGAAGTTTGCCACAAAATTGTTAAGTATTATGCAATATACTGTTTAGCATAGACATTAACATAGACTCTTTATAAGGCAGTGGAGCCTAAGTGGGAGTGTCCTGAGGGAAAAGAATAGCATGAATTAACTTGTGTATCTGTCTTTTTCTGACACGCATGATGCAATTTCAAGTTATTGACTTTAATAACTTGAAATTACATCACGCGTGTGCCAGAAAAAGATAGAAACACAAATCAATTCATACTATCCTTTTCTCTCAGAAAAACATTCCTCGCTACTTTATGAGCAATCTATGTTAATATGTCTATGCTGTACAGTGAATACGATCTTATATAACTTAAATGTGTGTAGATAATTGGAACTCCTAAACAATCGTAAAATATGAAAATATGAGTTATCGGAATGAAAATATATATGAAATATAAAATAAGATATTTTTGATAATATATATGTGTAATATATATAATATAATATAATTATATTTTAATCGCAAAAAACAAATCATATTGATAAATAATAAGAAGAAATATGATAATTAAAATAATGAACGAATAAATAGTAAATATATAAATATATAAATATATAAAAATAATATATTAAAACAACTTATACAATTTGAGAATCTTAACAAATTATAGTTTGCAATAATAAAAAATAATAACTTAGGACTATTAACAAAATATCACGAATTGCATAAAAAAATAAAAAAGATAATAAATATAACTCAAATGTTTCTATTTTAGACTGGATCTTAAAATTTTTTTATGCAATTCACGACATTTTGTTTTTAGTCTTAAGTTATTATTCTTGCAAACTTTAATTTGTTAAGATTCTTGCAAATTGCATAAATTTGATTTAATATATTATTTGCATGCCCGGTATTTGCTATTTACACTCGTTTATTATTTTATTTATCTTTATTAGAGTTATTTTTCTTATAAGTAAATAATAAGATGGATTTGGTTTTATAAAATATAGACTTATATAATTATGGAGAATAGATCCACGAGAAGATCCACAAGATCAATAATTAACATATTAATTGAATTTGAATAGAGATAATGACGCAGAAAAGATTATAGAATTAACCAATTTTATACGATTAAAGATTTTTATTTGAATTTGATTATTCGATTACGTACTTATATCCGGCAAGAACATTCAGTAACGTCGATTTTCCAGCACCGGAAGGACCCATAATTGCTGTCAGCTCACCCGATTTGAATTGTCCGCTAATTCCTTTTAAAAGTATCTTTGACTCTGTAAATTTTTGACAAAATATTGAATGATATATTATATCTAAAAAATAATTTTATTTATAGTTAAAATTGTTAAAACGCTTGATAAAAACTTTGATAAAAAATTTATTTAATTTATTGATAAGAAATCCCATTACATATGATAAAACTATGTATTATTGTTAACTTTATGTAAGACGCGAGATTACGTGTGAAAAGAATTCTATTACACATCTCCTTGAGCTCATTTGCAATATGTCATTCGATCGTAAAAGTAGCATTTTCTTTTTCATTTTCTTTTGGTCAGGATAGTTGTTAAGCAAGACGGTATTAAAATTTTCTGAAGAATATGAAATCAGCATAACCTGCATAATTCACACACAAATTAAAAATTTAAATAGAATTAAAACGTAAAGAATGAATTGTACCGTGACAGTGAATGAAAATATTCCAATAAAAATATATATACTTGATAAATATAAATATATATATTTGATTACGTTTACTTGCTACGTATTAAATTAATAAGCCAAGTCTATAGCTTTTATTCGATATAGCGTTTATTACTCTTATTATATTAATGGATGCTTCGTAAGAAGAATTAGCATACATTATTAGCATGCGCAATTTGCATAAAGATCATGTCACTTTTTTTGTCTTTTTTTATACTTAAATATTTGCATTTTGATAAAGATAAAATTTGTAAATTAAAAAAAATGAGAACAAAAAGAAATATGAAATAATATGATACACATCATATTACACAAATTGCCTATAATTAACATAAATGAAGTAATAATGTACAAAACTCTGAAATAATAATGATTAAATAACATTAAACTCTTGAAGGTCGCCAGTAAATAAAATACAAGAAGTAATTAAAAACGACCACACTGGCAAATTTTTATTAAAGTGAATCACGACGTTTCGACCATGGTTTTGGTCCTTTTCGAGTGAACTACAAAAAATTATTTCCAGTATTACACAAAATAATGATTAAAACTATCCTTATCTAAATTATACATATATCATATATAAATATGCTCTTGTCACTTCGAATAATTTATTTCATTTCATATATATTTTATAATATATCAATTGCTTATTAATCTATTGAAAGAATAATGTATTACTAGGTCACCACTATATCATCATTTTTATGTTTTTCACACTTGATAAATTTACTATTTAACATAGAAATCTTTTTTCAATTTTTTTAGTATTTTTCTATTTACTTTACATAGTATATTATGCAACATTCGATCGTGAATTACGTGAATCATGCGCGATTTTTGCAAAATGATTACGAAACTTTTTTTTTTTCACTTGTCACAAATGTAACACTAATGGCATTACATGCTTTTCATTTAGCGACACAAGTCGACACAAGAATTATTCTATCTTTATTTGTTGTTATTCATTGAAAAAAGATAATGCAATGCTCTTATATTTATATTCATATCACGCGTTGTGAGTTTTATTATTGGCAACAATACTTCGAGACTTTCGAGAATCAATTTAACATGCACTTTTTAGAAAGGGATTACAAGAAAAATTTCTTCAAGTTCATCAATTTAATTTTTACTATCTCAAGACATCAATTTAATTTTTACTATCTTATATATATCATGAATGGAAGATGTATGTACAATATAACACATTATGTATAATTTTGCTATTTTTAATCCCATAATCTAATATCACTCCATTTTAAAAAATATAAATATTTTTTTTTCTTTTTTCCCAAATTTTGTTCTAGAATTAAAATATATATATATATATATATATATATATATATATATATATGAATAATATAATTATTTTAATTGTTTTTTTTTAATTTACGCAACATGTTATTGTTTACAGAGAAATAATAGGGAACAAATATTTTTCATGCGTAAATTACTTTGTAATCATGTAGATAAAATATGTTATGGAATAAATTTTCAAAAATTTCGTCCAAAAGATCGATACACAATTATAAAAAAAATAATTCCATGCATAACATAGTATGTGAAAGCGCAAGTATATGCTGCATTTTGTTTTATTTTATTTGCTATTAAATTATTATCAATAAATTTTTTGTTCGTAACAAGCAGGTAGAGATATTCTTTCCTTTTATTTGAAAAATAGCAATTGCAGCATCAATTGATTTATTTATGATTGTGTATGATTATGTATTATGTATGATTATGATCGCTTATTGTTCATGAAGTTCATTTAAGTGTGTGTATCCGTGATTAAATAACTCGTGTATTTAAATGCAAAATTATATATTTGTATTCGGTGGCAATGTTTTTAATCATCGAAGTTTTATTACTATAAGTTTTATTGATAAGAATAGTTCAAGTTCAACTGCGAGGTTCTATGTAATGCGCAGTTAGATTTTCATCGGCGAAGCTTACGTATGTCATACGTGTGTCAAAGCGTATGTTTATCAGAATTGTGTATTTGAAATTACTTAAATAACTGGTGATTTTAATATATTCTTCACAAAAAGTACCAACTAAATTAACTGTATTGCAAAAGAAAGTAATCATTTTCATAATTGTTAATTTCAAGATATACAATGTTATATATTAATATAATAAGAAAAATTTAACATCATTATTTTAACATCGATGTTTCAGAGAATGTATATTATCAGCAATTAACATAATACAATTCACAAATATATTTTATCTATATCATATTCAATATTATCGAATTAGGAAAACCGATGTAAATTATACAATATAAAAATACTTGTTGTTTACTAAAAATTTATTGATAATAATTTAACAGTAAATAAAATAAAACAAAATGCAGCACATAGTTGCGCTTTCACATACTATGTTATACATGGAATTATTTTTTCTATGATTTATAATTATCTCATTAGTAATGAATATTAAAATAACAATTAATAATATCAGTCTTTTTATTGCAACGTATATATTTTTCATACATATTTTTATTAACGTATATATTATTAAGAATCTTGTATGACATATGTCACAAGTCTTTTATAAATGATTTTGTAAATAAAATAAATCGTCTAAGTTCAACATGCAAGCAAATAATAAATTTATTAGCAATAAAAGAATAAAAAAATTGAAAGGAAAATGATGAAATAAAAATGTAGCAAAAAATATTCTTTATTCTAATCATGTCATTAATTCAACGAAGCCACAATATCATATATTTCGTTTTATTATATAAATCTTTTTATACTACTACTATACTTTATACTATCAAAAAATTAAACAATATATATTTTTATGTAAAATATTTGCATGAAACTATCTTATTTTCATCTTTTTTATCTTTTAAAAATTCATAAAGATTACAGATTCAATTATGCAAAGATTAAATGTAATTCGATCTCTTATTTTTATCCAATTACAATTTAAGAAGTAGCATAATCAAATACTCATTTATAAAATGCTTTTCTTTTGTAAATTTTAATAATTTAATGGCAATTAAATTATTAAATTATATATCGTCTATATAATAGAATATGCACGCGATATTTTAATATATTATTAATAATTTATAATAATTTTGTGGCAAATTATATTTTATGTAAAAGATAACACTTTACATATAGTATATTATATTATAGTATATTATATTAAAATGTGATCTACTATCATCTTATCGATACATTACCAATAATTGTTAGGTTAAGAGATTAAACTTTAAATAAACGAAAAATGCGCTGTATTAGAAAGTTATCTGTTCTGCCACAAAATAATCTCGATATATAGTATTAACAACGCGTTTAGCGTATTTCACAACTTTTATATTATTATTTTAATTTATTAATGTGAACATATATATGATTGACTTTACCTTTTCGAGAGCTTGGCACTGTATATGTTAAATCGTTGAATTCGATGTTCACCGCGGCCATTTTTGATGTATAGGACATGGTATGTTTGTTATAATCGAGAATTTTTTCTACAGTTTCGCCGTTTCCGGCTTCCTTTTTGTTGTTTTTTATAGTAGGTTCCAAAGTTATAATTTTCCACCTGATTTCTAAAAATGATTTATCTCCAACTTGCGATTGTCATCTGATCCAGTCTCTTTTTCGTAAAGTAAGAAATTGTTCAGTATCACTAAAGAAGTAATACAGATAATAATTAAAAATAGATACATATAAAAATATAAAATACAGAAACCAAAAATTTTGATGTGTGCTATGAAATAAGAAAGAAAATATCCCTTGGAGCATGCTGATTGCTTATTTACACTAATACTGTACATAACAAGGAAAAATGATAATAATTTCTTAATAATGCAATAAGAACTATATATGATAGATGGAAAAGAAACTGTGTTCGAGATTTTTTACATATACGTATATTTCCGAATTACTTTATTATGCATTATGTTTAGAACATTGAAGATTATCCGGAAACTATAAACGTTCTCTCCTGTTTGTAACTTACATGTAATGATCACTTGACAAATAGATAAATACTCAAGATGAATAATATAATAGTAATATAGTTTCTACTTTATATTACATGCATGCGTTACGTAAATCTTATGTAGCACATTGAGCTTCAATTGAAGATGATCTAATATAAGAGAATTATAAGTAACGAACTATATACATATGAGACAATATATGAGCTAAGATTAATCGCTTGCAATTAAATACAAAAACAATAATCAAGATAATTACGTTATTAGTGTTTAAGAAAACCTTGAACTCTCTAGACTCATTCTCCTTATATAAAAGTAAAAATATATATAAGCGATTAAGCTTAACTACTGTTGTACTGTGTAACTCTCATATGTTTATATGTTTATATAGTTTATTATACTGAGAAAAATCTCGTTACATTAATTAGAATTCTGATAGATTCAACCAGTATGTCTGTTGGAAAATGGACGAACCAGAATTCTTGTAGGAATTACAAGATAAATCTGATTAATTTCTTCCTGTTAAATTTACCAAATTTTCTGGTTAATAATACTAAACTCACCAGCACCAAGTTATCTAAACTTTTTTCCTCTAATCTCAAAAATCTGTTAATATTTTGAATTCCAACAAGCTTATTGGATAAATTCAATCCAGATTATTGAATAAATTATTTTAAATTATTTTAAATTTAGTTTGTAAAAATTGTAAACTGATAAACAGTGATGCAAGAAGAGGTTGCTGTTCAAACACACACAATCAGAGAGCTAGAGTCTTCTTTCTGGTATTATTGCTCGTAAGAGAAGAAAAATATACTTTGGATTTAATCTTAATACTAGTTCTTTATATACATTTCATGACAAATATTGAATACGAGTTAAGTTAAGAATGGCACTTAGCGGCAAGCAAAGAAATTAATGTAACAAGAAATTTTATAGATCCAATCAGAAAATACTAACCAAATCCTTATAGTAAAATCTATTAAAGTATCGTTTTAGTTATAAAAAATCATATCTTATCATGATAACTAAAAATTCTTGTTTGATTTAATCAAAATGCCTTCAATCATATACGCCTTGTTGGTACAATCAAACGATTTTTCTCAGTGTGTATATGAAATGTTATTAAATATTATTAAAATACTATAATATATTCTATTATTATATTATATTTTACTAAAAATAGTATAATATATATACAATTTCTTCATATTTGTTTGTTTAATATGATAATTATATATAAAACGCATTATGACCGTGAGCTTTTTGAATTTTTTATATGTGAATATCTTTCCAATTTCTTTTCCAATTTCTTCTTCAAATTCTGCGAGAATATGTTGACCAAAGATATAATTATACAATTTACAACATGCCAATTTTGCTACTTACTTTCTGTAATTTTCATTTTTTTATATAGCAAATAAAGAACTTGACTTATTTACAATTTTCACTGCGACAAGCAAATAAATTGAACTTCTATGTTTTTATTCTATTATTTTTACAACTTTTTCAGATGTGATAACTTTCATGTTCGCTTCTAGCACTATATTGTATTTTAGGAAAGCTAATCTGCATAGACATTTATCTACATAATACACATTTATCTAAATTTGTCTACATATGCGAAAAACATGTTGATATTTGATAATCGTACGTTTATCAGCATTTTATACATGTAGTACGCTACTTTACATACACTTATATTTTAATTTTTCTTATAAAAAACTGAATAAATAAACTAAGATTTTATATTTGGATTCCCACATTATTATACAGCCTGAATAATAACAAATCATTATAATTATTTTTCTCGTAATGTATCTATATAAAGGGAGTAATTTATTAATTTTGTTTTTTTGTCTGTATATGTCTATGTTGCAATCACCAACGATAAGAATATAGATAAGAAACAAAAAACACAGATCACAGATCACATGTCACAGATTCATCTGAATATTCTTCTTATATATATTTTCGTATATTATATAATAAATTATATATTATGTTTTTTTCATTCTGTTTCTTTTTTCATTCTCATTTCAATTTATTTATAATTATACTTATTTCTCGATTATTTTATCAATTTTGTTTTAGTTTGGAAATATTTTACAGTTTTTGTTTTTTTTTCTTGTTAGTTTTCTTTTCTTTTGTTCTTCATCTTTTTCATGCATTCGATTATATTTCTTTAACTAATCTTGATATTAAATTTCTATTAAAATTAAAATTAAATAAAACTATAATTATTTCATCACCTTTAATACTTTCAAAGAATAATCCTAAAATTTTTGAATTTTTGGATCACTAGCAGCTTAGGTTAATTATTCTATTCAGTATTTTTAATAAAACAAAACTATTCCTGAATAGATAAAAATAAATCTATATATAAAGAGACATGCTAAAAGAGAAGATTTTACATTATATGCAAATATCAATGGAAACTTACGAATCATCAAAAATACTCAAATTTTACTCTTCGCGCGTCACCGCTTTAGCATCGTCATTAAACAGAAATATGGCAGCAATGATTTACAAACAATGCATGTCACATCGACGGCACAATGTGGTCTACCGATTAACACGACCTCACTAGAAATAAGAATCACCATAGGGCAATGATTAATCAGTGAATACTCAGCAAAATTACTCAGCGCGCTGCCAGTAGCAGCAGTAGACTGACTCGGAAATAACATTTGGTGCTCCCGCATAGCTGTATATCTCCCTATTGGTGTATGTAAAGCGTGACTCTTAGAATGAGTACTCATTACACTACATCGCCATACATAACATGACTACCATAACTGTTCGCATCACGGTTTGTACGAATAAAATACAGAATGAATTCAAGACAGCACAATTGTGATTCTCGAATAAAGTGAAAATCAGATGCAAGTTTTTAGAATCTATCGTTTTGACGCCATTGCAAATATCGATCGTGTTCAACAGTTACCATACATTCACTTATACGCAATTTAAATCATTGATTTAATAAACAGCCAATTCAAGATTTTTACTCTGTATTATAAATTATTTTCATGACTTTAAATGTTGTATTCGAAATAATATTAAAGATTAAAAAAGGACGTTACATGTTCAATATCTACTTATTTCATACATATACTCTGTTAACTATTATGAATGTCATAACAATAGAGATAAGAGATAATAGGCGAGAGAATTTATTTCATTCAATTACTCATTCAATATTTTTGACTGGTATGCATTTAATACACCAATTTTGTGTATATGTCTGAATTTGATTAAATTTTATTATCCTCGAGTCAGAAAAACAAATTCATTTGTATTAGTAGATAATTCGTATTATTTGTGAATGATAAATTGTGACATCGAATATTTTGTTTAAGCATTAGACACGATTTTTCAGTGAATTATAAAATATCGCGATTTTGACACGCCATTGCATAAATATCGATCGTATTCAACAGTAAATTATAATTATAAATATTTGTATCTTTAATCTCTCTTTTAAGAGATATATTTCTTTTCTTAAAGTTTAGATTTGATAGAATCATTTTTTTCATTCTTAGATAAAATAAAAATGGACCGAAAAAGATTCAAATCGACTACAAATTTAATAAGAATGATATTTACAGACATACTAGTATAGCTTTACTAATATAGACTCGATACAATTTTATAATGAAATATTTATGAACAAGTCTTGCTCACCTTGTTCATTTTTTATTTTTATTCGCATAATTGTATACTAAATAATTTTATGACATCATAGTTTTATCATTGAAAGTCTCTTTATTTTATTTTATTTTATTTCTATCTTATTTTATTTGCTTTATTCCTATTTTATTTTATTTTGAGTTTAATCGTGTCTACATAATAGGAAAATTCTTATATGTACGAATAATTTTTATATGTTACATGCATGTGTAGATTTAATTATTATATACTTAATCTAATAACTATACGAAATATAAAAATATATGCATGAATTGTTACCATTTAGATTGTGAATATAAATTTATTGCACGAAATATAACGAGATAAAATAACAATGATCATTAAAATAACAATGATCATTAAAATAAAATTTGAATATTTATCTATTGCCAGAATATAGGTTTATTTAATTAAATAAGCAAGATCATATACGCATATAAATTCAAATTAATCGTTTTGATTGTGTTTAAAAATTAAAATATCGAAGATTAATAATTGAAAAGTAATAATTTATTGTTAGATATTGTATTAGAGAATTACATATCTTTATGAAAAATTTTTCACAAATTTCGTTTATCATTAATAATGGAATGGATACTTACATCTTGCGTATCTCTTGTGAGTTTTTCATTATTAGTTATTCATATCATTATGCTATCAATATTACGAATTTTATTATGAAGACTTATGAAACATAAATCTCAATGAATCATAGATTGAAGAATTGTGACAAAAAATATGTAATTTTGATGTACATACGTGCGTCCGTAATATATTCAATATTTTCAAATATTTTAATCGATTCAAAGGAAATATGTGTCATCAATAATAATGATTATTAATATTACCAATATTAATGTTTTTTCAAAGTGTATCAAAAAATGTATCATATTACACAGTAAATATTACATAATTATACTTTAAAATTATTTAAAAAAAGACATAATTTTTTTTAGAAATATATGTATATATGTATACATGTTGTTTGCTACTGCATTTTGTATTGATTGTTAAAATCAAGCAGTGAATGATATAATTATCAATTATATAAGAAACTTTGAACCAAAAGAAATGTATTGAAAACGTAATTAAAAAATTAATGTTTCAAATAATAATAGATATTAAAAATAATTTTTGTAATATGTGTGTGTGTGTGTGTGTGTGTGTGTGTGTGTCACATAACAATTATAAACATATATATGTCTATACATAATTAATCATAATAATTAATCATAATAATTTAAAAATTTAAATTTAAACATGTACGATGTAAACAAAGATAATGATTAATCATAGAATTTTCATAATATTAATAATTGTAAGATTAATATCTACAAAAGAAACATTCGTAAACATTTTTTTGAATAATAACTTATAATAGTAAATCATTAAGATAATTTCTTATCGAAAAGAAAGAGAGTATCTATAATTTTGTTTGTAAAAGAATTAGTGGAATAATGCTTTCTGCAATATTTAGCTGTAATTAAATGTTAAATTAATCTTTTGTCCACTATAATAAAATATCATATATAATGCCAATACAATGTAAGAAGCACATATAATTATATGGGAATATTTTACATTTATATAAACTACGCAAAAAATATACTGAGAGATATAACAAACTAAATTGCTAAAGCTTTTGCTAAATAATGCGACAATATTTCCAATAAGGAAACTTAAATAAAAATTCCCAACAAATCGAAAATATTTAATTAAAAATTAAAAAGCTTTAAAATTATTTTTACATAATGCATGCGACTATATTGTGTATATGATATACAATGAAATATTAATATTCTTTTAATATTCTTTTAATATAAGTGGAATAACGGCATGACAAATATGTACTAATATGTCTAACACGATAAGAATGAAGGACAAAAAGTAATTGAAACAGTATTATGAAAAGCATATCTCATATTTATGTTTTATATATGTGCAGAAACTATAACAATGATTATGCCAAACCAGTACAGGTACACGCATCTCGATATCGCACCTTATATATTATAAAAGTGTATTTATTAACAATCGATTATATATTTTTAATTGATCACTGTTTATTTTATCTACATAAATATATACTATATTGTAATAATTACTTCATTTGTTTGAGCGCCGTAACCATGTTATCGATATTTAATTTAATCGACGATTTTTATTTAAAAGACATTTAGATAAGCGACATGATATAATTTCAAAAATCTTTAACTTTGATAAATTTTGAGAACAAATGACAATTTTATATATATATAGAATTGTAATAAAGTACGGTTTTTCTCTCTCTCTTATGTTTTTAAAAATTTTCTGTTTTTCTTTCTATTTTTCTTATAATTTTTAACATTACAAAAAATCGAGAATTTACGCTTATTTAAGAGAATAGTCTAGCAACACATTCTGTGTCTGGAGGAAGATAATAATAATTCAATAAATATATATAATAATTAATTTAATAAATTCGTTCTCAACAGTATAATAGCAAACAAATTGTTATCAAAATAACCTTTTTGTCTTCTGTTAAAAAAATTTGATTTGCATATCTCAATTTGTGAGTATCAACCGATACAAAATAATGCAGGAAAAATTTGCTCATTATATTTATGAAAATCATAGACTTTTATAAGAGTACATAAACGCTCGTTTTGACATAATCTATCAGGGCTGCTCTTTTCTCTAAAGTGTTAATAACATTTGGTCTTTAACATACAAAATTAATATCTGGCAAGATAAACTCATACGCTTATAAATCATCTCGGACATATTATTTCGTCCCAGCTAATTTTAAGAACATGAGCATTTGCATTTGATTTTCTCTAACATCATTTTTTGCATCATTAAGCTCACAGCCATTGGTGGATAGAATAGAATAATCGTTCGTGAAATATATCATCGATTAAGGCCTCGTATTCATTTATGGAAGATAGACACGATTGAGGGCAACTGACAAACCCCCATCACTTTTCTTAAAGAATTCTTAAAAATCGCATGTCAACTAATTCTTTTCGCCTCAGCTTTCTATCTAATTGCATGGTGCGACAAATGTTTGGAGTTAGTCGACAATAAATCTAAGATCGACATTCTCGATCGTATTCTAACGAGAATGCTGATATAAAAAAAGGAAAATTTTTACATATGCATACATACATGCGTATATACATATATACACATATATACATACATGCATACATATATATATATATATATATATATATATATATATATATATATATTAATCGCCGTCGCATTATAAACTTAACTAGAAATATAAATAAGTTATATTAATATATCCCCCTACAATTAAATTCAGCAAAATAGCATAAAACATGAAAGAAAATAAATCACTTTACGATACTTTTGAAACATATAATATACGTCTTTTCTCGATAAAGAATAGTTATTGCCGCCGAGAAATGCCACCAAAATCTTTGCATAAATTTTCTCAGTTTTTACTCACGTATTGTGAGGCATCGAAATTTAAATTTCCATTTTAGAATATCTTACAGTAGTTTGCGTGTATCGACAATTTACCGAGCATTCTTAATCTTCCAACGAAGGAAGAAATACGCGGCGATTCGAAGCACAACGAATATGAGAAGGAGAGCGAGGATATCTAGAGTAAAGTCGGCATCGAGCATGTCCAGTTCCTCAAGTGTCATTTCCGGATTTTTAAAGTGACAATATACCTAGAAAAAAACAAATATTATTGCCTTCTGCAATCTATGATTGATACCAACATTCCATGCTGTATATAATCTTACCTGGAAACATTTTAGTTTCTCTCGACCGTAGCCATAAATTGTCAAAGCAGTTCCCTCGAAACCATATCTAATGTAGCTGAGATACGTGATCCATCGTAGATAGATCGGAATCGCGTCGAAACTGACAAAGAAGCCCGAGAAAAGAAGGAATGGCACCGACATTACTGGCGCCAGAAACACGCCATTCTGCACATTCATCGCAGCGCCGACCACAAAGCCCACCGATTGCGCGACAAAAGAAATTAGCAGACAAGTACTCAAGAACATCAAAAATCGCGTCATATCTGCCGGTTGACTCGTCGAGAAATAAACGATAGTGACATACATTACACAAAATATAATCTGAAAAAAAAAAAAAAATGAAAATAATCATTTATTCGCTATAGACGGATGTTGTTACTTAATAAAGCTTAACGATTTTACCTGAAATGGTATATCAGAAAGAGTAATTGCAAGATAATATGATTTGAGAGAGTACCATCTATTGAAGTTCTCTTTTAAAAGTACAGGCAGTTCCAGTGGGACTAAAAATAAAAATCGATAGGTTAAATTTTTTAGAAATTATGTGAATATTGTTTCTTTTTATCGCGAAATAGACAAGCATAAATTTGAAAACTTACAGGATAGAATGGTGATTGTCATGGAAGTATACATAAGAAATAACATATTGAAAAACAGAAATCCGAGATTGCTAAGTACTTTAGCGCCATCATTTCCAATATCGTAATATAGCGCGGTGATTAATAACGCTACCAAAAGGTGAGCAAAAAGTCGGAGATACATAAGAGTCTATAAATATAAAAGAATTAGAAGTTAGAAGTTATTTTTAAAAATTGAAAAATATATCATTTAGAAAAAATATATTTAATCGCGCAATATTATATTTTAGAATCGCAAGTATTATAGGATTTATGATTGCAAATAGTAATAAGCAAAGAGTCTGAATCTTTTCAATTATTTACCCAATCTCTACGACTGAAGAGTAAAGCACGCTTTAGAATAATGTAGAATTGTAACCATTCGGACGTAGGATATCTTTCCGGAGTTATTGCAATGGATTCATCGAGCAAAGCCATACTAGCATTGTCTTTCTTATCCGAGTCCACAGGAATTGCCACTTCCATCGCTAAAATATTTCATATATTACTATATTATATTACATTTTACATATATTACTTTATATTACTTCTTATTACGACACATTAATTTACACCATAATTATAATATCCTGCCACGATAAATTAAAAAATATAATAAATTAATATAAAAATATAATAGATAGAATTTTAATATATCTATTATATTTTAATTTTAATATAATTTATTCTATCTATTATATTTTAATATAAAATAAAATATAATAGATAGAATTTTAATTAGTTGAAACTCAAATAAAGAAAAACATGATATACAGATTCTTTATAACTGTGCTATATCTAATTGAAATAAATTATATCAATGAAAAGTCATCTTCACATAATTGAATTACAAATCATCGCCACATTATGCGGTTTGTTATAGGGACGTAAAAAAGCGTTCTATACCTTGCTTAGCAATGTCATTCATCGCATAGCCCGATATAAGTTTCTCATTACTAATTTCGTTTAATTTCTGCTCCGCAAACTTCTCCTCTAAATTGTTAACGTCGTTCTTGTCTTTGATTTTAATTTTTTCTATATTATCGCCATTCTTCAGAATTCCCGTTGAGGCAGCACAATTGTTCATTTCTTCCTTCGTCTCAGGAAACGGATATCCCTCGCGTATATCATATTTGCCATTGTTTATCGCATTTACTAAGTTCTTGATATTGTCGCCGTATTCACCGCATGATACCTCAATAACTGCAAGATAAATCATAGCACAAATTATGCTATAATTGTAACATAGAAATCACAAAAAATAACGAATTTATAATAAATAAAAAATTTCACGTTTAATTACTTATATGTGATTAATGTTATTTTCTTTAATTTTACTTTTCAAGATGTGATAATTATCATAAAATAGTAGAAGTAGAATCAACTTTTTATTTAATAAAACTTACTAAACGACGCTGGATTATGATAGCTCGGACAATTGAGGCCAATTGTTCTGAGAAAAGGCACCAGTTGTGATGTGGAGCCTTGATAGACGCATTGTCCTTCGGCTAATGTGTAGAGAGCATCGAACATCTCGAAAAGTCTTGCGCTGGGCTGATGAATAGTACAGATTATCGTTCTACCGCCTCGTGCTAACGTCTTCAACAACGAAATGCACTGGAAACAAGATGAGGAGTCCAAGCCACTGTAAACAACCGGATAAAACAATATCAGTATCTCTAAATTATGCTATCTTTTCGCATCTCTCTTTTTTTATTTGCCTATGCATATTTATGTAATAGTAGCATAAAGAAAGTTGTAGAATAAAAGGACTTGACAATCTGGCGTACTTTTGCAATTTTTTTGCATCGAAGACCTTGATTAAAAATATCAAACAGGAAATATCTGTTAACTGCATAAAATATACATTAAGTGATATGTATTTATAGAGATACGTATTTTCCTTGATTCTTTAACATCCGCAATGATTAACAGAAATAAATGGCGATTGTATTTGAGTGATTCTTTTATGGAGCCAAGTTCTTAGTCCAATATAGACCTTGAAAAGACCAGACATGTCACTTATAACCTTGAAAAGACCAGACATGTCGTATCTTATCTTCTAATTTAAAAAAATATTTGATCCTTATAATTTATAATATATTTAGTCCTTATAATTATAGATCAGAAAATTATTTTTAAACTTTAAATGATAGATGAATGTAAAATTTTTGCATTGCAAATAGATGAGATCATGTATGAAAATCAGTATGTTTGATAATGTAGAAAAAAAAGTTACAGCGTTATAATGTTTGAAAAAAGTCTGTTACACCGTTTCAGTGAAAGTTGCCAACAAAAAAAATACATTACAAAAAAACCAAGCATTTACTTTCTCCGGTTACTACATACTTTTTTGTATCTTAACTGAGATATTGATTTCGTATATATAGATATTTAACTAAGACATTTAAAATATACATATTTGATATTTGATTATGTTTCAGTGATAAAAAATAAAAGATGAATTAGTCTAGATTTATTAAATTTTCTAATAGACGTTGTATTTTTAAGACCAAAAGTTTATTATTTACTGTTATAGTAAGTTCTGTATAACTGATTTTGCACAACTTTAAATCTGGAACAAGCTAGATATTTGAAAGTTGCAAGAAGGAGAAACTCAATGCACGACGCATGACATTTATCGTAACTTGAAAAAATTCACATGTTTTCTCAATCTTGGTACATACAAAAAAGACAAATATATTCCGTTGACATTGGCCGTGTTAAGATCCGAAGATCAAGGAACTTATTTAAAGACGGAATAGTCTTTCTTTTCCATGATTTTTTAGAGAAAGTAAAAGAAATTATTGCTGAATTTCCTTCGAGTTATCTAATTAACTAAAAATTTTTTTAATTTGATTATCGAATATATTTTTATCATATATTTAGATATCATTAAATATATTTATAGGTTATATATATATATATATATATATATATATATCTTTTTTTTTATTTTTAGTAACAGCAAGTTAGCTTATTCATAAAATTAAAATTATTATAATAAAATGACATTATTTATTTATTTTTGATATATATATATCTACGCTAAAATGTTAGATGTTTTTTTATATGAATTAACTACCGAATTATTTATGTATAATGTAATCATAATTATTTCATATTCACCTAGTTGGTTCATCGAAAAACATTATAGGTGGGTTATTGACCAGTTCCAGAGCAATAGAAAGCCTTTTCTTCTGACCACCACTCAGATTCGAGGTCATGGTACGGCGGTGCTCAGATAAACCGAGAGTTTCAAGGATTTCCTGAATCTATAAGAAAAGAGTTTTAATAAATCGACAAAATTATATACAAATAAAATTTTAATCGAGATTGAGAAAGGAAGTATATAAAAAAAAAGATTGTATAAACTAATTTAGAAAGTCGTTAAATTTACATTCTATATGTTAAATTTTTGTTTCATATAATTAAATATAATGTTAAGAAAATCAATAATTGTAATTAAAAAAGATTTTTGATAAACTAATATGTAATAACACAAAAAAAGAGAAGAAAGAGAGACATAAATCGACAGAATAACAATGAATCCAAATATAACTATCGCTTGGTATATATTTAATTTATAATAGATTAATTGCATCTGGTAGTAATATGTTTAAAAGTATCAGATTGTCTATTTAGGACAGTTAATTCGATAAATAGGGTCAACTTACCACTTCTTCTTTCTCTGCTTTGTCGATGTGTGAGCTAAGCTTAAGACTCGCTGCAACTTTCATAGCTTCCGCTACCGTTAGATTCCCGTACAATTGATTATCCTGCATGATGTAGCAGGAGAGTTTCCTGAAGGCACTGAGATTTCTTTCGTGACCATTTATTGTAATGCTACCCTCTGTACCTGTCGTTCTACGATAAAAATTTGTCTTAATAAACAACTCGCAACATATAATATTATCTCGATACATTCGCTTATAGTAATATGTTTGCTTGTATTTTCGCACATTACATCATAAAAATAATTTGTGACAGGCAAAAATTATACATATTTATCACAATTTTTATGTAATTTAATATTTGAGGCTTTTTAAATATACACATGAATATTAAAAATAATTTCCGGATTTGCCGCGTAAATTTTTATATAATAATTTGGGATTCAAAATTAAAGAAAGAATGTATGCGGAAACTAATCCTAATATTTTATTCAATTTAATATTTTATTCAAAACAGAATGATCTATAAAAAAGATTATTGTTCAATCAGACTATATAGAAAAAGGCATGTCTTTTTTGTTATAATTATAAAAAATTTGTTAAAGAAATTTAGGTCAATGATAAGCAATCCATCAACATATTTTCGATAGTCATGTCTTGATTCAAGTTAGTCATTAATAATTCATCAATTTTTCTACTGCATAGAGAAAGAGTCAATGTCAGATCGCTAAACGTGTCATAAGCATCTTTCGTAAATGCGTGAGACTCGATAGTGCACAAACATTGCAACTGACTACGAAACCGGTTTGTAAAACGCGATGGAAAAGAAGCAAGTAAGTAGCAAAACAACTTTTACACGGTAAATACATCATGGGTTATGCGCGAGCGTATTTCTTGGTATTCAAAACTATAGACAAATATCGCATAGAAATCAAATAGCTGATCAACCTTGGGCCATAATTGATGAATTTAGAGAAATATTAAAATTGTCCATATTGTACTATTTATCATTTTTTTAGATAATTAAATAATATGCAGAATATTCATTTTAACAGACTGCAATATAAAAACTTAACTTATAAAGAAAAATTTGCGTGATGATGTGTTTTGATTACAGAACTTGTCTTTTTTTGCATAGTTGATTACGTCAAAGCAATCAAACAACATCATTATACTGGATAATTAATGATCAAGTATTTGTGTGTGTATCGGTTTATATAAAATACAACTATGTTCAAATTGTATGATTTGAATGCGGCAAAATATTAATTGCAATATTTATACACGCCCTTATACGTATAATTTAAACATAAAAGTATAGAGCAAAAAGAAATCGTTGATTTCTTGTTGACAATTGACTTTACAATTGCACAAAATGGAGCGGTGGCTAAAACGCCTTGACACCGCAACTGACTTCTTCGATTTATACGTAAATGAAAAGGTAATTTTAATGATGTAGAGAATACAAAGGAAACCTCTGATTGAGCAACATTTACCGAACTGAGTAACTTCAAAAAATAACTATCTGTCGAACAAGTTAATGATTCGTTGCTTTATCAAGTAAATGTATTATATATGCTAAGAATTATTACGGTTATACGATTATAATAAAAAAAGATACAATTTTTTACTTTAATTAAAAAGTGAAAACAAATTTTAAAAATTAGTAATTTGTTGTTGGAGAATTAAATTTATCTCCGTAGCGCGATCCATACATAACTCTTTCAGGATTTTCGAAGAAATCCCAGTAGAGTATTTCAAACAAGACGTTTCGTAGTAGAGCGACTGACCAAAAATACATTAAAGTAGAAAGTATACACGCAGTACTATGTAAGCTCATTCACAATAAATGACAATCTCAAGTCAATTTTAATGTCATATAATTAAATTACATGATAAAGAATAATATGTAACATACGCACACGCATATTCCGACATTGTATTGTATCACATAAAAACAATTTTTGTATTATCTCTTTAACTTTGTAATTATCGGCAAAATAATTTTATTTCGGAGCAGTTTCATAATAACACGAAAACACGAAAGAAAGTGAAACTCGTATTCCGTCGAAGAAAGTGAGTTCACGCAGTATGCGAAGAAAGCGAAATCATTTGGATAAAAATTGAAAGTATGGAGCGAGGTCATGCCGAGATTATACATGTACGTACGACGAAATCTTCCCGCAGCACGACCGGTTTATAGTAATGCATACATACAGATTCGCATAAATATCTAAGATATTCTAGTAACATGTCGCAAACTTTGAAGTCAAAGTGCCAATTTTCACAGAGAGAAAGAGAAAAAAAGTCGTATGCACGAATATTATTGCCATTTTTCTTCATGTGTGTCACATTTGTTTATTGATGTATGAACGACAGATACGAGATTTTCACGCAGAAAACATCTACTTGGCGTTTCGGTTAATAATCTGACGACGAAATCTTAAGAAAGCGCAAGTTACAACGAAATTCTTCGTAAATGCTATAATCAGAGAAATTGAATATTCTGATAAATTACGCAAAGAAATTGAATTCTTAAATATTTAATCTTTGAAGAATAAGCCTTTGACAGAATTGAAAATTTTTAAAATAAATAAATTTTTTACAGTATTATATTGTAATATGCTGCATCAAATAAGAATCGATATTTGATAAATAATATGATTACAATTAAATGCGATTTGAATAAACAATTAAATTGTAAATTTATGAAAATATATCCGGGAAATAAAAGTGATTTAAAACTCACTATTTCTGAGCGAATAATTCTAGTGCATGACTTTTTTTCAAGTACAATTTATAATAATGTGAAAAAATAATAAAAACGTTATAAGCACATAAAAATCCTTGCATGAGTCATGAAATCAATAGTAGCTTATTCATCGGTATAAAATTAATAAGTGGACTTTTAACTGTTAATTATTAGCAGTTTACTTATATTTCTATGTAGGAATATGTACGTTGGTTGCAAAACGTATATTGCAAGCTAATAATATAAATAAAGCACAACATTAATTAACTCGCATGAGTTTATATTTTATTTTAACTGCCATTGGATTAATTTTATTTAAATTGTATTTCTCATGCCACTGCATTATTCTTTATCGTTAATAATAAAATTATACATTAGCGCTAGTACAGATACGTTAATATATTTATTAATGATAATTGTATCGTAAAAGTTTAATAAAACTTGTTGACTCACTTGTATCCGGTGAGAATATTTAGGAGCGTTGACTTTCCCGCACCAGAAGGACCCATAATAGCCGTCAGCTCGTTGGATCGCAATCTGCCGCTGACAGATTTGAGAATCGTCTTCACATCTAAAAATCGAATAAAATTGTTAAATTTATGTGGAAAAGAATTGCTAATCTAATATAATTAAAACTAAATTGAATCTTATCTTCCAAATAGCATTTTTGATGGAATAAATAGTATTAAAAAAAGCATAATACTCATATAATTAGAATAATTAGAATAAAGCATATAATGAGAATATATATAATTTTTTAACAAGCATTTATCAAGGAATAATTTATTATAATTATTATAATTATTAGGCAAACATATTCTGTTTTTTTTTTATGCAACTGTATAAAAAAACATAATAAAAACAGAATATGTTTACCTAATAAATTATTATCGACTGATAAATGCAAATATTTTTTGGATTAAAATATTTACATATATTTCGTGAAAAACAAACTTATGACACGCCCATATTTTAAATAATTAAGCATGTTGATGATATTCTTGGTTATTTAACACATTTACTTTTCTTATATTATATTATATCATGTAACACTTACTAAAATATTAAATGCTTTTTTAGATAATTATTATTTATCACATTTGTTGATCATCATACCGAGATGACATAAACTGACTCTGTTTTTTGTGTGACATAGATCATTAGTATATAACGCTTGAGATATCAGACAAAGAGAGGAGGACAAAGTCCAGAATGAGCTCGCACGCTATATTATATTTGCGTATATAACCAGCATTGCTTGTGTGACTCATATATACCACAAGGTCGAAAGAGTGACTTTAATTGATGAGTTCATTGTTGCAAGAAAAACGTCAAGTCGTTTCAAACTTGATTATTAATTAATTCTTGCTATTAAATAAGCTATGTAATAATAAAAAAATTGAATTGCTTTTGATAATAATTAACCATAGTGTATCTTACAATTCGATTTTCTAATACGATTGTAAATTATTTAAATATTAGAAACGTAATTTATTACACATTACTTAATCAGAAAATATGAAAGCTTTTTCATTAAATAAATAATATTTAATATTTAGTTTATACAAAGTATAAATATATGTTGGATATACCTTAACAAATATCTAAAAATTTAAATTAAAATATATACGCGGAAAAAATATTTTAATTGAAATATTATTAATTTAAAGAAGTACATTGAAGAAAAATATCTCGCACATCATCAAATATAAAATATAAAATATATAAAATATTGGTATCCTATCAGAATTATATAAAAATGCTTTAACATGTTTGAAATAACATAATTAAATTTTGGTCCATAAAATTTCCCCTCGAAATTGATATATTTATTGTTAATATCTGTTATTTTATTTATCATCAAAGTTAAAGTTTATTTTTTGAAAACTAAAATCAAAATAAACTGTTTTTCAAAAAACAGTAAACAATAATAATAATTCTATTTGTATGAATATTATAAAAGGCAACATAATTTGTAAAATAAAACAAAGTTTTATCAATATTCAACTGATGCAATACATATTAGCCACGATAAATATACAAAAATTGGACTATTCTAGGTCGCATGAGAGCATAAAAAACGTGATCTTTCAGATCTTGTAAAAGATCTTGATTTTATTGATCTTCTTGTGTCAAAATTATAGATAGATAGATGGCTGAATACTGCTTTTACATGCTTACTGATAACAATCTCAATCTATTAACCAGAAACATTTAATCTGTATAAAAAAAATTAAATTATTATTTGCCCTAAGAAGAAACTATGAACATATCGATATATCGTTAACCACAAAACTTTTGAATATCATTTCCCACGTCACAAACTATATAATCAATGAAACAATGAATTCTATATACTAGAGTAGAGAATAAATTACTCTTTGACTTTAAAACCTCATTACATTCATCATAAATTCAAATAATAAACTCGAAAAGTTTATGCAAAAAGTTAATATTAAGAATACTAGTTTTATTGTCATATAATAGATAAAAGACCGCAATTTGATTTTGAAATAAAAATTGAATTTTTTTAATTATTATAATATATTGCGCTCCAAAAATTAACGTTATAAATTTTCAATTATAATAAATAAAGATCATTAAAAGAACATTTTAATCTTCAAAAGCTCCAAATATTGCAAGATCTTTTTTATTTACTATTTGTTTATATTTACAAGATAACGGGATGCCATTTATCTTCATCTATCTGCAAATATTCATATTTAAGAAAGCAATAATTGCTTAAAGAAACGCATTTCATATATATATATATATATATATATATATTATATAATATATATATATATATATATATGTGTGTGTGTGTGTGTGTGTGTGTGTGTGTGTGTGTGTGGTGTGTGTGTGTGTGTATATGTGTTAATATCATGTTTTGTTATACATATGTATATAAAGTAGTAAAATCTAACATTCCTTGACGAAGATAAATATCTCTATTTTCTAAGAGTACTCTCACCTATAATTATTCGATTGCTTGCTATGTACGCATATTTGATCCGAACATGAACATACATAAAACCTTAATGACATATTAAAACACTTTTTTGTTTCAATTCAAGGTGAACTAGATTCCAATCAACTTTATATAAACATATTGAAACTGTAGAAGAATTCTGTAGAAGATTATAAAAATCAGTTAATAAAAATATATATGTAAATTATATGTATAATATATATATGTAAATTCTTAAATATTAAACATATTTTTCATCAATTTACGTCAATTATAATAAATAATTAAATTTTTGAGATTGCTGACGTATCTTTATTTTACAAGAATTCTTATACTCGTTTATTATGTTTATCATATCTTTTTATTATCGTATAAACATTTAAAATCAGTTTTTATATTTGTCAGATATAAACATTATTACTATTTCAAGTAATTGTGATAACAATTTTTTCATTTAGCTTTTAATCAATAGAAATGCGATTTTTAAAAAATTCTGTATATTCATACGTAAAATTAATGTAAGTTTATTGCTTTTCGTAAGATAATTTCCAGATACGATAATTTATCACTTAATAAAAAATGTTTATTATATTCATTGCTTAAACGCACAATATTATGTATATCATTACAATCATATATACACCTTGACCTTACACACACACAAACACATACATGCGCGCGCGCGCACACACACACACAAAATTGCTGCACAATTCTGTCATAATTTTATTCTTCAAAATTTTAGAATGATTGTATTGCTTCCTTAACTTAAAAAGTGCAAGTAAATATCTTCCTCCTACATCTATGTCAAAACTCACGTGACACTAATTGCATCATTGTCTGCCATTAATTGGCCACATACGTAGAATGTAATATTGCAAATCATAGAGAAACAATCCTTTAACTCGGATCTATGCAGAGAGAGAGAGAGAGAGAGAGAGAGAGAGTAAGAGTGAGAGAGAGGGTTGAGATCTAGAAAGAGAGATGAATCAAGTTTGTTAATTTCGAGTGTAGAAAAGGCAGCACGCTAAATTACGCAACCTATATTGCGATATTGCAAAAATCTTGCTACGACATACACTTCGTGACTTTACAATATTTAAATTACTCCGGTTGCTCGCACTGTATATGCGAAATATATATAGTGTATGTATGTGTGTGTAAATGCGGGTGTATCTTTATGAGCATGTATCTGTGGGTATAAATAAAATAGCAAAAGCCAAAGAGAGAGAAAGATAGACTCAGAGATCTCAAAATCTTATATCCATCTATTTGTCTTCATGAGACTACACTCTAGACTTTCTTCATTTAATTTTGCAATCTTATGAATAGCGCAATAATATTTCACGTCATATCGAAATTCTGCATCGTAATCTTGCAAAAGTATATCGTAATACTTGCCACAGGCAAGAATCGTATTTCATTTATCTCGTGGGCAATTACAATGATTTCAATGTAAAATTTACAATTATCAAGAGAAATCTCCAATATGAAATTGTTTCTGTACAATCTTTTCAAACAATTATATTTATTTTAAAAAATACAATTTTTTAAAGATATTTTCTTGAAATGTTATTTCTATTTCTATTTGGGATAGAACATTTTGTAAGATAATAAATAATGCAATTTCTTTAAGTTACGATCGGAGAATAAAAAATGCAAAGCAACGTTGAAATTATCAGTTTAAAATTATCAAAACGCGCAAATTTAAACGCGCACTTTTAACTCTTTGCTATTTTTACACATTGTTGTAAATATTTTAACGACTGAAGATAATTATTGCGAGCAAGGATACTCGATAAGAAAGTCGTCTTCCTGTTTCTCCTATTCATATTTTATTGTATGGATATCACGCAATAAAACGTAGTTAGTGAAACAATGTGACGTAAAATTTTATTGGGTGGAAAAATGATACTTCGATGATAGTACGGATAATAATATAGATAGATAATAAGAAACAGAAATAGAATATAAAAATGGGGAATAATAAAATATACAATAATTGATATATTTCATTATTGCATACATTACAATGTATCGCTTAGACAAGCGAAGAGGATATAGGTCATATTAGTATTCTCAATGGATAATATATTTCATTCTTTAAGTCGATGAGAAAAACATGTTTGATGGCTTGTGTAATGGCTTGTATTCCTTTCGTATTGTACATAACACATAAACCAATGAATGTAAACCGAAATGTAACTTGTGTTTTTCATGTGTCGTGAAATCTATCTAAACTGGTATAAATCTATCAGTGATACATCATTGTTTTCCTTAAAAAAATCCGTAAAGCTTAAGAATACTGTATGCAGGAAGTTTATCCAATCGAACATATATTTCTTTTACCAAAGATATACAAATTATATATCTTGAGCGCATATTTGTAGATAAGTAAAACTAATCTACTAGAAATATTATTTCGATGGTCAATGATTTTCGGAATAAGACATTTAAAAATATTAAGAATATTAAAGCATGTGCAAATCCATGAATTTATATCTACTGTGTGTTTTACAATAAGAATCATTTTAGTACATTAAAGTATCATTTTTAGTCGAACTGATAATAATTATCGTTTATGATTTGCATCTATAGCTACAGCAAAGTCTTCTGATAATATATCATGCATTATACATTGTACATTTTCTTTGATTTATTGTTATTTGTGAAAATACCTAAGTAATTAATCATGATCTGATATATGTATAGTATCTATATTACATTTGCATAATTGAAAAAAATAAAAAAAAACAAAATAAAAAATTCTTGTCATTTTGTAATTAATCTACGCTTGGCAGTAAGATAAGTTTATTGCGGAAGCCCATGTAAGGTAGCATTACTAGAATAACGTAATAATCTTGGATTACGTGGCCAGCTGTGTCTTGACTATTAAACGCTTCATCAAGGCCATCAGAAATTAATTCCTATTTTTTCAACTAAGATATTACACGACAGCAAAATGCATTATGTAAATATTTTAATATTGACATTTATAATATTGCATGATTAAAACGTGGTTTATCATTATCTTATTACATTTATCTTATTACATTTATGATTTATTATATATAGTTCAAATATAGTTTCTCTTTCCAGACCGTAAAATTGTCAATTCGATTCTCTTGATCGACGTGAAATTATCCATCAAAGTGATAATTAATTCCCACAGTATCTGAAGTAAAACGTGACGATTCGCGAGTGTCAATGCCAATGAATTTTATCGTATTATAGTTATTGGAACGATTCACTTGAAGCTTGGAAGATACGATAAGAAGGAACAAAAACTCTTCGATAATATTTAAATCGCTCGAGATATTATTGTATATTTTTCTCTTTATTGCATGTCAAATGCAATTTTCATAATGCTGACAAAGAAACATATAATTCATTGTAATTTTTCTGGAGAAAAAAACTGTTCTTTTTAAATGTATTTTAAATAATTTTAGCGAGGTACATTGTATATATTAGGCATCCATGCAGCCATTAAATAAAATTTATGTTTTTTGAGAGCTTAAAGATGATATTAATATAATTAACATATATTATATAAATTAATATAATTAATATATATTTATATAAATTAATATAATTAACATATCTTGTCTGAAATATACTCCTAGAAAAAATTAACGCATAATTTTTTTCATTTTTTCTTTAAAATTTTTTGTTAAAATTTAAATATCAGCTTTTAAAGAAAAAGTTACAAAAATTATGCGTTAATTTTGTCCAGGAGTATATTAGTCATAATCGATCATTAGTATATTGTCATCGATCTTCTTACAAAATTATAGTTATTGATATTATTTATTGTGATGCGCAATTAAACCGGATTTTAATTTAAATTTTTTAAGAAAAACATCAGAATATATACATGTATATATATTCTATATACTATATACTATATGTCATTCAAATTCTCTTGCAAATTAAAACATCAAGTTTGAATTATTGACTCGTACAAGAAACAAAGAAATAAAGATACTCGCTGTGATAATATTATACAATGATTTAATTTTGTAATGAAATTTTAATAACTCCAACAAATATATGCAATTTAATTCTATAATAATTGTGCAATTTAATTCTACTATAATTTTCTTATATGATTGCAACTTAAGAATATCACCTGCGAAAAATTGGTGTTGCGAAAGTATTTTTATGCGAACTATAAAAAGAAAGAAAAGCAATAGATGAACATGTCACATGTCTATAAATAATCGAAATCTACTGCATAGTTTATGGCGTGTATATCTCCATTATAAGGCAAAATGTCATATATCATAAATATATGACCGCGATACAAAGACAGTTATAGAAAATCGATTACACAATGTGCGTGCATAGTTGATAGAAATATATACTTCTAGTATTATTATTAAATTATCGATTTGATGTATAGACAGAAAGAGAGAGCAATGCGTTGACATCAAGTACAACAGGTGATATTATTAATTTACACCTGAATTATTCACGAAAATATATACGGACAAAGGATTTTTTGAATAAGCTCATGTTTTAAAAAAACACAGATTAATCGGTATTCACTCCCTGTGTCATGCGTTCCAATGACGCTTAAGCGTGATGTTATCACGCGTATCATCTATTCTGATAAGAATGTTCAGAAATGCAATCATGGGGCGTTCATTGCATTTTTAAATGCCATTGCACCGCATTACGAAGCTGCGGAAATGCATTTCTTTCACGCGTGCGTGCACTTTCACTCGGTGGTCAATGTCATTGGAAACCAGTTTACAATCATTTATCACACGCAACAACGACCGATACACGTTCAAAGCAGTTAACGACTGGTTTTCACATGCGAAGGCTAAAAAAAATAAGGAAAAAGCCTCTACAAGATTCATGTGCGTGCGGCAATACTTAGATACGTACTTAACAACTCTAACAATGCTTAATAAATTGTAAATGTATCTATTACTAGTATAAACGTATGAATGTATCGGAATATATTTTACATAAAAAATATAAAAATATCAAAAATATAATAATGTAAAAAATATAATAATTAATCGATACTTGAGAGACGATTCATCGTGAAAATAATATTTATTCGTTAAATATGCTAAATAATATATCATTGCTGCACCTTACCATAAGAAGCAATAACTAATGCACTGTTTTGTTATGAAAAAATTTTAATCTATTTATATTTTACTTTTCGATATCTTAAAATAGAAAAAATATATACATATATAGTTAATTTTAAAACTGTAATGTAAAAATAAATCTTAAGGGAAAATCGCAAGGGAAAAAAGAATGAAATCGAGAAAGAATAAACAGATTGATAATTGCCACTTCATGATAGAATATATAACAATAATATTAAGTATTATTCTTACTACATAAGCATCATTAATAATCATAAAAAAATATAATTTAACTCGTAAGAGATTTATTGCAGTATTATAACAGTAAATTATGTTTTAATATTTGACAGTTTGCGATTAAAAGTTCTTTTTGCATTTGATAGAAACTAATAAAATTGTACTCAATTTGATAAATAATTTTAACATAATAAAAAATTTTTTAATCTCGCATTTTATAGAAATAAGTGGAAGAACACATCGCAAGATAAAGAAAGTATAGAATATTAGATTTATATAGAATATAGAATATAGAATATAGATATAATAAAGAAAATTATAAAGAAAATTATTTTAAATTTGATATTAAATATATTTATCAAAATTTTCTGTTTTTCAAAATAATAGAAATATATGTGTAATTCATACCTTTCAGTTCTATTCCTCGATTTGTGCATAATCTATATGCAATTTTGTGTGTGTGTGTGTGTGTGTGTGTGTATATGTATAATATATCGTCGAAATATTATAATATAATAAGTATATTAAGAGTAAATTAATAATACGGAAGTAGATAAAATGATAATGAATTTTCAGGAAAAAAATATATACATTTTCAAGTACATATATTTAAAAAACGCATGTGTATGAAAATATATTTCCGCGTGTTTTTAATATTTAGCAGGAAATTATCATACTCCATATAAGTCACATATATCACATATATATTTATCAAGTCATTATAAAAACAAGTATGAGAACTCAAGTGAATATAAAATCTTCTTGAAATGACTTGACTATATTGAATTCGAATAATATTCGCTTGTGGAATGCAATTCAAGGGTAACATGTTGGCATACTATGTGATTTCAGGATGTAATTTCTGTGATTATTATGATTAATACTTTTCCTTATATGATTAATACTTTTTTTACTACATCAGAAACTCTACCTGAATGTATAATAGATAATGCTTAATTATTTAGATTTTAAATGTTAAGTTGGCTCTAGTTTTTAACCTCTTTTTTTCATTTCTTGCAATTATTGTATATTTTTTATTAAAATTTTATGATTTTGCCTAATCATAAAACCTATCTAATTACCGCAAACCTGAAATATGTTAGCCACATGTATGTCAAGAATAATGAAAATTTCAAAGTAACATTTACAAAGTAAAGTTTAAATTCTAAAGTTCACTGAGATTTTATCAAAATTGATATGATAACACCAAATAAGCTTCTTGCTGTATAATAGATTGTGAAACATGAAAATACGAAGTTATTTTAGAATATATATATATATATATATATATATATATATATATATATATATATTCTAAACAATTACAATGTTAGAGATGTCTGAGGGAAAAGATATGATACTAATTTATTTTCTCGATACTAACTTTTATGACATTTTAAACATTATTCTTAAGAAGTACTCTTGTTAATTAAAATCAAAAGTGAGTAACAAATACATATTTTAATTTAAAAAACAGATTGAAATGTTGCATGGTTCTCATTAATTCTCTACGAATTAAAATATCGATATTAGAAAATGTGTACTCACTATTTTTGTGGCCTTCTCGAACTTTATATATGAGATCAGTAAACGCCAAATCGACTGGTGGTCTCTTCGGCAGGTGCGTAATAGTTTTCGGCTGCGCTGGCACTATCTGCAACCGCACCGAGTTTTTCCTGGATTGGAACAAAACTCGATTGTTGTCATCATCCGTTGAACAATTTCCCTCAAGCGTCATCTTTTTTAATGAGATTATTTTCACGTTTCTTTCTCGAATACCAATCCGAGTTTGTCTCGATTTTACAACTGTTTTGTTTCGAAATCAATGTTATGGTGCACAAAAGTAAAAAATGAATGCTTCCTCACTGATTTATCACCGCCTGCAATATCATTCATATAATGCAATGCACTTCGCTTTTTACGCAATATTTTCAAATATATTACAAGGGAAGAAATTATTTCTAAATGTATTACTCCTAAATATATTTTCGGAGCAGGTTTGATTTAAAAGCGAACTTGTATGTGTATATGCTCATGTACATATAAATATTTATTTTTTCAATATTTGTGAAAGAATTGATTATGTAGACAAGTTTGTTTTCAAATTTCAGTAGTGAATATTTTCAAAGCGTTAATTTTTAAAAAATTTTGTTTTATGACTATCTTGCATATTATTCATGGGAAAAATATTTAGTATGAAGAAAATAACGTAAGAATAACAAGAAAAGGATATAGAGTAATTATTACATTTTTACAGCACGTATGAATGCCATTTCGTCATCTGTCAGATATGAGAATGCTTACAATATCAGCACTAAAAAAAAACTCTTTCATCACAATATAAATCGTACAACGTGTAAAATAATCAATCGCGATAATTATGATGATAATTACGATTTATATGGCACATTAATCTTTAAGACAATAGAGATTTATTAATGTGACCGCGCGCGCGCGCAATGAACGTTTATATTATTAGAATATTACATAAAAACATTAAAAACGTAATTTCATATGCATTAGTATATAATATTGAACACAGAAAAATCATACATTATAAGAATTTAATATAATGCAAAATTAGCATATGTAGAGAAAGCAAACATATAAATTGTAAATGTACACCGACTTGCAAATTAGTGTTTTAGAAAACAGTGCAAACAGTTTCCAATCGACTGCTAATGGTTTTATTTTCGTAAATGCAACTCGTATTAATTTTTTTTCGCGCTTATAATTTATTCTCATTCATAAAAACATATCAGTTAAAAAATTTTAGAGTAAATATTTTTTCATTAGAATCAAATTATTTATTCAAATTATTTATTTATGTCACGCAATAAAAAGCTTTAATAAGTAAAATATAATGCAGTAACAAATATTGGTAAGAACATTGTTTTTAATCTTTTGTTACACAAGGACGTAAAAAATCCCAATTTTTTTAAATATTATATCAAAAACTTTGAAAAATTATTTTACGATACATCTTTCAGAAATCATTAGATAATTAAATAAAGCTAGAACCGTAAACGCAGAAGGTAGTGCGCGATAATTATACAAGTAAAATATATTACAAGAAAAAACTCATATAAATCATGAGACTTTTATGTACAACATAGACTCAAAACGTAATTGAGAATCTGTCGATGTTTCAACGTTCTTCCAAGTCAATGTCTCCTCAATGTCAAAAACGAAAAGTAAATATTAGATATAAATATTATTTGAAAGTCAATGCCATGAATTGATAGAATTGAAAAGAACAAGTAGAGCCGCAAAACTTGTATCGCAAATGTATAAATTAATGTTAACAATCACGCACTATCTTCTGCGTTTATGGTTTTTAGCCTTATTTAATTAAATAATGATTTAAATCTTATGAACTTCTCGTCACACAAATCTTTCAGAAATGTTTTCTTGTACCAACGAGAAGGAACAAGATATAATTTTCATACGAGTTGGCTCTTACATCGTTTGGTATATTCGTAACTTTAAACGATATTTTCTTGTATACTGTTGGAGAAACTCCCGGACACCGAAACTAGCCTTGAGATGCAACAGAAACGCATGTCAACCTCTGCTCCGAAGTGCGCGATGAGGTGGCCGATGATGACAGCACCACGTTCGATCTGTACGACTGCACGTGTCGCGGCGCACTCCCGAGCAGCGTGCAACGCGTTGCGATTTTTAAATGCACCGGATTATACTTCGATAACAAAGCCTGCGATAGCAAGCAACAAGCAGTGGGGGAGACAAAGAAGCCGTTTAACACCTCCCTCTTTCGTTACGCTACACTCGCTATGACGGTCCGAGACCAACTGTGAGTTAAAAACCGCGGTAGCGTCGTGGCTGCCGCCATTGACGCCGACGCCGCGTCCCTTTTTGTCTCGCTCTCTCTTCTCGTATTCCGCGGTCTTCTCTTTTTCTACTATGCGAAGAAAGAAGACATTCATGATGCATGAGAACAACATTATCGATAGATCAAAGTCCTTCATTGACAAGAAGACAGATAATTATCATTGATAATGTCAGTGATATTTGTCAAAGAGATTTAGTCATTTTTTTAATTCGTTCTGACTCTTTTATACTTCGTAGTTTGTTCTCTTTGAAGAAATTAAAGAACATTATACATGTAGATGTGATTTTTATCGATGACATATCCCGATTTCACTACTATCAGCCGAATGTTTGGAATATTTAAAGTTTGCGAGCGACACATAGTATATAATAGTTCATGTGAAACACATGTATCGAAGAGGAAAATATTATCCGACGATAGTAATGACTTGTGAAAGTGTGCAGTAATAATATAAAAAAATAAAACGAGAGTACAAGGATGACACAAATTTTAAAAAAATTTTAAATATACACTGCCATTAAAATTTTGAGTTATTATCAGAATGTTAATAAGATAAATTATCACAGATAACAACATCACGTAGTTATAATAAATGAGAATAAGAAGTATAGAAATGCCATTCTAATTTGAAATGCAATTCTAATTTTCTAACTTCGATGAGATCATATCTCGAAAGATTATTTTTATTACATATCCGAAATCAACCTACAAATAAAACTATTAAAGTAAAATTGTTGCGTATTTACAAATCGCAATCAATGATAAAAAATATAAGCAATTGTATTATTTTTGAGAACTTTCTATAGCATATATATATAACGTAAATTAATTTACGTCATACACTCATTCATAATGTAGGAGAGATGTGACCTAGCACCATTAAAGGATTGTCTTTAATACATTGACGTAAATGGATAATGATTTAATAAGAATCTGAAGCTGACGCCGGACTAACAATTGCAATTATTATTGGTATATTTAATGATTAAAAAATATAATAATTAAATCATTTTATATTTGAAATTATGCAAAGATTATGCATTATAAATGTTTCGATCAACAATTACATTAATTTTAAGATTATATACATTTATAATAATTTTTTATAATAATTTATATGAAATCATATCATATAATATTGTTCTAGTAACTTTTACTTCTTTCACACCTCTTAATTGTTATTATTGTCGAAATTTTTAGTACTATTTAGCGCATAATAATTTAATTGTAACGCGAAAAAAAAATTCTTTCTCTCTCTATAATTACTGATCATATATGTATATATCTATATAAAATTTAAGAAAATATTATCCTTTAATGTATTAATTGAAAGCTGAATATATATTCCGTACGAATGATCACCGGAAGACTGGCAGTTAAGCATTGATAATAAATCGCTCAATAATGAAATTATATGTATTTTACGCGCGTCATAGGTACGTCTATGTATTCATTAAATGCAATTAATATTTTTTGCGCGTTTGTTCAAACACAATACATTGTATTATGGTTCGCATTACAAGATTGAAATTTCGACATATTTATAATCATATCCTGTTGTTGCAGACATATAGAATGCAACAATAGTAATATAGTTTTCCTATTATTAAAATTTTTAATTTTCTTTACATCATCTTATTTGCTTTTCTCGTATTTCCCTAGATATTAAAAAAATTAAAATGTTAATACATTTTATCATTATAGATTGGAAGTGACTAAACAAATAGTTTATTAATATACTATTCGCCAACAATAGTTTGTTAATATACTATTCGCATCACGCTAAAAAAGAAAATAAATAAAAAAAATAACTGTCGCAATAAAATTAAGATAAAGTTAACATGAATCTAAGATTTTTACTATTCTAATTGAAAATCGATCTAATCGAAAACATAAAATAAAGCATAATAATTAATTTATAAATAATATAAAAGTAATATTATGTTTGACTTCTTTGAATATCATGATTATTATTTATATGTTTGATTTTAATCATAAAAGATTGATTAGAATAGGACGCCAAAAAATTTGACAGAAGATAAAATGTGCATTTATGTATCATTTCACAGATTATATTTTCGAACATTGTCTAGCTATTTAATAAAATATTTTAAATTCTGCATACTACATGTTGCATGCGTCCTCTCCTTTCGTCAGTGTTCGTTAATATACATTATCATCTTTATATACACTTAATGCAATATAAAGTAGTTTGGCATAAAATGCGTCACAGCGTGCGTCATATTTCATTCTTGTAAAAGCATTTAAAATATTTCTACAGATCAAAATAAATGTCATAAAAGTGCCGACGAAATAATATAATGTTTAATGTACGTAATTAACTTATATCTTATTAATTACTCTCGTTTACGTAACTGACAATAACTAAACACAATAAGAATTGTGAAATAATTCTCTTTCTGACAATAACTAAACACAATAAGAATTGTGAAATAATTCTCTTTCTCGCGCAAGTGTTATTGCAGTCATACGAAATACAATCAAGTTTTAATTTTATTTCATGAAAGTGATTAATAAGTTATTTATTAAGATGAAGAAACAGAAAATAAATTTAAAAGAAAAAAAATAAAAATATATAGAGAGAAATAAGAAAATAAATTTCTTTTGTTCTGCTATTCTCCGATAAATTTAATATGTTATATTCTAGACACGTTATTGCGAACGTGACACAATTGTCAATAGTTATTTTTTCCTGTTGGAAATTAAATGATAAAATCATACGCAGAAAAGCATAAAAGATTATAATATTCACGAAAAAAATGGAACAATTACAAGATTAAAACATAGATAAATTATGATTTTCTCCATATTTCATAAAAAGCAGTAGTGTAGAACTGCAGATTGCACAACAATTTCAAAAAGAGAAAACAAGCAATTTCATGATATAAATGCTGACAAAACGATATCTTACAGTATCTATGTAATTAATTTTCACCATAATTATATATGATTAAATATGCTAATGCATCTCGTTAGAAATTTATTTAAATTTATTAAAAATTCAGAGATATCTTTTTGACAACATTTATTTAAGAGAATATAATCTTATAATTAATATTGAAATAAAATATTTTTCTATTATATTAACAAAAAAATGTAATTAAAACTAACCATATTACATCTTTACATTTTATTACAAGATGCAATTTGTGTACGTATGTGTGTTTATTATCAACTATATATCAATTTATTATTTATATTTACATAATTTAAGTCTTAATTTATTACAAAAACAAGTAATATACAAAACAATTCCAAGTAAAAGAATAATAAATAAAAAATATGTTACAATAGTATAAAAACTATTACACAAAATATTTGTTAAAGAATGAGAAACAAAAATTTTTAAAAATTATAAATTTTAAATGAATTATTTATTAACTGATTCATTAATACATAAAAAAATATGTAAAAAAATACGTTATATACGTTATAAAAACGTTATAATTATAAAAACGTTATAATTATTTAGTTATATTTATCTCTCTATTTTATCACATATAACGAGATGTTTGTTAAAATATATTGATTGTTGATTAAATCCTGTAATAATGTGTAGACGAAATGACCAAATATTAGAAATCTTAGCAAAAAAATAACTGGCATGAGATAAAATTTTGCAGAGCCATTATTTAGTATCGATAGAATCATTCAGTGAGTAATCTATGATGTACAATTGCCGAAGTAAACGTCGCTTACACAATAAGAAGCACAAAGTCCGCTTAAATAAATCTTTAATAAGCACGATAACAACGTGACGCAGAAACATATGTAGAAATTTTACTAGCGACCTACTTGATCGTAAATCGTCAGGCAGTTTGTCCCCATTTGATCATAACATTAATTAATTAAAAATGTCATTATTAAAAAAATTAATTAAAAGTTATGATAGCATTATTCGCAATATAGTCCAGACGCGCGTAGATTTTAAATATGTACTTAATAATAAGTCGACATAAACATTTGCAATATAAAAAAATGAAATAAAAGAGCGTTTGAAACATTTAATATATAATATTAGTTTACTCACAGAGCTGTTTTAAGTAACTTACCGAAACTGGAGATTATAATTAATCAATGAACAAAAAATATATCGGATGATTTAGAAAAAAATATGAAAATAACTAGTAATTTGAAACAAAGTATCTTAAGATTATTATATGTTGACGGACTCACTCTTTCCCACTCCCTAGGTCATCGCAATTATGCAGACGTCGTAAATTGCTTATTATGCAGCACACATACACACACAGATGAGTGTCATAAAAATTGGTCTTCACTATTTGCTAGCAAAGCTGTGATCGTTGAAATTTCAGTAAGGAAATTCCTTATTTTTAATCTCACCACGAACCGGTTTGTACAATATAAAAAAAGAATAGTGGTTTCTATTTTTTTCTTACAAAAAAAAGTAATTTTCAAGTCGGATAACACTGTCAAAAACAACTTTTTTTTATAAAACGGTAGAAGAATTAAGATAAAATGATGTACAATAATAATACTGTTATAAAAAAAAGAAAAAACATTATTTTTGAGAAAATAAAACAAATTATATAAATAATTATAGCTTTATCATAGTGTAATATACATATATTTTATATAAACCATACTAATTCTGTGGTTGATACGATAAAATAGTCGTTACATTTTAAATCTGAAAGAACTAATATATATTTTTTTATAATCCTAAATGCAGCAAGAAAAGAACTATCTTAAAAATTAAGAAAAACTGTAGCAATACTGTATTTATATTATAATACATAAGCGTAATATTTAATCATTTGTTCAATATCTATTTATTTTCTTGTTTATAAACTTCTTCGAATAATAAATCGTTTTTCCTCACAATGATCATATAGAAATCTTGATATCTCTGGATACACATTCAAAGATCAGTATGTTATGTATGAGATAATACGGAACGAAATACATATCAAGCACCGAGTAGGTGCAAAGTCTTCCATTATTGATATTCCATCATTTTATCTTTTTACTTGTGATAATTACAGTATTAGATTTAATACAAATGTATTAAACGATAATATAAATTATTCTTATTAATTTCTTTCGTAAAGTAATAGTTTTATGAAGATTTTTAATGCGTTTCTCAAGAAAAACACTTAAGTGCAAAGTTTAGCATAAAAAAATTAATTCAAGCAAAATCATTCCGATTGAATTCGTCTCTTACTCACTAAAATATTACGAGTATATCGTAAAAACTGAATCTATTTTTCATCTTCGATAAAATCTTTGCAAAATGTTTGCAAAATGATGAATTGCATTTTATTACATTCTAGTCGAACAACTTTTTGCGGGATATAATTATCGAAATTATTGATATAATAAAAAATGATTTAAATGCTCATTAAATCATGATTATTATCTGATAGAACATACGATATATTTCCGGGAAGTCGAAGGTCTAATGTTTAAGGCTTGTGTACCGTCGAAGATGTCACAGCGACAAAGTTCAAATTCCGAGATATATATATATATATATATATATATATATATATGTACTTTAAGATTCTGTTACTCTACGACGGTGTTCGTAACGACTATCAGGCAGAATAAATTATCGGCGATTATCAGTGCATTAAGCTTATCGTGAAAAAATTATGATTCTTTGACCAAGATTATTGGCTTGAGAAAATTTCCAAGCTATTCAATGTAACATTTTAAAAATATATATTAAATATTTTATTTTATTTCATTTTTATATATTATATATATTTATTTTTTATTTTAGAAATATATATTTTCTGTCGTTAATTTTTATTTAAAAGTCGTAAACTATATGTGTGCCTATATACATAATTAATTTATTATACGTATTTATTCTTCAGAAATATATTATATTATTCTAAATTAGCTTATATTATTCTTTTTCAAGATAAATACCTTATATATATATAATTATTAAATATTTTGAAAATGCAATCAATTTTTAATTGTCTCAGTATTCTTTTCTTGATTAACTTCACAATTAATTATTATTATTAAGAAATTATAATTCCAAAATATTGAAAAAGTATTAGGTATTCTTTGAAAATGTATATGGGCATTTACATGATTAGAATATCAAATGTCACAAACGCAAAGATAAAGTTGAGTAAAATTTACTCAAATATCATCAATTATATTGAGAAAAATATTCTGATAACATTGATTGAACTGCTAAACATGATAATAATGATGATCAACATTACAGCGTTATCTTAAATGTAATATTCTAAATGCACATTGCATCATTTTTGCAGGCTAAAAATTTGAGCATTAGATAGTTCTCTGTAAAAGAAGTCACGCATTTTCTATCAATTCCACTTTTCTCGATATATTAATATCAGATATATAATAACCTTATTGATAGAATTTATAAAACTCATTATTCAAATGAAGCTTGAGGAATGCTTGAGGAATGCTTTTTGTTCTTTCCCTTTTAAACTATACATCTAGAAAGTACCGCGGCATGTAAAACAAAAGTCTGTAATTTTGTTAGGAACTCACCTGTTAACTCCATTACTGAGCAATCCATTCTGCATGTTATTTTTTCTTCCTTCCACCATGATTGCAGTTGTGTTGCTTCACGGACGATCGACTTGCAACGCACGCCTAAAATTTATAAGTATATTAGATAGAAAAATCTATGAAACGTGATTTGATCGATATATTTCTTTAATAAGATATTTTATAATTACAATAATATAAGAAAATCATTTTTTATTGCACTACTGCGCATGCGATGAAAATATGATATCGTAAATCTAAAAAACAGATCTCGCAAAGATTACCTATAATTTCAAATAATTATGCATACGTATCGAAATTGCGTAAACATACCTCTGATAGATAATATATATACACATAATACTATTCATATTCAATCAAAAATTACTTAGAAAAATTTAGAATTTTAAAATTAATCCTTTTAGATGTAAAATTAATCCTTTTAGATGTAATTAATAATTTTAGATGTAATGAAGAGAATTTTCATGAAAATTTGAAAAAACGTAGAATAATTTTATTTGAATGGAGAATAAACTTGATTTATCAATTCGATAATTAATATTATGCAAATTAAATATAAAAGAAAATTTGCTACATCTGTATAAATTAATTTATATTTATATTCTTTGGAGAGGGAGGTATTAATATATCTGTTTTTCTCTATCGCTCTCTATATTCTAATTATAGAAGTTATTTCATTAAAATTGATTATGCAATTAGATAGAAGTTCATGTTCAACCTTATAAACAGCACTTTGTAATTACGCGCACCAGCGACATTCGCTTATGATTATGAGATCTCATTGTGTAATCTAGTTTATATTTACAGCAAAGAGTATGAATTCGTAGCCCAATATTATGTATAGAGAAACACAGATTGTGATTCATTATTTCTAATATTACTCATTCCAGTGGTGCACATTTCATAATTTTGTGCGTATTACATATTTTTCTTATTTATCAAGTTTAATGACCTTTTTATTATATAAGCGATGGAATTAATCATTTTGTCATTTGTTATCATTTTGAAATGGTTTCTTTTGGAATGATTCTTGAAGTGGTTTTATACATGGTGTGGTGGTGGTTTTATACATGGTGTGGTGGTGGTTACATAATTTTATGATAATCCTATTCAATTTCTTAATACAACGAATATTATAAATTTTTATTTGTAACATACGTATATATTAGTATACATTATTTATAAAATGAGAAATATTAACATTTGAATTATGTTTTCATAGCAAATTATCGTAATTTTATATAAATATACAAAATGTGTGTATGAATAAACATAATATTTTTTTCTCTTTCTCTTTTTTTATCGAGAGATTTTCAACTTATAAATACGTCAATATCTCATTAAAATTCTTTCAACTGTATTGCAAAAATCACAAATAAAATTATCAAGAGAGAGAAAATAATATCGAGTATATATTTCAATGAACAAAAGAGATATGAAACATACACAAGTTTTATCGTAAAATTAAGAAAAAAATTTCCAGTCGACTCTTATTCGTAGCATATACGTGCAATGCACTCCGTCGATGATGATAAAACTATAGAGATACCGTTGCAGCTAGGCTGATATAAAAGTCGAAATACACGCGGAGCTATGGCACTTCAATATAACTTTCAAAAGATACGTCAAGATACATAACTATTAATTAATTAGCCAATTATACCTAAGAATCGAGTAATAAACAAATGCACATTTATATGAGATATGTTTAAAATAAATGCCATTAGCTATTGCTATTTGTAAAAACTTATATTAAAAATTCCAATTGTATATCAATTGTATACCAATTGTATATCAATTATAGTCGTATTTGCATACATATTTAATATATGATTCTACATGAAATTTATACCTCAATCGTATTTAAAAAATACATATGTTACATCTATTATGTATATTTTATAATAATGTATATAAATCTCATTACATTATATATATCTCGTATGTCTCATATTTTGAATGGAAATGCGCACGCGGATAACTTTAAGCGGAATATAAATAGCAGGCATTTAATATTTACCCAAGTGAATTACTTCCACACTTCTGCTAATTTTGGCGCTGCGCTCCGGATGCTTCGATTCGTGCCAAGTATTAGTTCTACACTCGTGTGTAAATGAGATAATGTAAAAACGGAGATATTTCCGGCGTGACAACAGTCACGCGCATACCAATTCGCGACGCGGCATTACACTAAGCTGGCCGATCGATCGTACGCGACTCTGGTGCCTTCTAATCGTCTTGGCATCCCCGTTCTCTCGTACGGATCTCGCGCAGCGGATTGGCCAGCGATAAAACGGCATCTCGCAAACTTTGACACTCATGGAGCCTCTCCCAGCCCCACCAGCCGCGAAAAGCAAAGAGAATGCGCATTGCTATATTCACGCACTTCTCCCGTACTTCATGCTCGCGCACTGCGTGTGCGCATTTGACGATGCTCAATGAGTCAGCTGACCGACCCCAGTTTGATAGTATACATATGTGTAACGAGTACAATGGACTTCAGGATATTTTTTTCGCTTTAATTGAACTTTGTTATCAGAGTTGTCAAGGTTTTCAAAGGAATGTTACAATATAACATTATCCTATATCTATGTAATATTATCTTATATGTATATACATATATGTGTGTGTAATAATTTTGATTATTATTTGAAATAAAATTTGAATAAAGTATATTACACATACACACACACACACACACACACACACACACACACACACAACACACACAACACACATATAATATATGCGGAGAACATATACGATAGCCGATTAGGGTTGTTTAAATTGATAAAATTTATCATTATCGAGATTGTCCTTATGTCGACAGAGAAAATCATGATCAATTTTTGACAACTGATAGTTTTTATCCATTATTGATGTAATCACTAACTGCTGATCAAAGAGCTTAATCTTACAAATACCAACTGTTGGCAAAGTGAAACGAGTTCTTCTAAAATAATTATTATAAATGGTTACAAAATTTTTATAACATTATGAATAGATTTTTTTAATACATTCAAAATATTAAATTTTTTTTTCATATAAAATTTGAGTGAAGATTTATATTTTCATCTTGCAGGCTGGATGAGACGCATTGGGATTGATTAAATTCAATTCAATTTGAAAAATCTACCAACGTATTAATATGGATTTAACTGCAGTTATTTTTAATTTCTAAAAACTTTATGAAATTTATGTTTAATTAGATATATCTGAGATAATAATGCATATATGTAAAATAAAACATATACGTATCGTTAATTAATTTATTAACATGATAAAATAGGTGCAAAAAGACATAATTCACTTTTCATAAATATAAGCAGAAGAAAATGTTCGATACATTGTTTCAAAGTAGAAAATAATAAATAGGAATCACACATGCGTAATGATAGCCTTTTCTTCTTTGAATCAGTTGCTATAATATCAAGATTTCATTTTAAACACAGCTATTCCGAAATTCCATCAGCTCTTTGTATGCGATAATTATTTCGGATTTAACGAAGTCTTCTTGCTTCACGTTCAGATTCCAGAAGCGTTAGGATGTCTCCTTCACGCACGGGACCTTTGACGTTTCTGATGAGCTGTCTGTTTTGTTCGTTCAAAAATTCCACTTTGACTTGTGTACATTGTCCTTGAGACCCCGTTCTGCCGAGAACCTTCACCACTCTAGCTCGAACTATAGGTTTCTCCATGCTCTACTGATTCTTATATCTTTCTGTGCAATCGCTCGTAGAACAGCTCTTGTACACCGTGTTACAAGATTAGCAATGCTGCACTGAACGTGATCGCTACCAACTTAGATCACATGCGGATCAAATAACATCTTGATAATGTTCCAAAAGAGAGTGCAATATGCCAACTAAGAGCACCTAGTAAATTCTGCAAAGAACTATCTGCGTAGACGACTTCAAAGACTTGTGTGAATTATTTGAAGACTCATAGAGAATCTCTTTTAATCCGTATTTAAAATGAGAAATTTTTATTTCTACTTAAAAAATAAGAATAAAATTATATATCGAAATTATTTAAAATTATTGAAATTTATTCAAGGTTGGTAGGCTAGTCATCGCTACGTGTCAAAGCTGCTTAAAATAAGACTGACCTATACTCGTACATTCATCGTGCAGTTATGTGATATATCACTGAGTTGTACTTCGATACATCGATTCAAAATTCAATAAATTATATTATAAATATATTTCATATTAATATATTATAAATATATTTCATATTAATTTAAATACTATTATGTAAAGTGTTATATAATAATCAGAAAATTTGTGTTTAGACACGATCAAATCGAAGTCAAGTTTTCTTTAATAAAAATGTTTAACACCAATATCTACTATTAAATATCTCGATAGCTTAGACAAAGAAAATAATTCCATCCATTGATACAATTGTTTATTCATTTGTGCTTTAGTATAAACGTGATGTCTCTTGCTAAAATCGCAAGATATGAAGTACATTAGCGTCAGTTCATCAAGGGTCGGCGATGTTTTCTCTTTATCACGCGAAACATCTTCATATAATTTTCGTCGTCTCAAAAAGAAGATTTCCTCTACAGGCCTAATCTCTTTGCACATTCACACGTTCAGTCATACATTCTTTTACATTCTTTCTGTCATATAAAATTACAATACTTGAAAAAGATTGCGACATTTGGTATGCGATGTGTGTGGTCTGACTTTATACATTATACATTGACATATACGTGTATATATGTATGTGTGGGTGTACATGGAAATAATATGTATAATCCTAAAAGAGACAAATTATGAATGGATTTTTTTATGCTGCGCACACATACTCTCATATTTTGCTTCATAACGAGCGACATCGCTATAATAAAAAGTTAGTCGACAACGTTCGAACGAAGCTTGAACACAATGCGCACGTATTCGCGATACGATTCGAATAATCGATTCGATGATTATTCTAATCTTCCTCGCCCGATAGTCTTTCGATTTTTTGCGCAGCATTGCATGAAACTTGGACTTTGACAAATAATTGAGACTAAAGAAAATCATCGATACGTCAGAATACTATTCATTCACAGATCTTCAATGAGCGCGACAAAAGAAATTTATAAATATTATTACTATATGAGTATGTGGGTGTGTGTGTGTGTGTGTGTGTGTGTGTAAAGATTAAAGGTGTACTTTTTTTGGAATAATTTTTGAAAATAACATATTATGATTTGAGCGCATTAACAATAAAAAGTCAACAATGTCATCACGCATATAAAATTACTATTGAGATTATACACTTATTTATCTCCGTCTCGATATGAATTTTCAGTCATGGTAGACAAAAATTTTTTATAGGTCTCATAAAATCGGTCTAATCTGCTTTCTCTTTTTCGTTTGGTTCAATGTTACATACAAATTACTCTAATATTTTATATAATGACAAAAAGTTAACTAAAAAATACATTCTTGGTAAAATATATGTATAACTCATTGACTTGTCTATTTAGTAAACAATTAGGAAACATACGGAAATTACGTTTAGAAATTATCCTCTCTCTGAATAATAATTATACGCTATTGCTTTTTAAATGCACAATATAAGTACAAGTATAATAAAACAATAAATAATCATTAAATAAGAAATATTAAGAAATATAGAAATTTAAAAAATATAGAAATTTATTTACTGTCATGAATTAATATACATATTTTTTTCAAACGATGTATTTTTCATTATTGGAATTATATGATATGAGAAACATGCGCACAAGTTCCCTCAAGTAAAAAAGATTTTCGATCTTACATTTTAACGCTAAAATATATTTTATGATAACTATATTTAAAAATCTAGAGAGGATACTTCCAGAAAAATATGTATATTTAACAAGATTTTACTGATTTGGATCAAACATAATAATATAATAATAACTATTAAATTATATTGCAATTATGTAGAGATCTTAAAGAAAAGAGAGAGAGAAACTTAATAATTATTACAAAATATTATCTAAAATTGTAAATTCACCTGTTATATGGCATAAAAGAAACATTGTATAATTAGAGTAATACATTGATCATATCGTGATTGATAAAAAATTATTATCGATAAAATATCAAAGAATCAATATATCTTAAGAATTTAACTAATTTTAAGTATTTTTATGATACTAATGTATAAGTTGGTTTATAAAAATAATCTATCATAATAATGTATTTAAATGATAGAATAAAATAAAAATAATATCAAAGTATAAATACTGATTTTTTTATAATTTATACGTGACAACATGTAATTATCATTTGGTTAAAAAACATATTCATTGTCAACGAATATCACATAAAATTATAAAAAAACATTGAGAGAGATTGATAAATAAACTGTAATATAAAAAATTATAAGTTCTATGAGAAGAAATAATTTTCGTGATAGATTCTATTGCCTCTCTCTTATCCTTCTGTCATTATTACTACTTAATGCAGATAAAAAGTAGAACATATTTTCATTATTTACATTTATCTCGCTAGTATATGTATAAGAGAAATATTATAACTAAAATGTGCTTTAACTCTCAAAATATGCTTAACTCCCTTAGAAATAAAAATACATTTATATTGTCTACAAAACCAATGCATAAATTGCTTTGCTTCTTGTAAGTTTATAATTTCTTAGTGATGTTAGTGATATTAATTAGTATTAGTAATATTTTCAGCGAATCTTAATCATATGTAAATTAAATTGAAAGTATACGATATAATTTTAATCGCTGTTCTTTCATATAAATGAATCTGCAGAATGTAATTGTACATATAGGCCGTGAAAAAGAATCATACAATATTATAAAACATATATACGAGTTAATTACATATTCATTAATGCACAGAACGCTACCTATCTTTTTTTCTGTTTTATGCAACTATACATACACAATATCCTCCCAATAGCCATATATACTATATAGTAAGTGTAACAATATTTAACACTCGCACTTAGAAGCAACGCTCAGGCAGCTAGTGATTGGTCAAGTGTGAGCTTTTTACAATAAACATTTTTCGTTCTTTTTCCTTATTTCCTTATTTCTTTATAATTATCGTATAATTTATTAGGTAAACTCTTGATGAAATTACGATATGAAGAAAGATCGAGTGTATGATTATGTAAGACGAATAACGAATAAGCGTTTTCTACCGTTAATATGAAAACGTTATTCGCGAACAAGTGCTTTCGATTTTCACAATTTTCTGCTATTCATTTGTCCAAGGACATTATTACAATCATAAATACACAATTTACTTATTTGCCTTCGAGATTACCGGTCGAAATAAATATAGCAAACTATGTATAATTTAACATAGGAATATCATAAAAGACTCGTTTTAACGATTCTTTTATTCTACTTATCTATAGAACTCTCTATTTTGTTGTGTTCGCGTTTAAACGCTCTCGTTGGAGGGACACGAGTCTTGAACGGGCCTAAGGCTCCTGGCGAGTTTATTTAATGTGTCATTGGCTATAAACACGTTTGCGATCTTAATTTAATACCGGAAAACCGATGTGTTTGGCGACGCAGATCGATCTACCGTTGTTTACGAGATTGAACATAATCTAATTCCTGTCTGTACTATTTATTTAAACGTCTATCTACATATATAGACGAGCTAAACTTGTGATCCGTATTTAATCGGATTTGAGTTTGGTCGCGGTAACTATTTTCTATTTGGAGAAACAAAATATGATAAATGTTTTCTTTTGCCAATGGCAGAGATCAGATTCGGTTTGGTAACATTTGGAAACCCTAATCATTACAATCATTACATTAATAATAATTAAACATTCTTCGAAGCACTAATATTACATATCTTATGAATGGAATCAATAAAAAATATTATGCTTTAATAAAAGTAAACATAAACTTAAGTATCTTGCGATATCTAACGACTTAAATTACATATCAAAGTTTACATGTCAAACGATTAATTTAATCAAAGATAATTTACCTTTGTTCCCTCATATCTTTCTATTCGAAGCGTGTATATTCTCTTCATCAATATCTTCTTTTCATGCGATGATCTTCGCCACTTATTAATGCAGCAATTCTTGTCGATTCTAAGATCGAACTGTCCTTTGTGCGCAATCGTCTCTTTTGTCATTCATTTTACACGGTTAAAAAATGTAATCTTCGTTGATGATATCCAGGTCACAGTCCCGGTGCAACGACGATTGTAACGTCGTGATTATTGTCTGTCCTGGACTTACTAATCAGAAAATTTAACGAAGGGATCGCAGCTTGAGTCTCAGCACGAAGTAAACGACCACTCTGAGACCGAGCAGGAAGCCGACCAAAGCAACAACGTCCACCCAATAGACCGCATTCTCCATAGACATCTGTTCGAGGAACTTTGTCGGACTCTTAAAGTGGCAGTAGTACTCGGAACACTTGAGCTTCGCTCGATTGTAACCGTACACGGAGATCATGGCACCCTCGAAACCGTACCTCACATAACTCACGTACGAGAGGAATTTCAAATATTTCGGAACGGCGTTAAAATTGATGAAGAAGCCGGAAAATAGGACGATCGGAACCGACATCACGGGTCCGATAAATACCCCAGTCTACAAGCGACAATACGGATATTAGTACAAAAATTATGATAAAAATGAGAAAAAACAGAAGAAGTTAGTCTTGTTTATGTTTTCTGATAATAAAATTTCCTTTATATGTGTATTTTATTGACTTTTACCTCCACGCTCATTGCCGCTCCTATTAGCAGACCGGTAGATTGTGCGACTAACGATGTCAGTATACATATATTTAAATACATAAGAAAACGTTCCGTTTCCAATGGTTGCGACGTGATGAAGTACACAATCATCACATAGGCTATAGAGTATACCATCTGCAACAATTTAATATATTGTGCATGAGTCGCGATGCGTTTGACCTTAATTGAACATGGAGTGTGGCAAATTGTACTCACTTGGAACGGCAAGTCCGCCAATGTTCTCGCGAAGTAAAAGGCTTTCACCGAGTACCAGTAATTTAAGTGTTCTCGTACAAATACAGACATTTCCATCGGAACTATATAACAAAGTTGAAAAAAAATATAACGAACCTCATGGTTATCTCTCTCACGGCGATTACATAACGACAAATTACTCACATGTTAATATAGTAGGCATCATCGCAGTGAACATTAAAAACATCACCGTAAAGAAAACGCATCCAGCATTACTCATAACTTCAGAGGCCTCGTTGCCGATGTCGTAATAAATCGCCCCGATCAAAAAACCGACGATTATATGCGAAATCAATCTTACCCTTGTTAGCGTCTAAAGGACAGAGTGAAAGTAATACAGAATGAAAATAAAATATCTTAAGTATAAATATATACAATAATAATAAGTATCTAAAAAGAGGATATTATATATACTTCTTTTACGATAAAAAATTGCACTATGTGATTGTTTAATGAAGAATACAATTTTTAAGATTAATTATATTCAATCACATAGTGTGTTATTTCCTCATAAAAAAGTAATGAAAGAGGAAACATTCCGAATAATATATATCGTATTTACCATGTCTCGCATTTGCGACAGAAAAGTTCTTTTAAGCAGTATCCAAAATTGCACCCAACCATTCGTCGGAAAGCCAACCTTTTGCTCTATGCTTTCCGCACTGTCTAGCAATGACGTTGTGCAAGAAACCGGCATATTTATTATCGTCGTGCCAGCTGGCGGCTTTGCCACACCGTTCGGTATCAATGCAGCACCTTCTGTTTTTGTCTCTTGTGGTGACTCCTTGGCGATATCGTTTGAAACCGTCTGCGCCGCGGAGATGGCCGTTTGATGAAGCTGATAATTATTGCATTTGCCATTGTTCACAGCCATCACGAGCTTGTGAACGCACTCGCCGTGCTCCCCGCAAGCGACTTCCATCACTAAACCGAGGAAATTTCGTTAGCTAGTCATATCATTGCGATACAATTTTGACAACAACCACGACAATCTTATAAAACAATTTTAAAATTTTAGCAATAAATATATTTTGTACATATATTTGATTTGAAAATGTTGAGATTAATTTTATTCTTATAGAATTAATATGAATGCACAATGAATATACAAAATTATAGTTTAAAGATTTTTACATACATAGGTATAGAAACAATTAAAACTTAAATTAATTAGAATAATGAAAATTCCATCGAATACTTGCCGTAATCCGCTGGATTATGATAACTTGGACAATCGAGACCCATCGATGACAAAAAGGGCACTAGGCCACCGACATTGCCCTGATATATACATTGGCCTTCGGCAAGCAGGTACAGATGATCGAACATCTCGAACAGTCGCGCACTTGGTTGATGGATCGTGCATATAATCGTTCTTCCTATAAAGGATTCCAACATGCATATAATGATGTTATATTATAAACGCGAGACATTGATAAAAAATAATTTTGTAAAAACATTACCTCCTCTACTTAAAGATTTGAGCAAACTGAGACATTGGAAACAAGAAGAGCTATCTAAGCCGGAAGTTGGCTCATCGAAAAACATAACCGGGGGATTGTTGACAAGCTCCAGCGCTATCGACAATCTCTTCCTCTGTCCTCCGCTGAGACTCTGAGTTTGTGTATTGCTGGCTTCGCGTAGGCCAAGTGTCTCGATAATCTCCTCAATCTGCATTCAAATATATAAATTTCAGAAATCGAATTTTGTACTGCAGCTTATATTTTTTAAAAGGCGATAAAAGAAAAATTTCCACTCATCATACCACTACTTTCTTAGAAGTCGCGCTAATATCTTTTCCTAATTTCAGATTCGCTGATATAGTCATTGCCTCATAAACGGTAAGATGAGGCAAAAGTCGATCGTCCTGCATAATATAGCACGACATTTTACGAAATCTTCTGAGATTCCTGTCCTTTCCGTTTATCAGTACTGAGCCATTCAAATGAGACGTTCTAAGAACATTATCGAAAACGATAAAAATTTTCTTGTCAAAAATTTCAAGAAAATAACATATGTGCAATTTGGATAATACACAATTTTATCACTTAACATAATTTATTGTTAATTTTCTATCCTACTTACTTGTAACCTGCTAAAACATTCATAAGCGTACTCTTTCCAGCGCCAGACGGCCCCATAATGGCTGTTAATTCTCCAGATCTGAATTTTCCGTTTACGCATTTCAGTATAGTTTTATATCCTGCAACAAAATTGAGAAATAATAAAGAAAAATTGAAATATAGATATTTTTCTACAATCAAAAATTTGCAACGTAAATATTGCTAGAGATTTTCATATTTTTTCTTAAATATAAAAAAATTTACAAATTAAATCTTTCCAAGCATATCATTATTTTGTATGCATTATAAATAAATATATATCGAATGTATTATTATTGAATTTCATGAAAAGAAAGATATTATCAGCACATATACATTTTACGCAAGTAGAAATGGAACGCGATGTTCTATAATAGAAACTGTCTATTATAAGTCTTTTTCAATTTTGGCATCTTCTTATTCAATTTTCAGTGCCAAAATTTTCGTTAAGAAAATCTTGCCAAAACTGCAATATTTTCATTGTATAGAAAATATATTCAAGGATTATATATATATTCCTCAGACAAATAAAACTTCTGGCTGACCTCTTTATCGTTAGTACACTTGCACCATGGACGATGCATCTGCGCCGAAACGGAAACCTGTCCGTGCATTTCTATCGATTTTTTCGGTCAGGTCATTCACACATGTTGATAGACGAAAAGCCTACTGAACAGCTTTTCGCATATTCGATTCCCCCATTTTAAATTCGATTACATTGTTATCTCAAATTATTCAGCGAAATTCTGTTGCCCCGAAGTAACGCAAAAGCAAAAGTATGTACATACGTCATACCGATATATTATTTTGAGATATAAGTTGCTTTCTTAAAATCAAAAAGTGGAATCGTTCTGCTCTCGTTATGCTCTTCTACTTATTTTTCATTTCTTTCTTGTATGCTACCTTAATGATGACTCAATAATGTGCGTTATGCCGTGAGAACAGAAATTGACTTTCTCCTGGATTTAAATATGCAATTATCTTTCTTTCGGAAACTCACCCCTCTTTCTGCCTTCGGACACGCTATAGGCCAGGTTCTTGAACTCCACGTCGACCGGAGGTCTCTTCGGGAGATGCGTCAACGATACCGCCGGCCTTTTATTGCCCTGCCCGGGACTGGCGCCGCTATGGTTCGGCACTTTCCTGGCCAGAACACCACCGGTACACACCGCAGATGCAGCTCCGTTCGACGTGGTGCCGTTGCAACTGCAGTGGAGATTATTCTGCGAGCCACTGTAACATTTCGCCCAATCATTAATTTAATTAAGAGTTGCGTTAATCGAATAGATCTGTATTTGTTGTCAAACGATAATATGTGTAAGTTTAACTTGCTAATATACATAAGTTTTGCTTGCTTCATAAATCGTAGAGAAAAATTCGCTAAACTGTTTCTACGTATTTTCGCAAAAATAGGACGTATTGAAACATGTATGATCTTTGTACGTTACATTACTTTACCGCCTGCTTTGGAAAGCGCAGCTCGTATACATTAAAATTAAACCCTCGCCACGCTATATGCAGGTGTACGTGTAACGTATGTTTAAGCGACAAAGTTAAGAATGCATATCGATTTATTCAAAATTAACGAGATTTTGAATGTATTTTTTAGAAATATTCCGCAAAGTTGTAATTAATTTGAAAACAGAATAATGTTGAAGAAGCGATGCATATTAATCGCTCATTTATTTTAACATTTTAATGTAGATTTATTTTGCACAGAACAGATGGTACCAATCCCATTAATTAATCCGTGATGTTAATGAGATGGATTGTTTTTTGGAAATATTATTAAACATTGAATATAGATGCGAAATTGTATAAGACATTAAATATTTAACTTATATATAACTTTAAATTTAATATAAATAATCATATATAAATATGATAATTGCCTATATTATACTATCTTAAATTTTTGTGATATATTTTCTGACTCGTCGACTAAATATATTGATAAAAATAATACTACATATATAAGAAGCAATATCTCGCTGCTAATCATAATTTTGCGTATGCACTTGCTGTTTCCCGTCGTAGATGTAGATTTTCTGTTGTGATTCTGGCCGCGTAAAAGTTTATTATTTTCTAATATTATAAGGAAATAAAATCGTAAACGAGATTAGTTTCTACAATTTTGCGTAATAACACTTGCACGCAATTACTATAGCTAAGTGTGAAAAATGCTACTGTTAAGAGGATATAAATATTTTTGTGAGCTGTTGATGATTTTATCGTTGCATTAAATTGGCGGTCGTCGTTTAACTGTTTTACAAAAATCATGACGCTATGTTCATCGCAAGAATTTGTCCACGTTTTCTTATTATTGGTTTTTTCATCATACCTATGATTATTTTTATTGCTAACATCCGCCTATTACTGAGCTACATATTTGCAAGAAAAATTTTCGAAAAACGCGATAAAAGTGATAAATAAAGGTAAATGTAAATGAAAAATGCAACAAAAGTGTGAATATATTTTTTGCAAATCACCGAACAATTTATACTCAATAGCGTCAATGGAAAGCATTTATTTTCTGTCTGGATAATTAAAGGTATGATTTAAAAGATTTGGTAATTAAATAAAAATTATAGAATTTTTTACAAGACATTATTGCCAACATTATACTACTTTTAAACATTTTATTTTGAAGTTTAAAAAATTATTATTATTATTATTATTAAAATTAAATAGTGTTAGAAAACGGAATGATATTGATAATTTTTTAAATTAATTTGGATTTATATTATCTTGTATAAATACAAAATATTACGCTACAATAGAATATTTTGATACACGTGTCTTTATATTGCTAACTTCTAATATAATGCATGCAGTCGAATAGAATTTTACAAAAATGCTAATACCTTTCTGATATACAATAATACAATATTCTAGAACAGAAATATTGTGTACAGATTTTCAATTGATTTTAAACGTTTCTTTGTATCTATTCGTAATTGCTAAGTTTTATAACACTTTGTCCTCTACGAAGTTTTATACTGTAGCTCTCTTTCCCTTTCTATCAATTTTTCATGTATAGTAATATAGTATAGCCTCCTAAAAATTTAAAATACTGAATAAAGCATCAACTTTTCTATTTTATCACACACGATTATAAACGCAAAGTATCTTGTGTTAAATTATACGTAGTTATCTCAATAATATATATATATATATATATATATATATATATACATATATATATATATATATATATGTGTGTGTGTGTAGAGCTTGTTATATATAACAATATGGTGAAAGCGTGCACGCAGCAGCACAATCTCTTCATTCGCTTGAATGATTCAAAAACGTCACAAAAGAGACGTCTTTGTCTAGTCTGTTATGGCTGGACTTAGCACTGACTCATAGATTGTAGAAGGTAAAGCGATCGACCATGTGTTGCGATACTTCTTTGATGTTTCTCGAGAAATCTCAATTCATATCATGATAAACTTTAACTGTACACATTTAGTGCCAGAGTATTAGTCTAATATCGCGCATATTCCTTAGTCTTGGTATTTTCAAGTTTGAGAATCGAAGTTTCCACGAGGAGGTCAAAAACCTTGACCGTGATCGTCTACATCAGACCCTGAGACAATTAGTATCGATTGTCATTCCAAGCAGTATAGTCTCTCAATATTGAATATTCTTGAATGTCCTATAGTTATCTCTTTCATTTACAGATTCAGGCGATTTAAATGATTGATGAAATTAATCGATGAATTGATAAAATTAATCATCTTTATAATAATTTTTACGTAATAATTTTTATCTGATTATTCTTGCAGATGAAGATAAAAATTATTTTTTTCAGCAATTTTTTTACTTAAATATCATTAATTCCTCCAATAATAATTTTTTTAGAGACTTGTAACTTAAACATAAATTACTCGTTGACATAAGTTTCGTCATTTTGTAATATAACTCTGTACTGTTTAATATACAAATTGAATTTATTTTTAGCAGCAATAGATTAAGTTAAAGTAAGGGCAAACCTTGAGAAAGGTACGATCGAATCTAAAACCTTGAAAGATTCCTTTTAGATTTTAGTATTTAAAGGAAGTTTTTGCATGTTTATAAGTATTCTATGATCGTGATAGGAAAGTCATATATTTTTTCTCCTCCTTTTCCTCTCATTCCCCCTTTTATTTACATGGTCATTCGCATATTATACAGTCAAAAATTCTAATTTATATTTGACTGAATCTATATTTTAACAATAATTTATATATTTTAAGAGATTTATAAATATAATATATTAATGCAAAAGTCTGTTCAAGATGGCAAGCTCTAAATTAATTTTATGCTACTTTAACTTTTGCCAAATTTGCGATTTACTATTTCTGTTCTTAAAATAATTAAATGGCAGAAAAATTAATAATTAATTTATTAGCAATAAACATTTTATATATTTAAATTCACTAACAAACACATCTTTTGAAATATGCCTTATAAATGTCTTATAAATGTGAATAATAATGTGAATAAATGTGAATCTGTATATGTCATATAAATATGATATTTACCTACAATTTTTTTAAATAATAAAAATTTAATATTATAAATGAGCTCTTTGGTATTAACTATACAATTGTTCTATATTCTTAAATAAATATTACAGTTGATCATGGACGCAAATGAACGATCAATATCAATTTACATATTCGTATATTACCCTAGGAAATTGCAAGGCAATCATAATGCAATTCATAATACAAGCGCATGTCATGGAATGCTAATCAATAAATAGCAATTTGTATTTGAAAACTGGAGAACGGACAAAGAAGCTAGATTCTCTTTTTTTTTAAGGAATCGAAGGCCATCTGCAGAGTTCGAAGTGAGTTTAAAGCTTACTTTCTAAGTGTATTATACTCTATCTCTACCATAATCTCTATCGTAATATCATAGAGAAACTTTATACAAATTATAGAAATTCTTTTGTAGCAACATCAATTTTGCTTTATCTATCTTTATATATTTTATTTATTACCTATTTATGAAATATGATTAGCAAAGGTTTTGAGTTATGTATTTATTTAATAATCTTAATTGAATTATATAGCTATATAAAATTGTTTATAAATACAAGTAAAATAAAATAAATATCATCTTTATTTACTATTTTTATTTTCGTCGATTTTATTTTTTATTAAACCAATACTTGTATAAATCTTAGCATAATCTTATTATTAAATCTTATTATTAAATTTCTATGACTATCTTTCTCATATAACTGTAAAAAAAGTTTTATATAAGTATGCGTGATATTTTACCTTCGCCTTTTATTTAGCATGTGTTTCGCGCAAAGGTTTTAATACATTGTCATTCATTATTTATCAATCTATAATTCAAACAGACTAATTTATAAAAAAAATGTAAAAGTATAAAAGTTGACTATATCCATGTATTGCTTTTTTTATTTATTATATTTTATATGTATTGTTGCTACAATTATTTTTATTCTAATAATAAAAATTTTGTTTTTTTCTTTAATTAGTTGATATTTATCTTATATTTTTGAATTTCGGATAGCGCATAAATAAAGAATTATAACAAATTTTATTCTTACCCGTGGACTGCATTGTTGAGATTTTCCAGATGTAAGGAAGGAGGAGGTGATCTGATTGTCACCTGATTACTTCCACCTGGAATAAATTGCACCTGCTCATCGCCGCTGTACCTGGATGCTCCGCCACTACTCAGGGTAAGATTCTTCAAATCAGCCATCATCCAGTCGTGCTGAAGAAAAATAAACATTTATATACGTTAAAATAATGTTTCATCAAGCTAAACGAATAAGTCTAAACACTATATTTTGTTGAGAGTATTTAGACAATGTACAAATACTTAGAATTCCATTAAGGTATTTTGTGCCTTAAAATAATAGTTAAAATAATGGTTCAGAGAATTGTCAGAGTGTTTTGCGGTTCAAGAATTGTGTCGTGTTTTTATTGAAAGAGTGATATTTTCTCCGTTTACTTTAAGCCTTTGTTTATCTATATTATTGCAAATGAAAATAAACGTTGATTTGGAAAAAATTCTATTTAATAATATTCTAAAACTGATTCTATTTAATAGTATAGTATTAATGTTTGAGTCGATTGAGATAGATTGCTCTGATCTTCATTTTAATTCAGCTTCAGAAATATTATTCACTATACAACAGAAAACATATCTGTATTTTCAGAATGCGTATTACTTTCATAATCAGAATTATTCATGATAAATATGTACATACTCGACAAATCCCCGAATTTACAGAATAAGAATGATCTTTCTTCACTCAACATCTACGTTAAACTAATGTAAGTACAATAATAGGAAAAGACTTACTCATAGAACGAGTTTCCCCGCAATGTCAATCTCAATATTTATCTCATAAAAAGAAAGAACATAAACAACATACTTGTCCTTATAACGGTTATTGTACACATTATATATACAATAACTCTTATAAAGACAAGTGTTGTTTATGTATATTGTATATATAATGTATGTGAATATTAAAAGTCGTTACGATTTTATCAGGAATTAATCTGTTTAAAATCGGAGTAACAAAGGATCTTTAAAATTAATGTTCTATTTTATTTTAACAAATAAAGAATGAAATGTTATTCGTATTATAAATTTTAATACGAATAAGACAATAAAAATTTATTTAATATTAACGAATATAAATATAGTTCTCAATAAGAAAATTATTTATTATATACAAATAAATCTTCTAATTTTATTCGTTAATTAATTTATTATTTAAAGTAAAATTTTTTCAACTCTGAATATAGTAAATTCTTCATTTTTATTTAATTTTTATTTAGTTTGTATACAATGTTCTAATCTAAGAAATTATAAAATGTTTATTCGAATATTTAATACAAGGAACGCAAAATTAAATGATTTACTGATTTTTCGAATAAATAAATAAATAAATAAATTTTATAATTAATTAGAGAGAATGAAATGTTATATATTGCATATCAAATTAATTACATTTACAAATATGAGATATATCAGACTAATGTATAATTTAGAATTATTATGAGTTTTTATGAGCGTATAAATTTAAACACTAGTAAAATACATAAAATATGAAAATAATGTTTTCCCGTTGTTAATGTAAATCTTATGGAATTAATAAACGTTATAAAAATGTTATCACATTGCACGATTCTGCTGTATTCGAACAAAAATAGCTATAGATTCACTCACCATGTTCTTTATGTGAATCAGCAAAAAAGATATGGAATTACAAATTTTCCGGGTACAGATGCACTGAACGAGCGCAAGCAAACGTTGGATAATCGTCTCTTTTAGATGAAGAGAAAAATGTAACATTTTATTGAGAGAAGACTGTCGTCTTTTTAATTTTTATAAATTCGCTTAATGTGATATATATATATATATCGTAATAGATGTCAAATTATGTAATTAAGATATATTAACTCTAATCGAAAAATAAAAATAACTTGCAAACGAAGAAATTTATGATGAAGAAATTAAGGTGAAATTTAAAATGAAAGTATTACTATTACTATTACTTATTAAAATGTCTTATAAACATATGATTTTTTAATATGATCTGATTTCTTTTCAGAAAGTCGACAGACCTAATCTTATTATTGATTATTATATTTTCGACATTTTTCTTTCTTGCTAAAAGAAGATAACGTTAAACTCTTGAAGGAAATATAAACTTGAACTCTTATAAAAAAGTTTGACAACACGATCAACTTACAAAAGGACACTGAAAATTTAAACAATATTTATGATAGACTAATAAAGGTTGTCTAATCTTTCTCTGTCTGTGGAGACGGTTGACATGACAATCTTGACGAAGTGATTTCCTTATTTCTCACGATAGAATAGTTAACTAAATTATTGTATGTATTATAGTATAACTTGCCGCTCATTTTTTATTTCAAAATCAATGTAATTTATTTTTTTGTGTAATATTGGAAATAATTTGTTGTAGTTCACTCGAAAAGGACCAAAACCATGGTCGAAACGTCGTGATTCACTTTAATAAAATTTGCCAGTGTGGTCGTTTTTAATTACTTCTTGTAAAAGAAGGTAACTTTAATATTGCAAACTTGAATTTTGCTTTTCTTGATAAAAAGGAATTATCTATATCGCATATAAATTTATGAGTAATATTTGCCAGTCGAACAAAAAAAAAGATAAAGAAAAGATAATTTCCTTATATAACATATAAAAGAGGAAAAATAATTAAAAATGTATAATAATAATGATAAAAAAACATAATTACTTTTTTATCAAATCAAGGATGAAAAAAGGATCGGTATCTGAAGATTTTAAAGAAGATTAATTCAACACCGTGTATTATAATTCAGGGCACATCTCTTATGTATGTACACAGAAACCCATTGATGCACCGGGCGCCTTTCGCCCACTCAGTATCTCGAAAATCGAAGGGATCAATTTGCAGCTATGCGCCATCAGAAACAGCGCGTGCTGTTTTTGCAGAACCCGCACGTGCCAGGAAAATCATTTCACCCGTGTGTTTATGATACATGATTACAATTGCATATTGCTCACGCGAGATGCAACGGACAATATTTCATTGTCGTTGCAATCGCTGTGTCAGCAGTTAGGCGTAAGAAGAGCGAGATGAAATCTCGCACACAGTCCGCTTTATTGTCCCAAATGTCCTAGAATCGCTCTCCGGTCGCTAGGCGGATCTTCTTTGTTTGAACAGCTAAACCTCTCGATCAGGTCGAAGGCAAGATAGCCTCGGTCAAGCTCTTGTTAATTAAACGCTCTACTCAGAACAGAATCAATTTTGCAAGTCCGATAAGGTACGAAAGCACACCGAGATATTTGTATACGAGAAAGAGATTTTTTTCCTTTAATGCGCTGCTAAAATAAAGTTTAGATAAATTCCTAATGAGTCGCGCTTAGCCTCTTATTTTCTCATATCAATGACAATGAAATGTGAGCGTGATGCTGGTAATGTTCCAATTGATAAAATTTTAATTCAGGCGTAATAAGAGATATAATTATCTGCATTCTATCGTATTATGCGAAAACATATTTAAGAAAGTAAATTCACGATCTTTTATTCGCACATAATTTTTAGAATTAATTAAATGATATCCGAATAAAAATATGATCATTCGATTTGATATGTGCAAATCCTCCTCGCTAAATTGTGATATCGCATATGTATATGCTTTTATTATAATACGTTTATCTAGTTGTCCCTGGTCAAGGTGTCTACTAAGTAACCCGCATCTTGATTCTATTTCTGAAAGGCATTTGAATGTACGGAGGAAACCGAAAGTTTCGAAGCGTTTGTGTTCAACTTTATTGAAATAAATCACGTCACGTTTAAATGCCCTCTAATAATAGGCTCTAAAAGTCATAAAGTAAGATGCCACAAACGCATAATGATAGCAGTCACAAAAATAATAAAAAAGAATATAATATCTTTACATCTTTATCGAAGATTCTTCCATATGCTGCAAATAATGCCGCGTATCGCAGAAATAAAAGGCTCTAAAAGTCATAAAGTAAGATGCCACAAACGCATAATGATAGCAGTTACAAAAATAATAAAAAAGAATATATCTTTACACCTTTATCGAAGATTCTTCCATATGCTGCAAATAATGCCGCGTATCGCAGAAATAAAAGACATCTAGAATAATTGTGTTCGAACCGAGCTTTGTATAAATAGTTTGTACAATCATGCGATATCACTCGTCTCGAGAATTATTTATACAAGTTACAAGTCATAAGTCATATATTTTCATCCATTTAAATTGTTAAAGCCTCGCACATTAGAAAAATAAAAAATGTCAGAATCATTACTTTCGAATGGGAAAAGATCATCTTTCTATCGATAATGCGAAAGAGCGATATGTCGATGACCGAATGCACTATTATCAGTGATCAATGTCTATATATACATAGATAATATTCAATTTCTTGTAGCGCGTTATGGTATACATATCATTTCGCGCCGCGTAAATTTAATTAACGATGCACTGATCAGTAAATTAAAAGGATGCTCGCGAAAATTAATTAATTCCTTCCCTTTTCATAATTGATTATTGAATAATGAGATAGGTAGACATAGGTAGATACGAGATAGATTCGTAATATTCATGACGCCACAAAGAGTTAACAACTGCACCAAAGGTGTTACGTGTTCGCCCATACGCATGTTGATTTTAAAAGGACAACTCACCCTCGGACGAAAGTGGGCTCAGCTACATGGGTCGCGACGTCCGAATTCATACCACGACGATGACGCTCTGCATTTTTGACCTGTCAAATCCTTCGATCTGTCAAACTCAAAACGGAGATGTGTTTCAGGTACAAAACGATCACGAAGTGATCGCACTATTCTTCGCACTGAACCAAGGGTACGTCACGACATTCTACTCCACTCGTATCGACTTTATGCGCCTAGTTGCTGATGTACCACTATAGCAACTATAAAACTTTATTCGTTCCGGAGTCGTTCCGTGTCCGTTCCAGGGACGATCGATCGCGGACGCATGCACGCACCAGATGATCCCCGGACCGATCTGACCGAACGCACTGAACGGAACCACGACGTATACTGCGACCGAGGCGAGAGAGAACGCCGAGATCCCCGACAACGCACCAGTACGATCAGCTGTCGAGCTATGCACCTCCACTCCGACGACGAAATGAGCCGAGCTCGAGAGTGGCGAGGTCCAGGAACGGCAACGGCGCCCTGGCTGCTCTGATCTTTTATTTGTTTGCTGATGATTGAAAACAAGAGAACAATAAAATTTATTCATTTCTAATATCAATTATATTCTTATATCTTTATCTTTGTCATTCTTATCTTTACCTTTATTTTTCTTATCTTATTGTTTTTATCTTTATTTTATGAAGAATTAATTTTATAAATTTATAAGATATTATAACACATTTCATAAAGAAAAAACGTAAATCAATTTTTGCGTATATATAATTGTATATTTCATATTTATAGAAAAGCTTCTTCTAATTTATACTAATATATGTAATGTAATTTGTTAATATCTAATATATATTTTTTTATATTATTGAGAAAAATTTCTATCTTCTCCTATTATTTTCCTTAATGCTTTTTGCAGTTCTTTATCTCATTCCGACAGATTTTTTGCATCTTACTTATCGCTATCTATATGTTAAATCAAGGATAGTCATTGTTCTTGTGTCTAGTCACATTCGCAATAAATATTGGACTTCAGACGGTGAAATGTCATCGCGCATTTCATTAATTTAATCATCAAAGCAATTAAATAGACTGTCATTGAATCTATTCAATTATATGTCTTTTAAAGAAATTAAACTTCTTGTGTGTATTTCAAAGATTAATTTTGAGTACGTGTTTAATTATGGATCCAATATTAATGTACTAAATACTAATTCATGTACTATTTTATATACTTAATACCGATTTCGATACATTAATCATTAAAAATAATATAGGCACACATCATTATTTTTTTGCCTCTACGAAATTCCTATGGAAAAAGAATGTGATTGTAAAAGAACATTTCCTGTTGTGTGCTTCCTGGTAACTATGGTGATTCAGGATAATGACACACGCGGACTTATCATTTTTCATTGCTTGCTCACATAATTATTCTCTTCGTGAAAAACAAAGTAATCATTTTCTGCCACCAATTTATTACTTGGATTTAAATAATTGATAAATATTTTAGACTTTGCTAAATATAAAATATTACTCAGATTTAAATGATAGAAAGAAAGGATTATAGTATATTTGACATTGTTGTTGGATTATTAAAAAAAAAGGAAAATAGATAAAATAGATTTATATGGATTCGTTGATTTGATGTAATATATAAAGAATAAATCGCTCGGCTCTTTAAAGATGTAACAGGGTGCTGTTGCCTAGTTATACATCCTTGATTCACGCGCATGCACGACAAAGCGAGGTTGTACTTTACGAGCGGAATTTCTACCTACGTTTACGCGAATGTCGACCTTACGAGGTCGTCACGAGTACTCTAGAAGACCGTGACGAAGAGCGCGCGGGCGGGCCGAGCGGAACGACGATAGAAAATAGGAGTGGGAGACTATTTCCTCGGCCAAGTGAGGAGGAAGGGAATGAACGAAGGAGAAAGGAGAGAACTGAGCCACGGGTCGATACTCTAGCACTGAACTCGTTGGTGATACTCACCGAGTGCAGTTGCACCGAGGCGAGTACATCCGCACCAAGATTGGTACCAAAGACTTTTTGGCTGGTATCCACGAATAACAAGATTCAATTCAAGAGAGAGGAATGTCGAAACACAGGACGCGGAAATCCCGCTCGATGGACACCTGTACTAGTAAATGAGGATCGAAGTTTGGGTTTGGCTTTCTGACGCAAGTCTGTCGTTCCACCACATTGTGGTCGATTATATATGTGATGTTTATTATATACGTGTTGGAAGATACGTAGGAGTACATGTACTTCGTTAATAATAATTAGGGTTCCTTTATTGACACACATTGACGTATTTATAAAAGTATCGTAGGCAGTTAAACAATGATCGCAACAACAGAAATGTATCTTCATGTAATACATGTAGAATTTTTATTACATATGTATATACTGGTTTTGCTACTTTCGCTCATTCTACAAATTTTTGTATCAATTTCGATACCTTTCAACTCTGGGGCTTTAAAATCTTTGCTTCTATAATATAATTTTATAAAAGAAAAACTTATTTTTTAACATACTTTGTGTAAAGAACTCTGAGAAGAAAAAATGCAGAAAACACCAAATTTTATGTTTTTTTTTTATTTTTGCCAATGTAATAATTGAAAATTAACACATTTGAAAACTGCTGATAATATTTCCAAGAACTAAGAAAAATTTTAACAAAAAACATAGAACTATTGAAATACTACTTATTTATTATAATTACTTACTTATTCTTTAATCTATTATTATCTTGTTTTTGATACTTCACTCTTCAATAATTCTTGGACTTTTGAACATTGAACATTTGATTATTATCATGTCGATTTTATCACTTCAAGCTACATGTGAAATATTCTATAATTATCTTATTATAGATTCTCTCCTCGACGAACTTTGCATACTGTATGATTAAGAAAGTTCTCTTGCTTCTATCACTAACAATAAGCTTTAATTATGGACAAAATAATCTTTTTGACAATAAACGGTATATTAATACCAGTCAATAAAGACAATAAAATACATAATTTTGAAATTGCCGTTTTATGAATTTGATAACAAATTCTCACAAATAATTTCCTACTTGAAATATACAATTACTATTTTATATGAAATAAAATCTATGTTATTAACGAGCAAAAAATGTATGCTAGACTTTCACAAAGCGTATCATTTAGATTTCTCATTTTGTCTCAACTTTTAAAAACTTCTTACACAAGATTGAATCCAATATAAGATATGTACCACTTTTATCTGCAAAATAACAAACAATTTTATATCGCTTTCTGCTGCAAATGTTTGCTTAACAAGAAAAGATAATGGAAATGAAATGAAGCGTATACACATCGTAGATGTGAAAGCATCGTGACTTGATTTTCTAATTTTCTTGTCACAAGAATTGTAGATTACTTGATGAAGAAATTCCAGATAATTTTGACAATTTATTTTATTTAAAGAGATATTAGATCAAGGACATCTTTCGAGCGAATCAATAAAGTCATCTGACAAGGTCTGTCTGCGAGTATGTTCAGACACGTGTTAAGAGTTTCAGGTGTTTTTTGAGATATGGATGACGAGATGATAGTACGTGCCGAAATAGCCAATGCGGATATTCCTATTATGATAATAATATGACTATGCCAGACCATGTTCCAACGTTTATAATTTTGCTACATGTCAAAGGAGCAATTCATCAGTATGAAACAAGTAGTGATAATAATTTTGCGCTATAAAATATTGGTAAGAATACGTCTGGTAAAAAACTTTATATACTTCAAATATATCTTCGAAATATAAAACTATCTAGTTGAAATATTGAATAATATTTTGGAAAATTTCCACTCCCTTCCATTCTTTAATGTAGTAACTTAAAAGTAGTCGCAAAATACGAGTTGTAGAGATTCAGGTAAAAAAATTTTTTTATGAAACGAATGTACGCATTTCTTTTCAAAAATTACGTTAAATTATCTGTGATATTTATAGATCATTATATTCTTTGTATATTTTAATACCGATAATACACTGAAATTTTAAAAGCATTAGAATGTAATTAACAATGTGATCTTTCATGATTAGTCAGAGATTGCTCCGAAAAGCATAATTAATTTCTAAGTTTCTCGAAAATAATTTTCCAAATTAGGAACGGTCGAAGATAACGATTACAGACAGAAGATCGAAAGTTATACAGATTCTTTTTTCGTCATGCACTTTCGCCGCTTATGTTCTTCATCGTTATCAGTTAGTGCATATGCATGAGGCAGAGATAATTTTTATTTTGATGATCCATGACTAATGACCTCGATTTGCAGTCTCGTCGTTTGTTACACTTGTTAATTTGTCTTTGTGCGTAAATAAATGTGATGCAGATTTCTCATTATATTGATAGAGAGATACGATTTTACATGATTACAAAATGAATTCACAAAATCAATTCGCTCGCACGAAACGAGCAACGCATTTGCGTAGGTGTTACAGAAATTACAGATGCATTCGTATACCAAGTTTTACATAATAGAAACGTTTGTGTGCAGCCATCTATTATTAGAAATTATCAACAAAAGTTCTCCTCTAAATGTATAATATAAACATATATAAATAGATCGCGTGAAATCAATCGAGACATATTTTTATGAAGACATCGTCACGATTCAATTTTATCAATTCACAAATAAATTAAATTCTTTAAGAATAATATATATGCCTTTTCAGTTATAAATATATATGTGTATGTATATGTATGTATGTATGTGTGTATATATACATATAATATTCTAATATTAAGTTATCTTGATTAACATTAATTATTTACATAATTAAATATACATTTATTTAGATATAAAATAATTGTTTAATTATTTTTTATTTCTTTAAAAACTAGCATTTCTTAACAACATGAAACATTTTGGCGATCTTTGTTTTAATGCATAAAGTGCCGCAGATTGTGTGCATACTTAGCATGATAGATTCACAAAATGCTGCAAGTTACAATGATGATCTGACATTTAATTAGCAAAGAAATTATTTCAATAAACGCAAACTACAGCCGTAATATCTCAAATGTACCGAAATTAAAGAACAACTGCAGTAATCTTTCATTCATTAACTCCTATTTGTATGTCTGTATGTCCATTTTTATTACATTTCTCAGAACAGCTAATTGTTGATAAGTGGCAATAATTGGAAGAAAGACAAGAAAATACTTGAATGAATTGTAAATATTTCGTTCTGATATAATTTAGAAATAAATATAAAATATTACTGAAATACAAAGAGTGCACAAAATGTATAATAAATTCGATATCAATAATTTTACAGATCGATTAAATAAGGTATTTAATTCTCAATTGATCATTTATTTTCTGCTGTTGTTGCCACGACAATGAGACGCTCAGCCAAGCATTTGGAATGCAAATGCTTTCGGGGCCGTTCGTAATCGGCTAAGAAAATTACTCGTTCCCTCGGGAACGCGATAT